ATGCCCTGCCGAGGAGTCCGTCCTCCTGGCCCAGATGCTTGCTTTGTGGCTTGTTTGGCCACACAATTGCCTTTGGTGGCCAATAAAACAGGCAACGTCATCGTCGTCAGCAGACCGAGAACTGGAGTCCCGACTATATATACTATATATATAGGGCTGGTCCCAGCTGATTCCAGACTAGCCTCGGCCACTTAATGCGGCCACAACAATAAAAAAGGAAATTTAATAAAGCACTCGACTCGACGCCACTCGTTGCCTACTTTGCGGCGCATAACAGCATAAACTATAAGGAAAGGACTCTGACTCGGACTCCAGATTGCACTGGCCACTTGAGCTTTGACAATGGGGAAAATTGCAACCAGTCAGACTTTGTTTTTTTCTTTCCACTTTTTCCCTAGTCCGAGACACTGCAAAAAGTAAGCTGGCTAAGCTGGAATAGGAATCGGTTAAGAAGGGAATTCAAAATGGGGTTTATTTGGTGAGATTTAGCTAAGAGAGCTTGAGTTAAGAGAATTGAATTATATAAAGTTATAAAATGACTAGTAGATTAAACTAACTTATAAATTTATTACAGATTTTTATAGTAATATAGAGAATTAATTGATAAATAAACTTTAAATTATTATAACTTACAAACCCCTAAGATCATTACTAATAAAACTGTCTTTGCTATTGAGTTTTTCTATTTTTCGCTTTTTAGAGATTTTAAAGTTATATTCCCCATCTTCTATATCAATATTTTTTCCACTGTACTCATCAGGTTCATTTTTTACCCCATTTCCTCCCATTGCAGTGGCCTGGTTCACGTTTGATCCGGTTCTGAGCGGCGGCGCCGGATCGGGCTTAATCTTTAGCAAAAACAATGCCACCGTTAGCGTCGAGGGCTGGGAGCACCGTGTAGCCCTCGGCTCCGTTGGATTCTCCCGCGGCGTCCACTACTGGGAGTTCACCATCGACAACTACACGGCGGACACGGATCCGGCCTTCGGAGTGGCACGTATCGACGTGGCCCGCAACAAAATGCTGGGTGAGTGCATCCCCTCTAGCTCTGGCTGTTCCTTACCCACAGCTCAGTGGGTTACTGGTTGCATTGGAAATTCAATTAAAAATTCAGAGCAGGCAAAGGGAGGGAAAAGAAGTTTTGATCGAAAAAAAGGTAGAAAAAAACCAGGAAAACCAGAAGTGGAAAATCTGCACAACAAATAGATTCTGGCGTTGACAAAAGATCCGATACGTATGCGGAAAGTTCGCAGCTAATAGATGCGAATTCAGAGGGGGAAATTGGGGGAACTGGAAAGGGCAGCAAGGGGATACTGGGAACTTAAAACTTTGCCATTTTGCCGCCTCGCAAGGCGAAGCCAATAAAATCGAGTGCCAAGTGGAGGCGGGGGCGTAACGAAAACTTTTGCCATTTCTTGTTGCATGTGCGTGGGGCGGAAGGCGCAGAGTTTCGTTACCAGACTGAGACAAACACAAACAAAGGCGGAAAAGAGCACAAAGAACGGAAGACGCGGAGGCGCCTTGAAGTATGCCGCAGCAAATTGATTGAAAATGTGCGTGGTTGCGTGGGAGGAGGCTCTAGGCGCGAGTCGATACCCAGGGCGACTTAGAATGCAGACAAAAGTAATTAAAAGTGCGGCACTTAAACTTTTGTCAAATGCAAAAGTTTATTCTTGCCACAGAGAATCGCTTGCTCTTATTTTTTATTTATTTTTCTTTATTTTTTTTAGAGGACTCGCTGTATATCTTTTTTCACTTAGACAATTTATTCCCCAAGCTGCTCACGCGCCATTTAACACGTGCCCTCCGGCAGCAACGTCCGCTCGCTGGTAAAGCGGCAGAAACTACGGAAAACTGAAGTTTTCGAATTAAATTTTCATATGCAAAGCGAGGCAGGTGGTGCCCCCCAGCGACTGACATTGACACTAACAGTTGCAGTTTCCAAGTTGTTTTACGACGACTCTCATGCGTTCTTAACCCACTCCCACTCTGTCCCTTATCCTGTCGCTTGTTGCTCTTGCATTTGTCAGTTATAATTCCACAGGACTGGCGGGGCAACGGAGACAGGAAAGTGACAAGCTATGGATATCAGAGGACTCCGGGGACTCAACTTGCCGGATAAACTTTAAAGTTCACAACTCGGAATCATGGGAGGAAGTCAGCGAAACTGAGAGCAAAGATTATGATAGTGAGGGATATTAATATTCGCCATAAATTAAAATAACGATTTAAGGAGATTGAACAGAGATTGGGGAATAAATACAACAACTACCCAAACATTCAGTTTAACCCAGAAATTAAGTTTACTTCCGGAAGAAATTATTATTGGAATTATTAGTGCTTACTGGGAACATAATTAATTTTACAACAGGGCCAATAAACTTCCCATTTAAAGAACTAAAACATACTAATATTTTAAATGTATTTTTTAAATCCCCCTTCAGGCAAGGACGAGAAGTCATTCGCCATGTACATCGACCGACAGCGCTCCTGGTTCCAGCACAATTCCGTGCACGAGAGGCGAGTTGAGGGCGGCATAACCACGGGAAGCACCATCGGAGTACTCCTCGATCTGGAGCGGCACACACTGAGCTTCCTAGTCAACGAAATGCCACAGGGATCGGTGGCCTTCCGGGATCTCTACGGGGTCTTTTACCCCGCAGTGAGCATCAATCGAGGCGTCACCCTGACCATGCACACGGCCTTGGATGCGCCCAAGATGGACTACTTCTAGGGAAGGTCGGATGGGATCCGAAATAGCAAATTGTGTACATAAAAAGAGAGAAGAGAGAGCTTGGCATTTGACGACAGTTATCGGTGTCTATATAGAGCATTACCTTAATACGAACCAACAGTTTACTCAAACAGCTTATATACTATATGTGTGTACGTGTAGTTTCGGGCAAGGTTCAGCGACATATCTCCACTTAATCGTATCTCTACTCGTAGTTCTATGGGTTCACTGTTTGAAAAACGCTGCGCCAAAAAGGAAATAAAATAATTCAAAGCATTTAACGTTAATTCTACTTGTAAAATATAATAAAGAAGCTCTGCATGTTTTGCCACACACAGAATAAAGCCAAAAATCAAGCACCGTGCAACCACAAAATTCAAACTTAAATCGTAAACACCAAAAAAAAAACGAATTAAATTTAAACGCAAGCGATAAAAAACTGAGGTAAAAATCCAATTAGCAATTAGTGTAGCTAAAAATCAGCAGCTGTATGTCAAATACATATATACGCATTTGTTTGAGGCTAAAATAGAATCAAAATCAGCGTGTTTTTTCTGGGGAAGTTTTTTATTTTGAAGACTGAAAGCAAGTATTCTTTTTAAGTACGACGAAACAGAAAAGATCACGTTACAAATTAAGGCCTCAATTAATCACAAAAAATTAAAGAAAACTTTTGCAAATTAAATATTTAAGAGCACTGCAAGAATTGCATTAAACGAAAACCAATTTAAAGCCAACAGTTTCGCTTATAAAATCAAATATGCATCTGAATATTAATGTTTAATGTACAATTAAGTTCCCTGTAAATATTGATGTATTTTTTAATACCTAAAAACCATCGGCTATTCTAGTTTTTTCCTATTTAAGGTGTAATGCATAAAATTAAATTCCACTGTGCGTACGGACTATTTATACTTTTCAACTTAAGCCTATCTACAGCGAAAAAAACGACAATTAAACTTAATTACCAGTACTATGCATGTTTAATATTTATAATTGTAATAATATACAAACAAACCGAAGAGCAAAACGACAAAAAATGTAATTGCATAGGTAACAACCAGCACACACACAAAAACACAAGTAAATGAGTTTATTTAACAAAAAACGGAAATAAAATAAATATGAAAAAAGGCGTAATAAAACTAAATAACTTTTCTTTTTTCGGGCGAATATAGATGGATTTAAGGTAAGCCAATCTGGGAAATTCGGGTTATTTCAAGCGGGAAGAAAAAAATACTTTTTAATTAGAGCCAAGCTGAGTGCAAATCTAAAAACTTTCCCCTGTTTTCCGCGTTTGCATTAATGGAAAAGCCTCACGCAAGCGGGAGTTCGTTGTGCCAATTTCTGTGCGGATTCCCGTGTTTGTTCTGCTTAAGCGGCAAATGTGTCGCCAACAATGTGGAATTCTGGTTTTTTGTTTTGGCATTCTCATTCACTCACAACACGTACACAACCCACAATGGCCCACACACTTTCGCAAATTACACACTTAACTTTGGCGCCGCGTTTGCTTAGAAAGCCGGCATGTGTCAGCGGCAAGAGTCGGGGCAGGACAACAATTGTTTGCTGCTTTTGACAAAGGCATAAATTTTAATGAGCACAGTGCACGGTGCACAGAAAAAACCGCCAAAGAAACTATTGTTACTTGGGATGCACATTGTTTGGAACTCTATTTATGGAGAAGAGTCCTGCGAGCGGGAAACGCATCAAAGTGCAATTTGTATATCCGGGTTGCAGTTGGTGAAACTGACAAGGAAAAGCGCTTAGCTGCGGCCCAACTTCCGCCTCCTGTCGAGGGAGACAGGCGACAAGACATGGCAGAGACAGGACATGGGAGGACATGCAGCAGCAGCTGCTCCATAGTCGTCTGCTTCATAAATCATAAAAAAAGAAAACTTTAGCCGCACGTCGCCGAACAAGAGAAACTCCCATCCGCCGCCTCACATTTTCACATTTTCCCAGCTCCCCTCGGGGACCCCGGAAAAACTTGCCCCCGCAAACTAACCAACAGCTGCTAAGTGTTGAGTAAATGTTTTCGCGCCTCGTTGCGCTCTCGAATTCCCAAAACGTTTCCAGTTGTCGTTGTTGGTGTTGGCTACATGGCGGATGTGGCACGTGATTGCAGCAGTTTACCCGCACAATCTCATAAATAGAAAGAAAAGCTGAGTTTTCAGGCGTTATTGGCAACTATCTTTTATCTTGTTTTTCTCCCAAAAAGCATGGCCAAAGATAGGGTGAAGGGATTTGCGGAGTTATATTGAATGTGTGACAATATGTTCTTTAATTTATTATTTTATGTTTTCTTGAAGATATTAAAAGAAATATAATGTCAACATTAGAACCCCACTTATCACTCCTCTCCTGGAGATTCTGTGACTTTCTTTTGGTGAACCTCTTGATCCACTCGTTCTCCTTGATTTCTTTCCGTACTCTCCTCTTTGGCCACCGTATCAGCTTCCTCGTTTCCCTGATTCCCCTCCACCGCAGCTTCTGTGGTCAGTTGGGTGACCTCTTCCTCCACCGGCGATCCTGTGGTCACATCTTTGCGTTCTTCGCCCGACTCCCAATACTGCATAACTTTAAGGACCCTAGGCATGACCGTACGCCTGGCACTAATGCCCCAATGCATGTCCATGTGATTCCACTTGCGATACAAATGGTTCTCCACGACATTGGGCAGCAGCTTAGCCAGCCGCTGGACATCCTCAACAGCCGAGAGGAAATCATTGCTGCCATAATACAAGGCCACCGGAGCCGTGATTCTTTCCAGGCGATAGTCTGGCGGAGTGGGTCGTCCATAGACACGCTGGTTCTCCTTGGCATCGTTATCAAACTGGCAGAAGCGATCCGAGGTCTGCAGCTGCAGATAATGAATGGGTTGCTTAACATTGCAGCCACCGGGAAGGTGGCCCAACACCGCTGGAAACATGGTCTGGGAAAAGGTTTTAATTAATATATAAAAGCAAAAATGAATAACAATCACTTACCATGTTGTGTTCCTCTTGATTCTTGCCCACAATCTGCCAGTAGAAGCGTACACATGTCTTCATGACTCCTGAAGACTGGAGGCACTGATTAAGGTATAAAGGTGAGTTGGGAAATAGCTCAAAGTTCTCTCCAAAAACCCCTATTCCCATGCGTGCAATTCCCATGAGCGGTGCCTTCATGTGCCGCATGAAGGCCACCGGGGCCATGGCACTCATCAGATAAATTTTGGCATTGTATTCCGGCCTGCTCGATGCCATTACAAAAAAGCTAGTGGTGCCCTGGGAGTGACCAAAGTAGCTCAGCTTTTGGTAGCCAGTTTTGACCAGGATAGCATCGATCATGGCAGGCAGGTCGTACATCCCGATCTCGTGCCAGGAGAAGCTCCAGTAGGCCTTGTCCGTATTGGCATTTAGCTTGACATGGCTTCGTGAGTAGCGATTCCCCCGGCAGTTGGCCAGCCAAACGTCATAGCCATTGTCGTAGAGGTAGTAGGCCAAGCCACTGTGTGGGCCCATTATAATCCAAGTGGCGGAAGTGTCCTGCAGACCATGAACCAGAAGGACAGGCTTGGCCCCAGGTCGGGGAATGCGATGAAGGGTCAAGATATACTTGTCCTCGGTGGTCACCTGGTGGGCTTCAGCTGGATACTTGTACTTTTCCAGGAGTTGTAACTGTTCAAAGGAAGAAGTTTGATTATTGGACTCTGATTTTGGAATCGAAACTAACCGTTGTAAGACGAGCATCTTGCAGGACACTCGCCGGAAAGCTATCCTCTATGCCCCCGAGAACTGGCGAGAGCACTCCCGCTAGCACTGCCAAAACCCAGATCGCGTGTCGCATGACGTTCGATCCGTGACTAAATCGAGCTTACTCCGCCAACCCACTGGGTTACTAAAGAGCAGTAATTAGTACGTGCTGTTTTCTAGGTAATATTTTTCGGTGCTTATCGAAAAATCGCGGCATGCTCAATTTCAGTTAGAGTTTCTGTATATATGTATGCTACATTAAATGTGTTCTATAACTTGCTCAAATTTGAGCAAATCAAAATTCTGTTTTCTAAAAATCATGGTCAAAGTTCAGAGAGTGAACGGCGTTAATTGGTAGACAAAAGTCCCAGCACTTAATTAGTTTGCAATTTTCTGAAAAATCATGCGGAACGGCTAGACTAGATATCGAAATAATTTTTATATATTGCGAAATTGCATTGTAGTCATTATTAATAAAAAAAAAAAAACAGAATTCAAATCATTATTCAAATTATAAATTATATAATTCAGAATTGAAATAAATGAAAAAATTAAATAAATATATAAGATACATACAATAATTAGTTTTTATTGCTGGAAAAAATGTCAATGATCTTTGAGATACTCTATTTAAAATATCTTTAAGAAGTTTTTACATTCAATCGGAAATTTGTTCATTTTTGGTTTTAATATTTTGTTTAATTATTTAACCCACCAATCATTTCCAACCGGGTATCTAATATTGGAGCTCTTCTATGTATGTATGTTTTTTTATTATATTTCTTGTTACTCTCAGTGTTACCACCACGGCTAATGTGTTCAAAGCCCTTGAATCCATTCGAGGACCCATCCATATCCTATTCCGCACTGCCGGCCAAATCAAAGCGTACTCCTATTAATCCGATTTGGCATGGCCACTTCCTAGAAATGTTTGCCGGCTTAATTGGAAAATTAAATTTTTAACTCAGTTTTGTGTGTGGAGTGGCCCGTGTCCACTCGGCAAACATTTGAATCGTTGGCCGGCCCTTTCAGTCAGCCGAATCCACGTCATCGCATTCTTTTTTCGCAATTGATTGGCAAAAATTGATTTCAGCTTCTGCATAAAATATCTGGCGCTCTCCTTTATTTGCAGCAACTGCTGTCACGGGCAACGACGGCTGACAGGCTGACAAAGCGGCGCGGATGGCAAGGAATTGGGCTGGAATCTGCTTCCCTGCCGGATTCGGCTCCGGACTCCGATAGGCCTGATGTGCGCTGGCCAACGTTTCGACATTTGACAAATAACTTAATTCGGCGTTGTCACCACATGTTGGCAATGCCAGCCCAGACGAGGCAGCTCAAGGGAGCACCAGGAAGGAGGACGAGAGGTGGTGGTCCTGGCAACTTGACATCCCCTGGCATGTGGGCGCCAGTGGGCGGAAATGGATGTGGCTCTGCACAAGTCAGTTGGCAGCATGTTGAAGTTGAAGCCTCGGTTTCATGCTCGACAGGCGTGAACTCCAAGGGGCAGTCAGAGCCATCGGGACGGAGCCTTTAAAATTAAGCTGCGAGCTGGGTCAATTTATCAATATAACACCGAAGCGTAGGCCCAGTAAGGTGGAAAGATGTCAAGCTTCGATTTAATCGGTGTGGTTACAGTGTCTGAGAAGTGTTTTATTATTCTCTGGGTTCTCTCAGGGGTCCCTTAATGGTGTTTCAAAGGTTGGAAACTATTTTATTTAAAAATCTATAATAATAATAATATAAAATAGGAATAACTAACATATTATATTAAAGAAAACTAAACTAGACTAGACTAGACACCAAACCGTTGCCCTTTTGACCCACTTTTTGAAATCCAAAACTTAAGTTTTCTGTGGAGTTGCCCAATTTACCAGTCTCACCTTTAATGGGAGGCGGTTCCTTTAGGTCCCGACGCGTGCCTCGACAATTAGCCCCTCTACTCAATACCTTGGCGTGATTATGCTGCCAACTGCCAATCAGAGGACAATCAACAGGCCTAAAGTGTGTTGCAACTTGCAGTTGGCGGTTAGCAGAGGTCCCAGGCCGATTGGCCAACAATGAAAACGAGACCAATCAATTGACCCGCTGAGCCCTTGGCAGCAGCTCTCAGCTGAGACAATGGGAGCACAGCTTCAGCTTGTAGCCTTAAATGCCCAAAGCCACAAACTAAATACACTGGGGAAAAGTAGGTACTACTCCATTTATTTGGTTCACTTATCCTGAAGTTGTTGGCCCAAAAAACTAGAGCAATCGCATTGAAGTGTATCTCGACACGAAGCTCGTTAGCAGCAGCCGGCCGCCTGCCTGGAGATTATGATCAGCATTGTCTGCCATAGTCGTGGACTCACATTAGTTGCAGCAGTTGCTCAGGGGGCCTATAGTGCCCCCCGAACCAATCCCCACCCCTCCTATGTAACGCACGTGACTTTTAATCACGCGCGCATAAAATTTCATGCGAAATCTTTGTCTTGGCCGAAAGGAGTTTGGCTTCTAGACGAGCTTTTGGCTCATTAAGACTCAGAAGGCTCACAAAAATAAAAGTGCGTGGAGCCTAAGTGAAAAAGTGGCGTGAGAAGGTCAGCCTTTTGGAACTTTACGACTTGGAAAAGTTTTTGGCCCAGCGCCAGCGACTCCCTTTTATTGCCAGTCAAAGGAGCAACTTCCCTTTGGAGTCAAGTCCTGGGCCGAGGGTCCTGCACTCTGGCCGACGGTGATGGTGGCCAGACTTGATTCGGAGCCAATTACAATTCGTTTTTTAGCTGTCAGAGCCGCACTCAAGTCCAACGCCCACTGGCAGCCGTTATAAAGGGGGATCCCGCCCCCGGCTTGTCTGCGTTTTGTAATTACTTTTGTGCACGTGCCACAGTACATGGATCCGGGACCAGCCTCCGGAATTTATTTCTGCAGTGCGACAAGTTCAGGGTCAGCGACTGTGAATCAGAAACAGAAAGGCCTTTTGCCGCAATTCAATATTTAAATTTTTTGTAGGAAATAGCAAATGTGGAGTAAAATTTAATTAATTTTAATATTTAATGGGATTTAAATAGTTGATTTAACCAAGCGAGCGAGCAGCCTGGCCATAAATTCTCTTCGCAGTTCGATTCCCATTCCCCTTGCACGCGATGATGGGCTTGTTGATTTCTGTCGATAAAAATATGATGCTCTTTCCATTAATTACGCCATTATTTGCGTATTGTCAGGGGCCTGGTCCCGACTCCGGCCATATCTGGAGGCGGAGAATCCTGGCCGGCCATCAATAAAATGAACGAGTGATAAAGGATTACAGCCTGACAGCAGCGATGGCCGCGGAATTGATTAATTTATGGAAATCGAGAAGACTTTCGGCACTGGTCAACAGAACTCGGCCGGAATTCCCTCTTACGTTGGAATTAACGCCAATTGAAAGGCATCCCTGCTGGCGAGTGTCACTTTTGAGCCCTGTAAAAGATGCATCGTTATTTAATTTAATATGATTCGTAAACTGAAGCCGTAAATTAATTGAATTAAGCCCATTTAATGAAAACTTGTTTTACCGACTAATTGCACACAGAGCGGAGCGGGAAAGAATGAAATTTCAGTTAAGGACATTTGATTTGACTTTGATTTGGGGGAGGAAAATCATTGGGGATGGGGAAATATCTTAATGTCTTGATGTCTGATGGAAATTAGTCAACTAAAGTTTCGATTTTCAAAATAAAAGTGTGTAAGAAGTGTCTTATTTACAAGGGGACTTAACTATTCACATCTCCCGCTGTCAGAACCAAGTAAACCTCTTATCAAATACCTTAAGGTACTACATATAATCCAGGAGCTTAGCCTTAACCCATTGCCTGACCAATCATGAAGTAATATCCATAAAATACCCACACTTTGTTCGTTTCATTATCAATATCCCTGCTGGTGCTGAAAGCAGAAAAATAAATGTAATATGCGCTGTAGTTCTTTTCATTACGATAATGAAATATATCAAGAGCAGTTTATGGGGATTACTTACTTAAATGTGAGAGGCGCATGCAAAGAGCAGAGTCCGGAGTGAAAACACGGCGTAAATTCCACAGGAAAAGGACATGCGTGAAAATATAATCGGCGAGGCGAAAGCCGCAACTACAACACGGAGCTGTAACGTTGAGCACGCCAAGGCAGGGGCATAATTATGGCATTATCACACTCACACACGCGGAACTAACGATAATCAATTGAGAAATGTTTATAATGAAGTGGAGCTGCCAAAAGGGTTTTGGCCCAAACCACAGCTAGTTATGCACTGGAAATATGTAAATGGAAAATGCCATGAAGAAATAAATTCGTTATCTTTGAGGACTTTTATAAATACATTCAATAGATACTTTTTAAAATCTTTTTTTTTAAATAAACTTCTTTATATATTTGTTTATTAAAAAAAGATCAAAGATCAAAGATCAAGTAAATTAAACAGGCTTGTTGTTAAAAATTCGATGAAAATTCCTCCTATTTCATACTTTCTCCAACTTTCGTTCAGTGCACTTTCAGCGTTATTGTGAGTAGCCAGGCGCTAAGCACTTCATTTCTCTTGCCACGCCCCCTTTTCCTTGGCCATTTTCACAACTTCGTGGTTCGCGGCGGGGCGTGTCAGGGCAAAAACGCCTAGCCAGCAATCTACCGATAGCGTGTGTGCCCGCCAAACGCTCATTGAGCTGCCCAGCAACCCACCGGGCCAACGAGCCACTAACCATCTCATCATCCCTTTTCCCTTTTTCCCTGATAAATGCGCTAAGTATACGTTGGCCAGAGAGATAAACATGGCCAACACAGGCATGCACACACTCTCACACGCCGCAGACCACAGAGTGTATTAAGTGTGTGCCAGAGAGTGTGTGGCCCATTCATGACAACGTCCATCATAATTCATTGGGTATCGAGTTGGGCTCCTAGGTTGGGAATGGGTGGGACATGGCCTGGGACCGGACCGGACTGCATTGTAATGGAATTAGCATACACAAGACAAAGTTGCCAGTCGCGCATTCAGCGATAATTGAGTTTAGAAATGGGAGTACAGAGGGGTAGCTACACTGGGAATTAGGAAAGGGAATTTAAAATAAGATAATTAGGTATCTTCTTTGGCTAAAAAAACCGAAATATTATTTATCAAGAAGTCTTTTATATTTAAAACTGAATTAGAAGTAATTTAATCATTTAATTATTTACCACAATTATATTTACTATCATTCACTTTCCTCCTATTGATATTTTTTCATTGATATTTATTAAATACTTAAAAAAAATAACTAAATTTTTTCTCTGTCATTAAACTCTTTAAATAAAGTGCCAAAGCAGGGCATTGAAATGCAAATGCAGTCAGTCAGTCAGAAGGACTGACAGGAAACGTGGCGCAGCTTCGTTGGCTCAGCTCAGGGTTAAATGCAGCCCAGGTTAACCCATGATGACACTGCCGCCGAAACAAAGACACGCCTGCGGGCGCCAGCGATGAGATCCAGGGAACCTGGAACCTGGGACCACAAGCCAGGAGCCGCACAAATGCAACCGCTGCCGCATCTAATTTATGCCAAGAGCAATCGCAACCGGCAACTGCAACTGCAACAGCGAGTTAAATGCCAATGCCGCCTTATAAACGAGGTGAACTTTTCATGCTGCCCCCCTGAAGTTCAGAGGGCAATAAACTGCCATGGTTGTTTATTGTTTAGTTGGTCTAACAAATGAGTTCAGCGGAAGTTTAAGCCTGAATGGGAGCTTAAAGAAGAGCTCTTTGCAAAATAAATATTTTTAATGGTTAAATGGATTAAAAAGGAAATAAATTCGAGTATATTTCTGTTTAAATTAGTTCTATTTAATGACCAAATAAAAAATAAAATTTTGTATCATTATTATCTTAAAAAATTTTATAAGAATTCCGTAAAGTTAATACTTGAAGAAGTTTGCACTAGGAGTTTCCTTTTTTGATAACCTTACCTTAGTTAAATTGAATGTTTATGATTCAATTGCCCATTGAAGGGATATAAAAACCTCGCTTCCCCGAAGTTAGCTTCCTTTCTTGTGATTACAAAAATGTTCTATGACCCCCTTATTTTTCCCCTAGAGCTTAAAGTTAATCCATTTCTTGTACGCTTTTTCCCACCCTACGGGTTTCAACTGATCTCTTTCCAATTGTCCTGCTCTTTTTGCTGCATCTCCTCTGTCCTTTTAGGACTCTAAAGACCAGCGCGAATTCAAAGCGTTTTCACCGACTGTTTTGGACAAAGCGTTTTGTTGGAGAAACTCCACCGATGCCCCCCCTGGCAAGTGTCACTTAAAGGCATATCGTTGTGTTTTTTCTGGCCCCAAGTTCTTTTTACCAAAACTGCAATTCGAGCAATGCAGGCAACTTTTCCCTTTTTTTGTCCTGCCAAAACACTCTGCTTTCTTTCAGTCCCAGTTCCAGCTGAAGTCCCTCCTCCCTGCGCTTTCAATTTGTGTGTACATAAATTTCGAAATGGACTTCTCGTGTTTGGGGCCCCGACAGCAAAAAATGTACAGAAAATAGCGAAAGAAAAAAGAAATAACACCAGAAAAATAAATAAAAATGGAGGGGACGCTCTGCTCCCTGAGAAGAAATGGTGGATGGGTGGTTGGGTGATCGGGTAGATGGCGTGCGGAAACAAGTGGCCATGACTGCAGAAACGGCAACAACGACAGCTGGAGATAGTGTGGCGCGAGGCAGCTGCATAAATAACGCAACAAAGACCCTGGACAAACGCCAATCGAGGAGAAGAGTCGCGTTCTGGGCCCAAAATGTCCGTTACCAAAGTCTCAAAGTGCATAAATTGTGCCAAGGAATTTGAATATATTTCAAGAATTACGAAATTCTGATAATGTGGGACACGTTCTGGGCGTTCATTCCGCTTGCATTCGTGCAGCTTAAAGCGTTTGACCAAAGGTCCAAGTTGAAGCTATTCCCTTTGATTGTGTGGCGATTTGCTCGGCCAATGGAGCATGAAATTACAGAGGGAGTGGAGTGCCAGTGAGAGTGAGGGCATGTGTGCTTGTGTGAACATGTAAATGCTCACATAACCATACAGAAAACAAGGCACTGAAAAAAAATTAAGATAGCTAGCTAAAGTTAGAGAGTCTCATTCAACAGTTGTGAGGTTTTTGAAATAACAAAAATCTGAAGAGATTTTTAATAGTATTTATAAGTGCCTTAAACTAAGCTCTGGAATTTATTATACTTTCTTTGGCGTTTTAATAAATAAAATATATTCCTCAGCAATAAAATATTACATTTATTAGTAGCAAGTAAATATATTAATAATAATTTTATTGACAAATCTTTGGATTTCCAAATTTCGCTTCCTTTAAAGTTCTTCTTTTTAGCTTCATGTAAGTTTTTCTTGCAGTTTTTCCCAAAGTGCAGGAAAAGGTCAAACGTTAAAGTCTTTATAAACTCTAGACTTTATTGCGTTCTGCTCGACTGGGAAAGGGCCTCTGGTCTCCGACTTGGCTCCGCTCGTAGAAGAAACAGATACACTCAAAAGTCGCACCAATCGAGATTGACTGGGAAGCCGGAAGGCGTTCATTGGGCGTGACACCAGAGCAGAACTTTGACGGTCACGAGGGAATGGAATGCCATAAATACTAATCAAATAAAGAGCAATCATATCGATTCGATTTACACCGTTCAATTACTAATTGAAAGAAGCACTCGTCAAGTCAGAACTCAAAAAGGGTACAATCGCCCAGAAACGAAACCTCACAGCAACATATGCTCATATGGCTGCTTGGGGGGGCTAGGACTCCGGTGTCATCATTACCATGACTGGGATTACGATTACTGTCATCGTCGTGTCATCACACACACACAAACCCACGAGGCGTCTTTATGGCTTTTGGCGCTGAAATGATAAGAAAAGTTTTTGCTCAACGCTTTGCCGGGGCTTATGTCCATGCTGGAAACATATGGCATATTGCCAGGCGAAACATTTAATGGTCTGCAAAATGGCCGGGGCCGGGACATTAAAAGTTGCTTAACCTTCATTAGGCGCCCGATTCCGATGCCGACTGTCAGGGAGACAGGACGAAATTTAATATGTGTCAAGTCCTGTCGGCGGGGGGCTTAATATCCCATTTGTGCAGGGCCGCTGCGCTGCATCCTAATGATATGCTTGAAAGAATGGCAAATCACCACAGTTGGCAGCCAAAAGAGCGGCATCCGGTGGAGCTTTAATCAGCGAAAGGAGTGCCAATGAGGAGAAGTAGGCAGAGCGGCAGTGCCAGTGGCCGTGGAGCACAATTTCCAGCTTGTTTCACGCCACAATGAGCCGGGTGCCACCAGAGAGGCGCTAATGCGGCGACATGGCATTATCCTTGTTCCTTTTTTCACACGGAGTCTTGCTCCTGCGGCTGCACTCTGCCTGCTTATTTTGATAATCAAATTTGCGCAAACAGGCGAACAAGGAGAAAGGACGAAACAAGGGCCAGGGATAATAAGGGGTGAGCTCGGTGCACTCTTACAATTAGATTGGCAAAACTTTAAGTTTCTCTGCAGTGCTTCCGGAAGTTTTATGGAAGCGAAGGTCTTTAAGTTGCTCCTCCCTCTATTGGCTAACCAAAAAACTATATTTTTAGTACCCTGTTCTAAATAAAGTTTTATTTTATTAAAGTAATATTAGAATTATTTTTAGATGTGTTTTTAACAGTATCTTCTTTTGTATCCTAGGAATTATCTTTAAAAAAACTTAGTTATAATCTAAGAAAAACGTTTAAAAACCTGTTTCGCCTAATGTACCTTGCATAATACGCTTAGCAAATCCAGAATGTGGCTAATTAATCGGTCATTAAGAGTCGAAACTATAAAAGGAGACCTCTGCGATCCAGGCAAGACGTTGGCCACATAATGCTTATTATTTCACCGCTGCTTGTATTTCTGGTGCTCGGCACTGCTGTGCCCAGTGCTTGGAGCAAACTCCATTTTAAATTTCGCGGTTTACCCTACTTTGATTCATTACCCGTGCTTAAATCACGACACCACTCGATGGCTTTATGTTGCAATTCGCCCGCGCCGCGTCAAGTGATCGATCCAATGATCAGTCAACGTCAACCACTGTATTTTACTGAAACAGACATCGAGGTCGACGCCAAGCTGAGCACGGTGAGTAATTAAATAATTCATTAATATAGTATTCAGATCCGTAAATAAGAGCACTGCTAGGTGGAGTTAATTTTGAAGTACGGCTTTCCGGCTGAGACACATTACGTCGACACAACTGACGGCTACAAGCTCTGTATGCATCGAATTCCAAGGCAAGGAGCCCGGCCCGTTCTCCTTGTCCACGGACTGATGTCCAGCTCAGCCTCCTGGGTACAGCTCGGACCGAACAGCGGCCTGGCCTACCTCCTCTATCTCAAGGGCTACGACGTCTGGATGCTCAATACCAGGGGCAACATCTACTCGCGCGATCACGTGAACAGAAACCTGCCCGACTCGCAATACTGGGACTTCTCGTACCACGAGATCGGGACCTACGATCTGCCGGCTTCCGTGGATGCAATCATCGATAAAACAGGGCAGCAACAGATTCAGTACATCGGGCACTCGCAGGGTTCTACGGCCTTTTTTGTGATGTGCAGCGAGAGGGCGGAGTACGCCAAAAAGGTGAGCCTCATGCAGTCGCTGTCCCCAACGGTCTACCTGAGAGAAAACCGCAGTCCAGTGCTCAAATTCCTGGGTCTCTTCAGGGGTGGGTTTACGGTGAGTTATTGGGTGGCGGAATTCTGAAAATGGGGAAATAATCTGGAGTGTTATCCCATATTGTAGATGCTGATCCAACTTCTGGGAGGCTTCCAGGTCTCGCTGCATACGCCGCTTATCCAACAATTTAATAAGCACATCTGCTCGTTGTCCGAAAGTACCAGTCGCATTTGTGCCATCTTTGAATATATAATTTGTGGCTTTAACTGGCACGGCTTCAATCAGGTTAGATTTTTGTCACAGCTCCGAGGTGGATGAGTCCATTCAATCGAATCTCTTGCAGACCCTTGTCCCAATTATAGTGGGCCACTCCTCGCAGGGCGCCTCCGCCAAGCAGATCCTCCATTATGCCCAGCAGCAGGGCCAGATGGCGTTCCAGCGCTATGACTACGGCGGCGTCTTAAATCTCCTCCGCTACAAATCCCTTTTACCGCCCTTGTACAACCTATCGCTGGCGCAAAGCAATGTCCACCTGTACTACGGCGCCGGCGACTGGCTGGGATCTAGTAAAGATGCCTCCCAGCTGCAGAATTTCCTGCCCAATTGTATCGGGAACACCAAGATAGCGTCCGATAGCTTCTCCCACTTCGACTTCACGATCTCCATGGACGTCCGTACCCTCGTCTACGATCAGGTCATTAACCAGTGCGAACGCTACTAGTTGTAAGAATACTTACTTTACTTGCACTACTAAGACTTTGAATCTAATTGCTTCTGATGAGCAACATTAATAAATCAATACATTAATTCGCTAAATAAATTATGCAATAATGTCTTTGAAATATAGAAGGTAAAAAAAATCTATTATTATTTGCAGTGTAACTTTAAATAATTTATTTCTGTCTTTAAGAATCTGAATGTTTTCATAAAGTTTCGCTGTAAAATTTTTAGGGATTTAAAATCGTTAAACTTTTTCAGTATTGAAAATTAACAGATATTATGAAGCTTTTTTTTAGAAACTAAAACAGGAACTTGTCTGATAGGCTTGGGCTTCTCAAACACTGTTCTATAATGTCCAAAGTTTGGTTTACTATTTTAATAAATTCTAAAGAGTTAGAGTTTACCCACGACCTTTTTTCGTCATTTTTAAAATACCATTGATAAATTTCCAATAAAAATGTCTAGTATCATTTTCGGAACCCAGAGGCAGTTGACTCAATTTCTATGTGCAGCGGCGGAAGAGTTACTTCCATTAAGCTTGTGTTTAAATAAAAGAGTTTGCTTTGGGCTCCTTTATTTGTATATACATATGTTTAAGGAAGTGTCTGACATTCAGAATTTATTTCAAGGTTGTATGATCTTAACCCCTGGCAATTACTGCGATAATCAATACCAAAATGATTATCTACGGGCTAGCACTCTCATTTAGGCATTAATTTTTTAATTTCGCGGTATTTCTGTTTGTGGCCTATATAAAGAGTCCACGTAGATCAGTTCCCCCAAAGTAATATTTTTGCCAAGATGAAAATAGTTGCTCTTCCTGCTCTCTTTACGCTCTTGGCGATTGGTGCCGTGGCAGCCGAGGTTCATAACCGGTCTAAATATCTGCTGTATCTAATTTACATCCGGTGTTTTTTTTTAACAGTATTCCGACGATGATTTCCTGGGTTACTTAGATTTGTTTAGAAGCCAACACAACCAGAATAATGACCAGAATAATGCACCACCCGTGGCCAAGTCTCAGGAACAGGACTCCTCTGAAGAGGGTTCGTCTTCGGCTGAAAATGAAGTTGTCCCCAAAAACATTATTCGTCCTTGCCTCACTCAGAAACCTGTCGCACGTCCAAGTCTAACTCCTAGCCGAATTTCTGGTGCTCGCTTAAGTTTGATACAACTGTTAATTCGGGCTCAGTTTCTGCTGCGGAAAGAATTACGAAAGGCCAAGCAACAGCAATTCGCCCAGAAGAAGTTAGTTTCGGACCTTGAAAGTTTTATTAGGATTCAATCCCTGCTGAGGACAGTAACACAAAGGATCGAATCTGCGATGCAGGTAAAATTACACAGGTTGAGAGCAGAACAAGCTCAGAGACTGGATGAAGAAACAACACCGATCGCACAGACACCTGTAAGCTAGATCCGTTAAATAACTTTATAAATTAACCTGTTTATATTTTTACTATCCCCATTGCAGTCGCAGTCGGCATCGAAGTCACAGCCGCTGATACAGCCGAAAACGCTATCGCAATCGCAAGTGCCATCGCAATCACAGTCACAATCGCAGCCAAAGTCGCTTGAGGAGTGGGAGTCGTTCATTCAGTCACTGCCACAGTCCGAGTCGCAGGCCTTTTATGAGTCGCAGTTGGGGAGGCAGTTCCTGTCGTATTTGCAGCAGTCAAAGTTGCTGGCGGAGTTGCAGCAGTTATTGTCGGGGTCGCAATCCAACAATTAAGGAGCTTGATTGATTTAATAAAAACATGTTAAGGACATTAATCTATAAACTGAATCTATGAAACCCGCTTATCAAATGTGGGCATCCTTAATCAGGATAGAACGGTAGCCCACATTCCCTACTCGAGAGCCAATGGAATGAGCAGAAGTGGGGCGGATGGTGGAGCTAATTGTTTGTTGGATAGAAATTATAATTATATAAATTATAATACTTTCTAAACCCAGGGATATAATTTAAATGTAAGGTGATTGAATATTACCTCTTTTATTTTGTTAATAAGGCAATAAAAGAGTCTTACTTGGATTTCAAACGTTAATAATCCTTGGAAATTGTTAAATTTTTTCAGTCAGGATCTTCTTTCATATTGTAAAGTATTTGTATTAAAAATATTGGTATTTGTATTTATCAGCGATATATGGCTATATTGTACATAATATATTGGATATATTGTACATAAGTATCCCCATTCTCAAGGCTGTTGCGTAATCTTTGTGCTAATTATTCCGCTTATGATGCAACGCTTGCATATTGATAGCATTATCCTCGCCTAGGAATTCCCATTTAAAGCATGATCTTTCTAATTTCACAGTAAATTTGTGTCGAACCTATATAAGAAGCTGCAATGATTCGCCCCAAAAGTTAGTGTAATATCAAAATGAGAATCGTCACATGTTTGACGCTTCTCACGCTCCTTGCTTTTGGAGCTGTAGCAGACAACGAATACCTTGGATTATTAAATGGAAAATTGGTAAGAGTAGAAGACTTTCAGATCAGAAACAGTCATCGATATACTATGTTGATTTCAAATCAGGAATTTGGAAACGCACCGCTGGATCTGGAACCTGCCAATAAGCAGTCGCAGGTGCCTTCGTTATGGGAATTAAAAAACCAACTGGAGTTACAATTCCAATCAGAGTCAAAAACAAGACAGGTCGAATTTATTCCGGTACAGCTAGAATCGCTGGCTATTAAACCGCAACTAGAGACAAGACCTCAGTACGTGTTGGCTACCTCCACTAACGAGCCAGATGTCAATCTTTCCACCGATATATCTGCTCAATTACTAAATGTGGTCCAATTCCAAACGAAGTCTCCCATATGGATTATCCGTGTTCCGCCAAGCCAGTCGCCATTGTACCTGGTCTTAGTTCCCCAAAATAATAATCTAACCCAAAGCTTGGCCCAACAACTCATAGCTCAGCAAGAGTCCCGAAATCTAGAGGAAGATCGCTTAACTCTATCATCTTACACTCTCGCACAGTTGGAGTCTCAAATTCAAAATGTGGCTGCCCAAATACGTGATCTTCAGTCTGCCTCACAGACAGAAGAATATCAGTCAGAGTCTCAGTCTCAGTCACAAAATCAAACAACACAGAACTCACTGGAATTGCTTGGCTCTCAATCACAGTCTCAGTCACAAAACCTATCTGTAGAGAGCTCAGCTCAATTAATTGACTCTCAATCACAGTCTCAATCACAAAATCGAACTTCACAGAACTTACTGGAATTGCTTCGCTCTCAATCACAGTCTCAGTCTCAAAACCAATCTGTAGAGAGCTCAAACCAATTAATTGACTCTCAGTCACAGTCTCAATTACAAAATCAAACTGTGCAGAACTCACTGGAATTGCTCGGCTCTCAGTCACAGCCTCAGTCGCAAAACCAAACTGTACAGAACTCACTGGAATTACTGTCACAATCTCAATCACAAAACCAAACTATACAGAGGTCAACCCAATTAATTGACTCTCAATCACAGTCTCAACTACAAAATCAAAGTGTACAGAACTCACTGGAATCGCTCGAATCTCAGTCACAGTCACAAAACCAATCTGAGGAGAGCTCAGCCCAATTATTTGGCTCTCAATCACAGTCTCAGTCACAAAACCAATCTGTAAAGAGCTCAGACCAATTAATTGACTCCCAATCACAGTCTCAGTCGCAAAACCAAACTTTACAGAACTCACTGGAATTACTTGGCTCTCAATCTCAGTCACAGTCTCAAAACCAATCTGAGGAGAGCTTAGCCCAATTACTTGGCTCTCAATCACAGTCTCAGTCACAAAACCAATCTGAGGAGAGCTTTGCCCAATTACTTGGCTCTCAATCACAGTCTCAATCACAAAACCAATCTGTAGAGAGCTCAGCTCCATTACTTGGCTCCCAATCACAGTCTCAATCACAATATCAAACTGTACAGAATTCACTGGAATTGCTTGGCTCTCAGTCACAGTCTCAGTCACAAAACCAATCTTTACAGAACTCACTGGAATTACTTGGCTCTCAATCACAGTCTCAATCACAAAACCAATCTGAGGAGAGCTCAGCTCAATTACTTGGCTCCCAATCACAGTCTCAGTCGCAAAACCAAACTGTACAGAATTCACTGGAATTACTTGGCTCTCAATCACAGTCTCAGTCACAAAACCAATCTGTAGAGAGCTCAGCTCAATTACTTGGCTCTCAATCACAGTCCCAATCACAAAACCAATCTGTAGAGAGCTCAGCTCAATTACTTGGCTCCCAATCACAGTCTCAATCACAAAATCAAACTGTACAGAATTCACTGGAATTGCTTGGCTCTCAGTCACAGTCTCAGTCGCAAAACCAAACTGCACAGAATTCACTGGAATTACTTGGCTCTCAATCACAGTCTCAGTCACAAAACCAATCTGTAGAGAGCTCAGCTCAATTACTTGGCTCTCAATTACAGTCTCAATCACAAAACCAATCTGTAGAGAGCTCAGCTCCATTACTTGGCTCCCAATCACAGTCTCAATCACAATATCAAACTGTACAGAATTCACTGGAATTGCTTGGCTCTCAGTCACAGTCTCAGTCACAATACCAATCTTTACAGAACTCACTGGAATTACTTGGCTCTCAATCACAGTCTCAATCACAAAACCAATCTGAGGAGAGCTCAGCTCAATTACTTGGCTCCCAACCACAGTCTCAATCACAAAATCAAACTGTACAGAATTCACTGGAATTGCTTGGCTCTCAGTCACAGTCTCAGTCGCAAAACCAATCTTTACAAAACTCACTGGAATTACTTGGCTCTCAATCTCAGTCACAGTCACAAAACCAATCTGAGGAGAGCTTAGCCCAATTACTTGGCTCTCAATCACAGTCTCAGTCACAAAACCAATCTGTAGAGAGCTCAGCTCAATTACTTGGCTCCCAATCACAGTCTCAATCACAAAATCAAACTTTACAGAATTCACTGGAATTACTTGGCTCTCAATCACAGTCTCAGTCGCAAAACCAAACTGTACAGAATTCACTGGAATTACTTGGCTCTCAATCACAGTCTCAGTCACAAAACCAATCTGTAGAGAGCTCAGCTCAATTACTTGGCTCTCAATCACAGTCCCAATCACAAAACCAATCTGTAGAGAGCTCAGCTCAATTACTTGGCTCCCAATCACAGTCTCAATCACAAAATCAAACTGTACAGAATTCACTGGAATTGCTTGGCTCTCAGTCACAGTCTCAGTCACAAAACCAATCTGTAGAGAGCTCAGCTCAATTACTTGGCTCCCAATCACAGTCTCAATCACAAAATCAAACTTTACAGAATTCACTGGAATTACTTGGCTCTCAATCACAGTCTCAGTCACAAAATCAAACTGTACAGAGCTTACTCGAATTACTTGGCTCTCAATCACAGTCTCAGTCGCAAAATCAAACTGTCCAGAGCTCAGCCCAATTACTTGGCTCTCAATCACAGTCTCAATTACAAAATCAATCTGAACAGGGCCCAGCGCAAATAATTCTCTCTCAGTCACAGTCGCAGACCCAAACGAGTATCAATAATATAAACAACACAGTAAACATAAATAATTATATCAATCAGACAATAATAAATAATCCCCCGCCCTTCTTTACGTTAAGCGACATTGAAGACGATTCCAAGCTTCAAACGGTAAGTAATATCCTCTTATCTGGAGTATGCACATACACTTCCGGCAGTTTCAGGATGCATCCCTCCCTTTTATTAAAATATACATATATTCAATATATAATCTTCAAAATTTGTCAAATCCAAACAGTTCGGCTTGATCGAGAAGTACGGGTACCCATCAGAGACCCGCTGCCTTTACACTGAAGACGACTACAAGATCTGCCTGCACCGTATTCCCCGGCCCGGAGCTACACCCGTGCTCCTCGTTCATGGCTTGATGTCGAGCTCGGTCTCTTGGGTGCAATACGGTCCGTCGAATGGCCTGGCCTACATCCTGTACCGGAAGGGCTACGACGTTTGGATGCTCAACACCAGGGGTAATATTTACTCCCGGGAGCACAAGGTCAAGAACTTGAAGCCGCGGCAGTACTGGGACTTCTCTTTCCACGAGATTGGCAAGTACGATTTGCCGCCTGCAATCGACTTGATCCTGCAGGTCACGAACCAGCAAAAGCTCCAGTATATCGGTCACTCCCTGGGTTCCACCGTTTTCTTCGTTATGTGCAGTGAGAGACCCGAGTACGCCACGAAGGTGAACCTAATGCAATCCCTTGCGCCAACGGTGTACCTGCAGGATACCCGCAGTCCAGTGTTAAAGTTCCTGGGAATGTTCAAGGGCAAGTTTTCGGTGAGTATTTTAAGTATTCTAATTTCTCATTCACTTTATTGAATATCATATCTACATTACAGATGCTCGTTAACCTTTTGGGCGGCTACGAGATCTCATCGAACACGAGACTCATCAAGCAATTCCGAGATCACATTTGCACCACCTCGGAGCTGGCCAGTCGCATCTGCGCCATCTTTGACTTCGTGCTCTGTGGCTTCGACTGGAAGAGCTTCAATGAGGTAGGTCTCTTGGCTCTGCACAGTTTTGGAATTGCCTATTGACGGACTCCTTTGCAGACCCTCACCCCCATCGTGGCGGCTCATGCCTCTCAGGGCGCCTCCGCCAAGGAGATTTACCACTACGCACAGATGCATGGCAATCATAACTTCCAACTCTTTGACCACGGCCGCCTTCTGAATCGCATCCGGTACAATGATCACGAACCGCCCAGGTACAACCTATCGCTGGCGGTTACCAAGGTCGTTCTTCACCACAGCGCTGGCGACTGGCTGGGTGTCAACTCTGATGTGGACCATCTAAAGCAAATGCTGCCAAACCTCGTCGACAGCAGGAAGGTCCAGAACGAGAGCTTCGCGCACTATGACTTTACGATCTCGAAGGATGTGCGCCCGCTGGTCTATGACAGCGTTCTCGGTCATCTTAATAATCATCGTTACCCTTAAAAATAGGTTCTTAGTTATGTCACTAAGAATATGATATTAACCAAATAAATAAGGAAACAAATAGCTTTCCGTTGCTGTCAGGACTATAATTCAGTCTCTATATTATTACTTTTGCTATAAAAAAAAAGAAAGAAAAAATGCCACCATGTAAGAAGCATTGCTCGATTTTTGCACCCACTGATAATGAAGGTCCCTCTGGGGATCTGCAATTTAGCATTACTCACCCACCGAGCGAGAGACAAGAGAAATCAATGCTCACGAACTGCGCCAAAAAATTTGCATATCCCTGGCCCCGAAGCGCTTCCATAAATTTCACATCCTGAACGCATATTTACACGCCGCGAGGCCAAGTTTCCAAATTAAGTTTGCAATCGAAATGAGGCGAAAGGAAGCCGGGAGGACCAAGGCCTTAAATTGCTCACGTGTGTGACACATTTCTTTCTTTCGCCGGAGCGGAGCAGTCACGACGACAATGGCCAACAAGCGGAAGCGGAAACGCGAAATGTGAAAAATGCGCAGAGCAAACAAAACGTGGTTGGGGGTGGTAAGTAGAGGACAAATGGGGAAACGGGAAGGTGGAACGTGTCGTTTAACAGCTCCACGTACGTAGCCCGCGAGGCACATGCCACCCACTGCAGCCTCCTCACTGGAGGTGACGTCTTCGCTTTTTTCAAGCCAAGTTAGAAGATGGAAGTATTTTTTTCATTTTAGATATATTTAAAACAATTGTTTATATTTAAATTATAAATTATTGTTGAAGTTGAAGTAGAAGTCCCGGTTTAAATTCTTATCAAGAAGTAAATGGTTATGAAACTGCAACTACTGAATAACAGATTTCTTATAATTGATATAATATATAAAAACCTAAGATTCCATTATAATAGTATGTACATATGTTCATATAGCTGCCATCACTGCTTCTCCTCGCATGGTAGGCCCTTCTGGACGAGGAACGGATTCCGATTCCCCTGTCGCGAGCCCGGCGTACGTGTGTTATTTAATGCTTATCTTTATCCTTTTCCCATTAGTGTTATTGATGTTGGCAGCGGCGGGGCTCGTTGTCAACCTGCTCTCAAAAAACTTCCCACAGGTGCGGCCTCTCTCCACGTCCCTCCGATAAACTTGGCCTCCGGCTAAGCGCTGACAATTGATGCCAAGGATACTCCAGCCAAATCACGCGCTAAACATTATTTTAATGTCCCAAGGCATCACATATGGATGTATATATTGGAGTCCCTGCCTCTGTCTCTGCTCCTTGCCTCCTTGTTTCTGGTTTCGCAGGGACTCTTTAAAGCCCTGCCAGCTCGGTTCTGTTTCTCGTTTCTCGGAATTTGCGTGTGCGTCAAGAGGTCCCTTGGGATGAGCTGGCACTCTGCTTCCTGACACCAATTCATTGGGTCCCACGCATCAAGCCGGGTCGCATCCTTGAAGGATTTAGGCCTGAAATTGAATGAGAATTCTGGTTAAGTACAGGGCCAGATGGCTTGGCAACAAATCGAAGCCGGAAAGCTGTGCCCTGGAAAATGTATTGGTCTGCTTTAAAGCGACATGTAGAAGAATGAATGAATTTCTTTGTATAAAAAATAAAAAAACATATAAATAAAACAAGTTTGAAAAAGGAAACCCACAGTTCTGCAACACTTTTTGTTACAATTATCAGGAAGGGTAAAATGCAGTCCTGTTAATCTTCAATTTTTTAAAACTCAGGTAGCTTTGACATTTCCATCACCAACAAAGGTCGTGCGGCAGCAATTGTGTTCTGTTATGTAGTTTTCGACTGGTGGATAAACCTTTCACACATTTTCAACACCAATCCCAACAAATTCAAATGTTTCGCCAACATTTCGTATTCAAATAGAAGCACAAAACAATTAAGAAGCGGTCGAGGAATTTCGCAAGGCCCCAAGTGTAGTTGAAACCCCTTCTGACAGCACCCGAGTTCTGTATTTTCTATAGAAAAGCGACCAAGGCCCAAGTAGCAAGAGCCCCGAGTGAAAACTTATTCAAAGAGACCATCGAAGGCGGACCAGATGCGCCAGCCAAGACCTCCGCTCCAAAGTCCAGCCGAGCCGACAAACTAAAATCCTCCCTTCAGCCGGAGATCCCATAAACGAGAAACCCAACCGTAGAACCAAGTATCCAAGGTGATGTGGTACCAAAAATATACAATGAGCCCGCAGCGACGTGTGCCTGTGGTGCACCATCAGATCGCAATGCAGTGCGCCCGGAGCATTATGCGCGTGGCCTCTGCCGTGCCCCAGCCGCCGTCCTGCTACCCGTCCGGCCATGTGCCCATCCTGGTGGAGCTGCGCCGCACGGACGAGACCACTGTTTACCGCTATCAGGTGAACGTGCCGCCCTGGGGCTGGGCGCTGGAGCAGGAGCCGTGGTGGTCATCGGACTTTGGCAGCACCTCTGACACCGATCTTCAGGTACTGATGCTTCCCGATTTAATGGACTCGCTGGTCCCAAAGCTGCCGGATATACCGCCCTGTCCCATGCACGGACATTTTGGTCTGGATGCGATTCCAGTGCCGGCACAGCCCTTGGTAATGAGCCAGTCCTTCGTTCATGTGGTCCACTCAGCGGATTCTCCGTTCGTCCCGGCCATCATATCCACATGCAGTGCCCCAGCCGTGGCTGGCAGAGTCGCTGACCCCATTCTGGAGCACTTTGAGGACACACTATACGGGAAGCAGCTGCCCTACTCTAACACCTGGCTGCCGGTGGAACAGGAAGCAGCCATACAGTCAGCCACGGATTCAGCTTCAGCTTCATGTTCTACTCCTGCTTCATCTCCCATCTCAGAGTCGCAGCGGCGTTCCCGGAATGTGCCATCGCTGCCCCGCCGCTTTCCACAACTGCTTCTTCTGGACGAAAATGACGAATACGTGGTCTCCAAGGAGGAGCGTCGAACTAACGGGCGTAGGCCGGAGGCGGGAGGAACTCGAAGCGAGTGGGCTAGAATCCCCGAACTGTGTCTGGACAGCAACGGGGAGTATGTGCCAAACCAGCTGCTCCAGCGTCCGCTCTACGGCTACCGGTCAGGAAGCAGGGTGCAGCCAGCAGTGGAGCAGCATCCCAAGCAGCAGCAGCCGAAGGTTCATCTTCCTAACGGACTTAATGGCCTAAAAGGCCGCAACGGTTTTAAGGGCCTCAACGGCTTCCCGCCCCACCTCAATGGCCACCACAAGAACGGCTACAAGGCCGCTGACCAGTGCATGGCCTATACAGATCGGGACAAAGTGATGCGTCTGCGCTTCCAGGAGCACGTCGAAAGCCGGTCGGATCAGGTGCCGGACCGACGCGAGAAGGTCGACCAGAGTATGCAGCGACTGATGGCTATAATGCCAACGGAGCCCAAGGAGCCGCTGCCGAGTGTCACAGGTGAGATGTGCCAGAGATTTTTATTGAGAAAAATAATTGTTAAAAGGGAATCTAAATAAATATCATTCTCTATTCATTTTACAGATGTTGTTGTGCCGACGGAGGCGCTGCCGCAGCCCCACAGCTATCGGGAGCCGCAGACGTTCTTCCGCTGGAACTACTGCACTCTGTGTCACACGGCCATGCGGACGGTGCGCAACTCCGTTGACCATTACACGTCACGGGCTCACGAACGCAGGGTCAGCACCTTTCTGGGCCGCCTGCGTTTCGAGAAGAATCTGGGCACGGGCTCGGCCCTTGTGGATATCCTGGCCCTGCCGGATCAAGTGCTCCGCTATTTGCACAAAGACCGACCCTCGGACTTGTACTGCGACCTATGCGACCTTCGGCTCACCTCAATTATCCATGCCGAGCAGCACTTTTATGGTCGCCGCCACCGCCAGATGGAGCGCCAGATGAGTGAGCCGAACGGCTTAAAGAGCCACTGGACTCGCAAGGACACCAAGCTACTGATGTGCGAGCTGTGCGACGTGAGCATCACCTCCGAGTCCCAGATGGCCATGCACATCTCAGGTGTCCGCCACCGGAAGCGTGCCCACATAGCACGCGTCCGTGGCGTCTTCGGCCTGGGTCCGGTCCCCGTCAATGGCAGCCACATGTTCGAGATCAACACCAACGGCACCCTGGCCCCGCTTCGTCCGCAGGGCATGCTCCCCGTTCCCGGTTCAATCCAGTTCCGCCCTTGGGGTGATCCCAGTGCCGCCTACTATTGTGAGGCCTGCAACGTGACCCTGAACCATCTGAAGTCCGTGAAGCAGCACGAGAATGGACGCATGCACCAGCGCAACCTGCTGCGTCTGCCCCCGCAGTGACCAGAAGCGAGGATGATCGGAATGGATGCCATAAAGGGAGGGGATAGTAGGGAAGGCAAAGTGCAGTTCGATTTAACCACCAAAGTCCGGATCGAAGAAGCCGGTCCGCGTTGCAGTGCTGCGTGTTAATTGCAATTTATTTTTGATCTATCTAGCTTTTTTTATAAGTTTTATAATAGTAGTAAATAAATATCTCCCTAAAATCCCAAAACGTAGAGTAAAATGTGCATTATTTATTACGTAAATATTAGTTTGGCTTGGCTTTGAAAGCTTCATTTCGTTTTACAAAATAAACTCGAGTTTAAACATAAATTTTATAAGGTTTTCAAACTTTTAAAACTAAATTAAGTATAATTTCCTACACAGCTACAGAGCTATTTGTTTTTTAGACTTGCAGATGTTTAAAAATACTTATTTCTCACTTAAAAATTATTCTTAAATTTTGCTTTCTGGGAAAATGATGCTTGCAATATGTTGCCTACTTTCGGGGATAATTCATAAATGTATACCAGCAACATGTTGCTGCAACAAAGTGCACTGCAGCCGAATCAGAAATCCACATTTCCTGCTGGGGTGAGAAACTATCAACTCATCCGGGCTTAATTAATGATGCAATTCTCTCGCCGCCACTGTCTGGAATCCCTGCTTTTAATTGCTCGCCTGCTTATGCATCGGCACGCTTTCCCCTGGTCGCCAGACGAAAGTGGCATAAAATCTGATGCCACTGCAGACGACAATGGTGGCCGTAAAAAGGAGTTATATCGAAGAGAGACCGCCACTGCCAGTCGGCGGGAGTCTAGACAAAACATGGCGCTAAATAAATAAATAATGTCAGCTAAAAAACCAACACCTACCGCCGCCGACATTGACACAGCCACAAAAACGGGCACAGAAACTTGGGAGGTAGAATATTTATGGCCAATTTTTTTGTCTCCCAGCTATGTTACTTTGTTTGGGTTTGGCAGAGCAAGGTCAATACCGTGGTGATCACACACCCTAGCACAGAGCTACGGTTACGGATATCTCCTACCCCTTCGGCCTGGTCTGGTCGCCGGTTCGCCGGCAGACAGCAGAAGCTTCAAACATGTTTTCGCATAAATTAAACTTCTTATCTGACTGTAAAACATTTGACGCCATTTCTGGTATTGTTCATGTCGCATTTTCCACACTTTTCACTGCGGAAATGTGCATATGAGTAGGGGTAGGAAAAATACATATAAATATGGGCGGGAAATTGACATTTTTATCGATGATGAAGTTAATGATATTGCCATTGTCCGAATGGATGTTCGCTTTGCATTTATCTGGCTCGATGACAGTCGTGAGCAGATGAACTGCAGCTGAATAAAAATACATTTTCAAGTCTTTTCATATAATGTAAATAATTTTAAAAAATATATAGATATTTAAAGAATTATAATTGCCAGTTAAAGCGAAAGAAATATTTTCAAAAGTTCATACTTTTCCTTTTTCCGGTAAGATAAGTAAATTGAATTTAAAATCAAAACGTTATAGAAAAAATATCCCGTTAATGTTATTTTTTATGGCCTTTGATTGCTCTTTATAATGGCTTTTAAAAATGCATTATCGTTTCTCCAGGTCTGACATGTATCTGTTTTTTCACATATTTATATTAGCTGCACTCCAGACCCTCTGAAAATTGCGTTGAGTTCGTGTACAACTGTGTAAACAAATTAATTATGCAACTTTGTGGGTGAGCAAACTGAGCCAGCCCCCGCTCTCGCTCAATAAAATATCCTTTCAACATATTTCAGCATAAACATTCGCCATTTCCTGCCACTCGCACTCACATGCCCCTCTGGGCCTGCCTCAATCGCTCAGGCATAAGGAAATTTATGCGTGGCGAGGCCAAAACCAAAACCAAAACCGAAACCAAAACACATTCTCCAGGGCAAACTCTCGACTCTGGCGACTAATTTGCATTCGTATGGCCCCCAGATAGAGTGCGGCGCAAAGATACGGATACACACGGGTCGAGATACAACTGCAGGCTGCATCTGTGCAATTAACATAATTTTGGCAAAATGCTCACTTGGACAAAATGCCGAGGTAGTTTAACTTATTTGCATATTAAATAATGTGTCTAAGTCTCAGAAATGGAAATGGAATTATCATATATGACTATATCTTTAAGTAATTGTTAGGCTAGTTTTGGTTCTTAAAACTCTTTTAGATAATTCTAATATTTAAATGAAAAAAAAACTAACTTTGACAAGCCAAAGTTTATATACTATTGCAGTTTGAAATTTAATCTGCTAAATGCTAAATGAAAATGTTTGCAAATTACAAAAATTGTATTCCTATTAATTTATTTTTAATAAATTAGAATTTAAATTGCAAATCGGTGTATACATGCTTTTCAGCGATCTTCAGCTTTTTAAGCACCTTATGTCATCTAGATTAGCTTTCTTCGATATTTATCAATATATTTTTTGTATAACTTTTTGAACAAATCAAAGCCTAAAAACCTAAAGTTTAAAGCTTTTCTATGATAGTTTTTCAAGTTTATCAAAATCTGCCTACTGAATCTAAAATTTTAAGAAATCAAAATCACTGCTTTGCAAACTTCAGACTAAGATTATAATACCTAACAAAGGTCTAAAAACGGCAAACAAATATATATATCCTGAATACAGAAGCTGATTACTTTACAACCCTAATTTAAATATAAAAAATTTATAATAAAACAATAATAAAAAATCTTTATCTTCTCATAGACATGCTTTACAGATCATATAAAATGTAATGCTATGGACATATTACAATATGCCCGTTTCAAATATTTGCCTATACGTTATGTGGTCGTTTACTTGTCACAAACTAATAAACTTTTTATATGCCACAGTCACCGTGTATATTTTTTTTCTGCCGCTTACTGTTTTTATAGCACTTATTACAGGTCGGTCGATGTTATGTCAAAACTAGACTCACATTTCTCAAAGGGTGTGTGTTGGGGATCAGCGCAAAAGGTTCAAAGCGTGTGAAGTGCTTATTGTTTGGCTGTCTCTGCCGAATTATATAAAATGCTTTTAATGTTTTTAATTGTTACGTGTTTTGCGTACATTGTGTGTCACAAAAAACAATAGAAAGAAAAAGAAGCAAGTATATGATGGAGAGAGGCGAAGTACTGTTAGGAAAACCGGACTGGCAAAGAACATACTCGGGGCGAAAGCGGAATAAATGCATGTAATTATAAATTACTAATTAAAAGCCTTAAAAAAAATTTATATTTAAAAAATAACCATATTTTAAAGACACAAAAAAGGCTTAATTAAGGGAACTAAATTTCTTGAAGCTCATTACAAACGTTGTTTTTTTCACAAATTCTTTACCTTTTCATCTACTTATCATTGCTCTGAATTTTAATTTTCTTCTGATTTCAAGAAAATGATATGAAAAAATATACCAAGTCACTCAATTTCGCACCCTCATTTTTGCCTCGTCATCTGCAACAAGTGACAACAAATTGAACAAGACGTTCATTAGAATCCGCATTTCGCGACGCAGACATCAGCATTAGTAAACAAATCCCCCGAGATTAAGCTGGGCTTCGTTTTTTCCTAAATTTGTTGTCTTTCTTTTTTATTTATTTATTGTTGGGATGAGATATGTGTCAATCGAATGTGTGGCAGCTAGCGAACAAAACCTGCTGGCGCTATACTTTGGCATTTCGCTCAAAAATATTGCAAGAAATGTAAACAGGAACAGAGCCTGTTGGCTGCTGCCTGGTACCATGACACATTTACCAACATTTTGCGAATGACAAATCTGGCAAGGCATTCGGTCGGTGCCCACCTGTAGTTGTTGTTGTTGTTTATGCTGTTTTTGTTGCTGTTGTGGCAGAGTTGGAAAAGCAAACAAACAACGCCGCTGGGGCTCTGTCTCTTGTGCCGCGTGCCTCATGTCTCATGACTCTCGCCATCGAAGCTGAAATCAAAAGCTGGAAAAGTCCGAAAATATTAGTGCAGAAAAAGTAAATGCTCTTTTTAACGAAAAAATTAATTCCCTTTTCTACAAATCAAGTAACCCTTTTAGCTTAAGTGCCAAGAAAATATTATTCATTTCTAGGCTAAATTAGTGGAGACAAAAATACCAAGTTAAAGCTAGATTACATGAATACAGAATTAAAATTAGTTTCAAGAAACTAAGGCATAATGGTGCACAGACGACGAGCTAAGCGAGCCAGAAGGCCTGCCGAGTTGGATCCATTGAGGGAATTCCTTGAACCCTATCTGGCTGACGATCCTGAACTGCAGGAATTGCTGCCGGAGATCTTGCGTATGCTCCATGAAATTCCCGATGCAGCATAATTACCATATTCCATCTAATTTGGTAAAATTTATGTTGTATTATTAATTACTCTTTGGTAAATGGTGCCAACATCTTGTGATTTTCGTGCAGCTTTCCTCGTTTTATAGAGTACACTCAAAACTACTTTCGATGTCGCCATTAGCAGACTTTTCTTGGTTTGGAAAATTTTTGTGTAGTTCGGACGTTGTTGAGCAGCAGCGGGACGGTGGCACCGGGCTGGAAGATTATATAATAACAGGCCACCGCCGCTGCGATGGAGAGAAGCTCCCGCCAGGAGTGGGCCACCGCCGCCACTGCATCTGTCTCTGGGTGCAATCAACCTGAAATTGGAATGCCATGCGAATGGAATTCGTTACCAAATATTGATGACAGTAATAGCCCCAGGAGCATGCAGCCAAGTTTTCTGAGCGTTAGGAATCACTTTACATAATCGCCCGAGAGAAGCGACCGGAGCCGCCAATAAAATCCGCGAAACTACCACGTTACGCAGACTCCAAGTTGGGCGATAAAAAACTGAGAGGAGAAAAACGCCCCACCAATTGCAACTTGTTGCCGCCGCCGCCGTTGGCCTAATTACAGTTGTTGGCCAAAAGCCGGTGTGGGCCCGTCGGCTGCTTGGAATGGGATGGCTGGATGCTGTTGGCGTGGGCGTGGGCGAGATCCAGGCGCCACAATTAAGATGCGGTTTCAAAGCGCCCACTTTCACGGGAAAGGCCCACTGGCTGGCTAACTGTCTGCTGCTTCCATCAACTACAATGTTCTTTGATTTTAGCAAGACTATGTGTACTCTTATTACTTTTGAGTTAATAAAATAAAGGTTTTGTGGTCAGAAATAGCCTGTCTTGTTCTAAAAATAAATCAAGAAAACGAAGATCATATCAAGTAACTCAAGTCATAAGTTTTAGCTGGAGATGATCGAAGGCTGTAAGATAACGTTCCCTCAGTTCCTGTTATATTGGTTTATTTAAAGGTTATATAATACAGAAGTTATAACTTTATCTGATATCTTTTTAAGCTTAAAAATCCAGGCTAAAAACATTTTAAGACACTCCTTAAACTTCATAATAATATTAGCAAGTTTCGCTACCTACATAAATTTATCACAGTTTAACCTTTTCATTTTGGTTTTAAATTCTCTCTAAAATTTTTATGTCTGCTGTAAATTTTAATGTTCAAGCCATTTATTGTTCTAAGGCGTTAAAGCCTTGAAATGTTTCCTCCTCGCTGCTGGGGTCAATACAAATCAAGCGTAGGTTTCCCCTAGAACAATTGGGGACTGGGTTCAAAGAGTCGTTAAAGTGTTAGCACAACAATTAACCCTACCCGGGTGCCAAGTCAACTGCGGCAATTAAGCACTTCTGCCTGATACACATACTTATACCAAAATACAAACATGGTTTATAAGCCGTCGTAAGATGATATGCAAATGAGATGGACGGCCGAAAAGTGTGTCAGCCGTAAAGCAAACACCAACAGAAGCCGCAAAAATCCTCTCGACAAGGCCACAAGGCAAGGAGAAGCTGGGCACAATGTCTGGAACTGGGACTTAACCCCTTGTCCCCGGCACTTAAAACATACGACTCTCTTTCAACAGATATTTTCAGTGTCACGCTGCGGTGCGATGCGGGATAAACCGAAAAAAGCCAAAAACTCAAAAATTACAACAATTTCGATGCAGCGGCAGCAACAAACAAAAATACGTAAAATAAAAATTACTCGCGCCTCGCGACCTTGAGATTGGCAGCATTAACCCATTACAAAAAATATGTGATTTTCAACATTTAAGAAAGGTGAATATATACATTAAATTGGGAAATATATATATGAAAGAATAAATATAAATAAGAGGTGCATAGCGTATTGTATACATTTAGTTTTGCAATGAAAATATATAGGATTAAAAATAAAATATGAAAAAAAGGTGGATCAACTTTTTGTTATTTATATACAGCAGATTAATTTAAAGTCTTACTTATATTAAATTTAAACATTAAATTTAAGTAAAGATAGAGCCAAAGCTAAGTCTTAAGTGGGTTAAACTGCCACTGATCAGTGGCATTGCCACGTTTGCCTTACTCTTGGTATTGGCAATTTTCCCCAGCCCAAAAACGTACGAAATGTTGTAAGAATCTCAGCAGAGCCAAAACCAAAAATAAAAGCCCCAGATAATTGCAGTCGTAACAATCCGAGCGAGATAATAACGAAAAGCACAACAGCAACAGCAACACAATTACCGAAGCCGGACAGCGGCGAAAGAAGTGGATGGCCCTGCCCCTCAGGTGATTGCAAGTGGCACGTGTTCATGACATTCCTTCCAGTCCAAGTTTGTGGCACTTGTAATGGCATTGCGACCCAATTGCCATCGCCTTGGGAGTGCAGATCGTATGCTATGTGATCATTTTTAATCGCTAACCAATTGCAATTCTATTTGTAATTGTTAAAAAAATTATAGATTCTGAAATGAAATTCAAACCTTAATAATAATAAAATTAATATAATATATGCTTAACTCTTTCCTTCAAAAGAAATCAAATAATAATTCAAAACAGAATTTTTAAAATCGAAATAAATACAATTTTTCGCGTCATTTATTACTTTATTTCAGAATTACATTCCTCTTTTAATTTTTTGCCACGACTATATCTCTTTTTATTAATAAACACTTTACTTGAAATCTTTAAAAAAAATACTCCAATATCCATAAAAAACAAAGTTTGTAAATACTATTATTTAGGGCTGCTTCAATGTCAGCGTTCGCCTCTGCGAAACTTCCTTCCAGTGTTTTTCTTTTATTTCCCCCAGTTTTTTTTCGCTCACCGTGGATGTGGTAAGAATGCATGTAAAAATGGTTATTGAATTTATGATTAATGTCTGTGCACATTGTTGTCATTGAGGAGCCGACAAATTGGCCCGGCCAAGGGCAACCAGTGCGGCAAGAAAACCAAGAAACCCCGAGATAAACGGGAAGAGATAGCTGCCAAAGCTGCTGTGGTGGTGGGAACAGAAAAAATACAAAGAAATAAAGCCAAGACAAGGCCCAGACGCAGTGACAACACCGGGCAGGCAATGGAATAATCCCAAGATGCAGATAGCCTGAAATGAGATATAAACAAAACAAATGACGGGCAATCACAACAAATCGCGCAATGAGCGATGCCATGGGAGGGAGGAGGAGTGCTCCCGCCTTCAGCCAGGCGCGGCACAAAGCAAAATTGTGTGTGTTTGCGTCTTTGAGTAATTCTCCACCTGCATTTTAATTTGGCCAAATGCAGACGTAACCCGACGCCGGGCCAAATATTTCGACAGGCCGAGCCTCGCCGGGATGGGGGCTGCTTCAATTGCAATTACCTTGGCGTCGCACCACCGGAGCACGCAACCGAACCGAGGCACCGTATGGGACGTTCGGGACGTGAACGTGCCAAGTGCTCCGCCGCCTAACGGGCTAAACGGATCGAACCCAGAGACAAGCCCCATCTCGCCGAAGGAAAGCGAAACGAATCCAAACGAAACGAAAGACTTAGGCAAAAAACTTGCTCGGCACGCGCCAAGCATGGCTAGCAAAGGGAGGGGAGCGGCCACAGGTTGCATTGGGGGCGTCGAACATGTCGGCATGATCAGCTGACTAAACTGGGCAAGTTGAGCTAGGTCGGTAAATATTTACACAGGGAGAAAATTGTTTTTAATTGTTATAATTCAAAGTATATAATTTACAAAATTTCCCAAAGCTTACAGTATTACTTTATGCTTAAATATAAGCTAGTTTATAATGAATCAATTAAAAAAATTGATTTTTCTATAATTTTATTCGTATCATTTCTACAATACAAAAACATATATTCTCATTAAATTATATACAATATTTATAATCCTTGGTCGTAGCAATATATTATTTTAATGTTACTTCTTTTTATCCCTGTGCACCTTAATTACCAAGCCATACAAGTGGCAGCTAAGCGACCGTTTTATATTGAGAGGAGCAAGTCACAATACCTGCCTTAAATCAGCACTTCGGGAGCTTCAGCTATTTCGCATCCACAAGCACGCGATCCGCAGTCCAACAAGTTGGCCCCAAAGCCACCGATCGTGGCTGCAACTCGGGCTAGCTGAGCTCCCTGCCAGCCGAGTCTCGGCCAGTCGAGTGACGAAGCTCAAGCCAGACGGTTGCCAAAAGCAGATTGTTCGCCGCGCCAAGACCCCCAGACCCAGTGCTACGGATTAGTGTGTGTCACTGGCCGTGGGAATAAGCTAAAGGATACCCCCGGTTGCCATCCAATCGGATACGATCCGAACCAATCCAACACGTTACGTGCCTCGATTGTGACGAAAGCGGAGATAGTGACGACGTAACCGTTACGCCCAAGTGCAGGCCACCGCTGCATTTGCCAATTTGCCCCATTTTGTGTGTCCGACTGAGCGTGAGTCAGGGGAGTGAGTGTGCGAGTGTGCCAAGTGAGTGTGCCCAGAGTGTCCCAGTGAGTGCTTCGCGTTTGCTTCGATCTGTCTCGTTCCAATGCGACCCACCGTGGAGGACCGGGGTCGTCTGCTGATGACCCTGCTGCTTCATTGTCTGGTGGCCATGCAGGTGTGCGGCCGGGCAGGTGCCTTCACCCTACTCTCGCCCTTCAGCTCCACCTCGCAGACGTTCAAGAACCTTCTCAACTCGGTGCTGCTGTCGAGCAATGCCAATCTGGCAGGCGGTGGGCGTAATCTCAAGTCAGATGTCCTTGAAGATGCCTCACTAATTACGGTGAGTTTGAGGATAAAAAAATATAAAGATTTTTGCCCCTTTTAGAAATACTTTTGAAGCTCAGTTATAAAGATTGAGTCCATAAATTTTCCCCCCATCAGTTTTCAAATATCATTTTGTCTACCAAGTCGGTCAAATATTTCCGCTTGACTTCCCCTTTGGCATTCACCTAGGTTTATCTAACAGTTTTTACTTGATTTCTGTTTGGTTTTTCGCTTTGTTATGGTTACGGTTTTCTTTAGGAACAATCGCGTTTAGTTCTGGCATTTATTTTCGTTTGACTTTATTCTTGTGTGTCAAATGAATTTACACTTTTCAAAAGACTACGTGGAAGTGGACGTGAAAAGAAAGTCCACGTCTAGTGAAAAGTGTAAATTTTCGTTCTGAGAGTTCGTTGACCAAGAACCATTAAGAGGTTCGTTGGAGTTACCGGCGGAGGGTAATGGTCACCTGTCGTGATCAACTGCAGTTGGAATTGCACCGAGACCGACACTTACAGACTTCCCTTTGTGTTTGGCAAGCGAGAGGAGAGAGTGGTCGTAACTCGTGAAAATTTCGTTGCCTTTTTATGGCGTTAATCATGTCTAACTTCGGCGAGTGAGTTAACTCGCGCGTACGTAACGGCTGGATTAATTTCTTAAGCTGAGGCTAATTAAAAGATTTATGAGCATTGCATTGCATTGCCGGTGGTGTTAAATAACACCAGTAGAGGTGGTGGGGACTTATCTCAGTTAAAGAACGATAAGACTGCAATCATCCACGCGTCCGAGAAATCCATACAGGTTTTTGTATTTATTTATTTGTTGATTGCTTTTCAAGCCGCCACTTACAGCCAAACAAAAGCGTAAGCCTTTGGCTTAGCCTTCGATGGAATATGGATCGGACACGAAATAAGCATTTTATGGTCGAAAGCGAGCGCTTTTTTAGAATTGATAGCCCCGATTCGTTGGCTATTGACCTTGCGCCCATTTACAACGCTGACTTACGTGTCCAGCAATTAGATCAACATTTTCATTAGGCTTGCACACGCGCCTAAGGTTTTCCCTGGGTTTCCCTGAAGGCCAGAAAATTTGCATTTTACATTTGCCTTGTTGAAAAGTCATTTTACAAAACATATCTAGTATGATCGGTAACCAAATAAAGCCGAGGATTACCCAATATTTCGGGAGAAGTCAACAAACAGTTTGGGGCGAAAATGAGCAGAGCCAATAAAGCCAGGCCAAGAGCCGGTGGAAAAGAGTTATTAACATGTGTGCGAGTACACATTGACGACGTAACGTAACGTATTTATGCGATTTACGTGATTCAGTATATTGCGCAGACCCAGAAACTAATAAAGGGTGCACAAGTACACAGGTACCCTGTCTATTGTCAACTGCTCAAGTGGATCTTATGCAAAGTCACGGCTGGGCTTTCTGCTGCGCGTGTCTACTCGGAATAAAACACCGAAAAGCCCCTCCGTAATTTCTGCACGTTGCCAAATTGCATAATAGCAGGGCCTGAGAGATGGCCAGATACACAGATACCACTATATCTCTCTGAGGGGACACCTTTAACGGTGGCGGGCACAATAACAAATTGAAATTGTCAACGCTACACAATAATCAACGTGCAATTAGCCTGGTCCCTCCAGTGCACGTCCAGCGCTTGACTGACTTTGAAATATGGGTTAGCAGTCGGAGTTGGCTCTGGGCCACCCCGTCGTCCGTAGTCCTCCCACCCAAAATGTCAACGAGGAAGGCCCGCAGGCACCCCCGATAATCAGGAAATAACAAAGTTGCAGCTCTTGGCTTGGCACTCCATTTTCCCCCATTGTTTTTTGCATAAAAAAGGTTTCGGTTTTTGCCTTAATTTGAATTTAAAGATTTCCGCATTGCCGGGGCTGCCAAAGACTTACAAATGGATGTCGTTGGGAGTGATTATGTCGAGGTGTTGTAACTTAACCGGCAGAAATGGGTTCAAGTCAAAAAAGATTTCAATAAATTATTATATTTTATAATTTTTGTATTGTATTTTCATATTTTCGTTTAAGAAAGTTGTGAAAATGTTTGGCTTCGTTTAAAAAAAATCAATCACCAAGGCAATTATCTATTTTCATATTGCTTTTAATCAAACGGTAATCAAATTCTAGAAACCCTAATCGATCAATCTAATTTGCATAATTATCTCAAGTCTTAAGTCTCTGCTCCACTTGATCAGCCTCTGAATCGAAGAGTTCAAATGTGATTAACCTCTAAGATTTTAATGCCATTAAAACGATGTCAGTCGGCGGCATAAAACGGCGGCCCAGAAAATGCAGCCGAAGAAGAAGACCTGACACCGAATAGGAGGGGAGAGGAGCGGAGGATGGATGGATGAAGAAAAACCAGTTGGGGTCGATGATGCGCTGACATCGAGACGCTTCGAACGGCAATCATTATAATGAGAAAGAAGAGTGATAAAAGCCTAGTCAATATCAAGGTCAGTTACAAAATGAGCGATGGTCTACCAGTTGGATATATTGACACAGAGCCCCATCCATCGGGCTCTCGGACTCGGACTCCTCCAAAAGGTAAATCCGCTGACAAGCTCACCTCAAGTTCGAGCATCAAAAGTATTTTATGCAAATGATTTGAAAAAAGGCGCGCCGAAAGCAAAAGCAGCCCCTCCAAGCGTTGACACCAAAAAATTTGCATTGAATTTACAAAAGCAAACGAAAACATGGAAGTCCATGTACCATGCAACACTGGATGTACAGTAGCCATCGTTTAAGTTAAATCACATCGTAAAATGTACTAAAATATTTATTAAATATCGATTCAGTATAATTATATTCCTATATAATTAAAATATATAAATAATTTATCTAATGTTAAATACCTTTTCCCAAAATTTGCTAAACAAATTCCACAAGCAACCTTAGTTACCCTGACTATTTCTTTTAGCCAATATCCACTGTACACGAATCATTGCCAATTAGCGCGGACACAAACCGGAGGCAGGCAAACACACGAAAAATTAGTGGGTCATGATGACCGATATGATAATCGCGCCCCAAGACTACTTTATAGGTGCTAATAAAGTTTTGGCGGCTTTTTTCGGCCAAAACGAACGCATAAGTTCAGTTAGCGAAACCGTAAAAATATGAATAAAGAAACAGAGAAAATAAATAAGAAACAGACAATCCATTTTTGCATTGGCCCAGGTCGAAAAATCACTACATTTACTTTTTCTACCGGTCGCTGGCTTGCCTCGCCTCTCCCCTACCCTCCATTTATTTATTTAATTATAGTTTTTCCAACATTTGCGCGCATTGTTTGCAGCCGGCAGTTTATTTGATTTATTCACTGCGCAGAGTGCCTGGTCTTTGTATTTAAATTGGCGTTAAAACAAACAATTCGAATATTTGTGCAATATTTGTTGGTCCAGCGTGTGCTTTTTGTCTTATTATTAGTTTACACAACAAATAAGTTTATTTAGGTTTTCCACATGATTGCCACTGGATATTCAATTGAATAAAGAGGTATTATTTACAATAATAATCCTCTGATTCTTATTTTATTTAAGAGAAAAAAGACCAAAGTAATTGAAGAATTTATGTGTGCAATTTGTGTGATTTGCCTGCTTGCTGCTGTCTTGTCCGAATATTGCTGATTTTTTTTGCACTGCCCATCTACGTGAATTTCCAAACTTTTTCGAGATTGGCCAACATGGCCGAGGCGGGCGGGAAAATCCAGCTGCCGGCCCGCACTTTGTTGCATTTTGCGCGTCTTTGCAACGCCTTCCTGGCCAGAGCTCTGTGCTAATATTGGCCAGGCCTGTTGTTTCGCAAAAATGTGTGTCAAGCCAAGGAAAACAAAAACTTCACCGAGTAGCATCGCCAGCGGCATCGGCATCGGCGTCTCCAGCAGCTGTTGCAACCTTTCGGGGCTTGGCCAAGTCACTTTCTGCGCCGGCTTCTTCGCACCTCGTTCGCGGGCTGGCTCATTCATTCTTTTTAAGCGGCGAACAAAGAAATTATGCAACACTAAAACAGCCAAGGAAATTGCCAAAAAAAAATACATTTGGGTAAATAAAAACAAACCAAATTTATGCTCAAACATTTGGCAAAAATCGGCCGAAAACAGAGCAGGAAAAAAGAGTTGGCTGCCTTACTTTGCGTACCACTTCCTCATGTTGTCCAACCAGCCGGCAAAGTCAGTTGGCCAATTGCAGTGTTTGTATTATTTTTGTTTTTTTCGGGCCATTCGCTGCCAAGGTTAATTAAAATGCCAGCCAGCAGCTCCCAGAGAGTCGAGTCTCTGGCGGCGTTTGTTTTAATTTTGTTTGTGGGTTTAAGTAATCGCGTGTTTATAACTTAACTTCTGCAATTGTGTTATGAGTTTTTCTTTTTCTGTTTATTTTTTTTTTTCGGGCACCCACTACCCCATTGCATAACGAACTTATCAAAAGTATCACGGATTTCTGTTAAAACCTATAAGCAGGAAGAAAAGTATGCTGTCATACAGTGCGTATGCGTGATACGTGACTGGGTTAAACTATGGCGATGTGCTTATAAAGGTTGCCGCGTGGACTTTTGCGTCACCTGTAGTTCCAATAAAGCGTCTCCCCAATGAGTATTACTCTGTAGTTTTTAGCGGTGTCAATAATAACATTCTATATATAAATATGTATATCTTACGACCGCCAGAATAATTCCATTATTCAAAGCCCAGCCAGGCACAAGCAATTTGCTTGACGACCGCAACAGCTTGGCAACTAGCAACTTTATTAACTTGTTGATGCCACAAATTAAAATTCATTAGCTCCAAATGACTGTGGTTAAGGCCAGACGGAGTGCCTCCTTGATGATGACGCCCCCAGTGGGTTTCCTGGGGCTTTTTTCACCTGCTCTGACACCTCCCTCCCATCTGAGCTATGCAAATTGAAGAGCTGTGAGAGCAGACGGAAAAAAAGTAGAAATAAACCTCGGCCAAGGCAACTCAATTTCACACTGCCATGATTTGCACTTCTAACACCTTTCTCTCCTGGATTTCTTTCCGGTTTTTCCAGCCCAAATTAATACGCAAATACGGCTATCCATCGGAGACGCACACGGTGGTGACGAAGGATGGCTATATCCTGGAAATGCACCGCATACCCAAGAAGGGAGCCCAGCCGGTGCTGCTGATGCATGGGATCCTGGATACCTCGGCCACATGGGTGCTGATGGGTCCCAAGTCTGGATTGGGTAAGTGTGAGGAGATTGTACAAGAAAATAAGAATAAATCAAAGGCTTATAACTATACTTTAAGTTAATTTTATAACTAAAAGAGCCATTAATTTTATAAAACCCTTTCAGGCTACATGCTCTCCGATCTCGGCTACGACGTTTGGATGGGCAACTCGCGTGGCAATCGGTACTCCAAGAACCACACCAGCCTGAACAGTGACTACCAGGAGTTCTGGGACTTTACCTTCCACGAAATGGGCAAGTACGATTTGCCGGCAAACATCGACTATATCCTGAGCAAGACCGGCTATGAGCAGGTGCATTATATCGGCCACTCGCAGGGCACGGCCATCTTCTGGGTTCTGTGCTCCGAGCAGCCGTCCTACACCCAGAAGATCACCTCAATGCATGCCTTAGCACCCATTGCCTACATCCATGACATGAAGAGCCCTCTGTTTCGCACCCTTGTTTTGTTCCTCGACTTCCTCACGGTGAGTTTCTATTTCACATTTTGCATATTCCATTTTCAAATCCGTGTTCTCCCCTCGTTCTCGTTTTCATTGCAGGCGGCCACACGAATGCTGCGCATCACGGAATTCATGCCCAACACCAAATTCCTAGTGGACCACAGTCAGGTTGTGTGCCACGACAACGCCATGACGCAGGATGTCTGCTCCAATATCCTGTTTTTGGTCGCCGGCTACAATACTGAACAGCTGAACAAAGTAAGAGCTAGTGCACTGGGCAAAGTTATGGAGGGATAAAGTGTTAGGGTTCAGGATTGGAAGCTTAACTTTGATTAAATTTATTTAATTATGGGGAAACAAAATAATAGGTTTGCTTTTATTTTTTTACTGAGTATTGAAAGATGCTTTTCCTTCTTAAAATGGTTTAACACTAACGGAAGCTTCATCTTTAATTTAAATTAATTGTTTTTAGTAAGGATTTTCCGCTCTGTATGTGAGTATAAGAAGAAAGGGAAAAGGTGAGCTGGAATTGGATTTTCGTTGTGTTTTGGCCACGATTTCGCGTGACTTGCAGGCACGCTGAGAGGCATCGATTTGGGTTTTTGGGGGAATCCCTGTCTTCGGGTTGTCCCTTCGATGCTGTTGGCACTTAATTAAGCCACCTCAACTCGTTGCCAATTGGGTTTGCACTTTGACATGTTGCTCCCTGTGGTAGAATCAAATGCAGGAAAAGTTTTAAAACTAAACCGAACTCGAAATAGCTCAATTTCTAGGCTGTTTACTTCTAGTGGCACTAATGCGATTGCGGCAATAAGCTCAATGCCCTGGCAAAACTTTAGGCCGATAATCGGCCGCAAGCTAAACACCCGCAGATTCAAAATTATGGCCCACAAAATGCGGCGGCTTAAATTACTCGAACCGCATGCAACTCCGACCCCTGACCCGACATTGAAAGGGTTTCATTATCCATTATGTCAACGGCCGGCCAAGAGTGGGCGTGGGATTGTCTTCGTGTTGTCCTCGCCTGCGATGTTTGAAATTGGCATAATTAACCGGCACAAATGCTTGGATGCCCGGAATTCTGGGTAGCTGGGATGCCGGCAGAGCCTGGCTGCCAGAGATGGCCGACAACAAGCGACAATGCATGCAAATTAGGTGCGATTCTGTGACCCAACATGGACCTGAACCCAGACCCACAACGCCACCTTGCCCTTTATCAGTAATTTAGCTCGAAATATCCATGTAGGGGCACAGGGAACACGGTTCGGCGTTGTTACATTGTGTACGGAACAGGTGTAACAGGCAGAATTGCTACCCATGCACTGGGGAAAATAAGAGAACAAATAATATCAAAATTAAACATTATATTAAGAGAATTTCTGTTCTTTTAAAAATTTATTAAAAATATTTTAAATATTTCTAGACCATGCTCCCTGTGATGCTAAGCCACACACCCTCAGGCGCCTCCATCAAGCAGCTGGAACACTTTGGCCAGCTGATGAAGTCGGGACACTTCCGAAAGTTCGACCGCGGTTACCTACGCAACCAGCTAGAGTACAACAGGATGACGCCGCCGGACTATGATCTGTCGCGGGTCAAGGTTCCCGTTGCCCTGTACTACTCCGTGAATGACTTGCTTGTGTCTACCACCGGCGTGGATCGGCTGGCCCGGGAGCTGCCGAACGTGATCGACAAGTACCTGGTGCCCATGGAGCGGTTCAATCACTTGGACTTCCTCTGGGCCATTGACGTAAAGCCGTTGGTCTATAATCGTTTGGTGCGCAATGTTCGTCGCATGGAGAACCACCAGATCAAGTTGAGGACCAATCTGGCCAGCTATTTGGCCATGCAACTGCAGCGACAGCATCTTCGGCAGCAGATGATTGAGCAACAGATGAGGGACGGCACCCTGCCGCCTAATGTGCACTTGCCTCATGGATTTGGCATGGTCACCCCCAGCTCCTTGCCTCCTGCCACCCCACCGCCAACAACTATCACGCCGACGACCACTGGGGAGCCAATAAATGACGACGACGACGACGTGGGGGTTCTGACCACGACCGACAGCAGCGGTATCAGCAACCCAGCAACTGAGGTTCAAACGGAGGCGTGACTTTGACCAGGCCCTTTTCGTTCCAATTCCATTATGACTGTGATGACATTTTTAACAATTTACCGATCGCAGCATCGCCAGGAGGAGGGAAGACCTCCAGGTCATGTGCAATCTCTCAGGCGCAATCCATATCCATGCATCCAAGTACCATCCTTCCACACACACAGAGCCGCTCTTTTTCCGCCAGAATTAATTGATCCGTTTTCTGTGCTACCTTTAAACCCTTTAATTTATGTGTACAAATTTACGAGTAATTTTAAAATTACGTTTACGTATAATAAAAGAGATATTTTAAGAAAATATAAAAGAATTTTTATATAAAGAGGCTTCACGAAAATGGGGAGAGATTAATTTGACAGTGTTGACGAAGAGGCACCTCTTTCTTGGGATTTTTATATTTTTTATTACTTACATTATGGTGAGAAGCACTAATTCTTATAAAAGTTATGAATTAAGTCTGCACAATTAGTTTCATTTATTTTATTCAAGTTGTAAGGAAATTCCCTGTAGTCTACGTATATTACTCATACGACATGTATACTACATTTCATGTTATTTCCCCACCAATGGAAAGTATGCAACATATATTCCCTTATTTATTCCCTTCTGCCCGCTAGCATGCTATGACTTTTATCGATTACATCGATTTTAAATATGAAATTAATTAAAGAGCAAATACAAATTTTCCAGTAGAAAAAGCACAGCGGACTCGACCTCAGAAATGGCCAAAAAGCAGTGGGTCCTGGGAGAATATATATAAATATATCTGGAGAAAAGCCGGTAGCAGGCAGCAAACAGCACCAACGCTTAATTGCGACTTAAAACGCAACTCATTTCGACAGCCAGCCCGCGAAACTTTATCCTGGCCGCAGCAGGAGTCACAGCCACAGGACCAAGACCTAGGTTACACTGAAGGAATTTTGGTTTTGGAAGAAATAACAATCTAAAAAATATTATTCAGTTAGCTAAATAAAGATAATAATTTAAACCGATTTGTAAAGTTCTCTAAAAAAATCAAGAGCCCTAATAAAATTCTAATCTTTACAATTTTTATTTAAACAAGTGCTGAACATTTAAAAATAAAATGGATAAAGTACTTATTGCGACTACCCTAATAGTGTTTTGTAATTGATGTGTTTACCTCTAAAAATTCTATATTTTGATACAAATTAATTAAAATAGAAAGAACGTAAATAAAATTTGTCTTTTTATTAAATATATTATTTTTCCAGTGCCCGGACCCGGACCCGGACTGAAAATGTCGTTGTGAGAGCCTGCGGACCACAGTTGTGCACTTGCAGCGACAACTTTAAGCCGCCTTCCCAATGAATTGCCTTCATTTGTCGTCGTTTGGCGTCTGGCAGCCGGGAGACCCGAGACCCCATCGACCGTCCAGGAGCAAAGAAGAAATTGCAGCGTCTGTGACTGTAGGCAAACTTACCGCGCACACTGTTGCTAAATAAACAGCCAAACACAAACACAGTGGGTGACAGCCGCAGAATGGGATTAAGGCAAGGCGGCCACCATAAAAGTCGCAACTTTCAGGTGATATTACCTCTGGGCTGAATCACGACTCCTCGCGGCAGTCCGAAGGGAAATGAAAAATGCAGTTCCTGTCGGTGGCTGAGTTGTTGTCAACGACTAATGTCGAATTGCTTCCGTTGTGAATAAACATAATTCATACCTTTAGACTTAAGACTTTAAGAAGTATCTGAGAAAAGTTACATTATATTTAAGGTACTACTCATTTCAGAACTTAAGAGAAAAATAAAATATTCGAGTTATTTTTTAAAGGTATAATAATTTCCAGAATAATTAATTCCATTTAAACGTAAAATTTTTGGTAATGTTTCCTCCACAATGACATCAAGCATACGCCAGGTTGTCCTTGTTTCATTTGTTTATTCTTGCTGTCAATAGAGAGGAAAATAAAGGAACGAAATAAATTAAATAACAAAAACACTAACGCGAAAACAACAAAACATGGAGCCACAGATGCAGTAGCACAACTGACACAAATTCAACTTTAATTAAAGTTTCGCCAGAGGATGCGTTGCGGGCACCTCCATTCTTGCACATTTCCCCACTAAACTAAGCTAGATGGAAGCCCACATGTTTACACATTGCTTTTAACTAACTTTGACAGACTCCCAGGACCCCCAGCCACTTCCGCTTAGCTGTCATTTTTTGCTGCTTCGCTCCTATGTAGTTTTCCTTCTGCTTTCTGCTCTTGTTCATTTGCCTTTATGTGTAGTACGAACAAGTGATTTGTTAGAACCCCGCCCACATTATCCGCCTCCTTTCGGCTTTCCCCCTTTCGCACCGCCTGTTTCTTTTCCTCGTGTAAACAAGACATTAAGTACAACAAAATAATTAAAGTCAATTAGTGGCTTTTGCCTCGTGCAACTACTAGCATTTTCTATCTCTCCTTCTGCTGGGCTATCCTCCTTCTTCTGCTCCTCTTCTAAGCTCTTAGCCAAGTTGGCTGTTGGCTCTCAGTTGTTGTTGATTTAGTTTGGCTTATAATGGCATTGTAGGGCTCATTCAGTGGCTGTCATTAGCGTCATACACTCATAAAAATATTTGTCTATATCTAAGAAAAATCACCCTAAAACTTACTTTTTCTACAACTAAGGAAAAGTTAAAAATAAATACTATTTTTAGGGCAAATCGCCCTAAAAACAAGATACTTTTTTAGAGCGATTTTAGGTAAACATTTTTATAAGTGTAGATGGGGAAACACAAACTCGGAGAGCATCGCCACATCATAATTTATTAAATCAACTTGTTCTAGTTACTAGGCCTCAACTTTGCCCCATTTTTTCCCAAGTTCACTTGGCTTTAATTAAAGATATTTGTTAGGGAAAACTGGGATGTACTAGTAACTTAAATTAACCATTATAAGATATTTACTCAAGTGATTTAATTCTAGATTTTCCTACAGCACATTAAATAAGTAAATAATTTTAAATCCAGCTTCGACCGCCATACTTTAAGGCTTAAAATTATTAAACATAAATACAAACAGCACAAAAAATAATCTCACACTGCCGAGCTTAATTTCAATAACCAATGTCACAACAATGACCAACAATTAAGTGAAGCCTTTTAATTAAGGATTAAGGTATTTGAACTCGTTCTGATTCGATAATTGAATTCACAAAGAGACAATGCCAAACTTTTCATTTTTATTGTATTTCATTTTACCATTTAAACAATGATATATAAATTTTTATGTAATGCATTTACAAAGCCCTCTTCATAAAGCTTGCTTCCATTGTTTCCTTTTGCGATGGAAATTGAAAAATATACAGAGTTGCAGAGTTTCGAGTTCCTTCAAACTGAAGAGCCATTCGAAACTCCACCGACTGTTTTGAGGAAGAGTAAAGCCTGAGAGGGCCGCTTCATTGATTACAAAGTACCATAATAAACTTAAAACAATGGCGAATGGCAGTTCGAACCCAAATTGATTGATTTTGAAGTAACTCCCTCCCTTTGCGCATACCATTGAAGTAATTTAGAAATAAACATTAGCATTTCGAATCGTAATCGTTAAGCAATAAAGTGCCACGCCCTACGGACAAATTGCTGCCACAGGGCGACACTTGAAAGTCCTCGAGGGGCAAAATTACATTTGGTAAGGAAGCAAATTTGCATGCAAAATGTGGCCCTAATGATTTTCCAAAGCATTAAAAGCAACGGAGCCAACGGAGCCAAATGTGATGAGAGCTTACTACACTCGGCATTTAAATTACATTTCGCTTTGGCACAACTTTGATTCTGATTTTAAACAGAAGCAGTAGCAGCAGCAGGAGAAGCACTTTAATAATAATGATTTCAAGTCATTTCCCGGCTGCCTCTGCTAATGGCTTCTTCTTCGCTGGCCACAGGGCGTATGATTAATACTTTGTTTACACTTGAAGTAGCCCCAACGTCGGGCAAAATTGAATTCTCAATTCATCAGCCTTCCGAATTTTGCATAAATATTTCAGCCAAGTGCCGAGACCCGGCCAGCTCTCCTCCATCATCAGTTTAACAAACTAATTTGCTTGCCAAAAAGACTTTCATCGAGAGCGTTTTATAAGTCATATTTACGTTGGCCGCCTGCCAAGTGGCAGGCTTTGTGTCCGGCATTATGATGGCAAGAGCTCCATTTAAGTGAGTGCCAGGAGTAGCAGCCTCTCTAATGATGTTATTGAAGTCGACTGAAGGTGTCCGAGACCAGCAGCAGGACTCGAAGTCGCAACAAAAACCAATCATTAGATAAATCATATAGCCCAGGCCACGCCCCCAAGCCAAGTCGGTTTCGTTTAATGATTTCACAGCTAAATATTTACGCTGAACTAGGCAAAAAGAAGGGACACAAGTGTACAGTGGCAGTTCCAGAAATAAAAACTATAAGATGTTGAGGAAAATAAATAAATAAATAAATAAATAAACCTATATTCAACTCTTAGCCATGTTCCACTGTGGTTCAATAAAGGCCAGTTCATTGTTATGGCCCATCGTAGTTGTCAGTTGTGGTAGTTATGGTCGTTATGACCCCTCATTGGTGGTGTGATGTTAAGATTCCCGGCCACGTCCCGAAGACATTTTGTGTTGAGTTGACAGAAAACTTGTCCTTATGGTCAACCATATTTATGTTGTTGTTCAAGTTTGTCGCTAAACGAGAGTTTTGTGCTCGCTTTTCTGGCTCGATAAGAACTAATTATGAAAGTTCATACACAATTTGTTATCCCACAGAGCGAATCGTGGCAATTTTGAGGGAATTTATACGCCTAATAGATATTGCCACTGGAAAAATACAAGGAATGCGAGGAAATACATTAAAATTTCAAATGAAATTGGTTGCCCAATGCCTCCGGAGCTGACTCATGACCGAGTGTATAAAAAGCCCCAACGTATGGGGTAAGTTTGCTTCTATGGAAAATGTCAAAGACTCACAAAAATAAGCCAGTTTCATCAGTCACAAAGAAATGGTATAAGGTCACCAACTCGAAGCTTTATTTATGAGAACAATCTGAGCTTTTATTACTATAGTATTTTTCATAAATTCCTTAAAGTTGACCAGAAATAGAACCGGGGATTAACGCTACTCTTGGCAATAAATTATTAAACCGGAACTAAAACTGGAACTAAGTTTAGTGCTGAGACTTTAAGGCGAAACATATATTTTCAAGTTTTACTTGAACTAACATAAGTTTTCTTTATTAGCTCCAAGAATTGTTTTTTTTTTAAATCAATTACTTTCTTTGGAAATATATCAACAGCCTTAAAGTTCTCTTGAAAAAATTCTTTAGACGAAATCAAACTCCTCCTCTGGAAAAACACCAGTCATGTTTATGTTCACAAGAAGCCTACAGTTTGTTTTAAAGCTGCCACATTTCCACTCAATTACTGCAATTACTCAGCCGGCTATCTGACACTCTTTCTGGCCCAGACAATGGTCCATGTCCCACAGCTCCCAATCGGTTCTGATCGAATTAAGTTAATGTTTAACAGACTCCGACATGAGAGCGTTGAATAACCGCGAATTATGAGAGGCCATCGAGTTGTAACCGACTAATTGCCATACCAGAAAGCCGGTTTGCCGCTGCGGGCCAAACTGAAACCAAAAGCAAAATCAATATCAGAGGTGAGCACAGGTGAGTGCGATGAGTGCGTTGAAAGTGAAATTGAACTGGAGAGGGGGAAGTGCCATTTAAAAGATGTTTCTGGGCCAAGTGCGCGGCGTCTGCCTGCACCTGTACTTCGCCCGAAACCGAAACCGAAAACCGAGGAGCAGCTGGCGGCGCAGCTGAGCCATCGAATTCGAAGCCCAGACAGGGAACAGTTTCTTTTTCAAACGCCTTAAAAGCTTGAGCCGGAGCTGCAAACGGTTTAGTTCCTCGCCGCAAACAAAACTAGTCACAACAAACGTGGAGCGGAAGCCAGCAGCCTCGAGTGTGAACCAGTTGCGATCCCAGCGACATATCCGCTAAAGGTAGATTTACGCTGGAAAAAAATGTGGTTAATTTGGAGAAAATTAATTTAGAGATGTGGAAGTGAGAGTGATATAAATATATATTAAAGAAAACGCATTAAAAAATATTGAAAATAAGTATTGATTACATAGGATAATACTTGTGATCATGCCAAACTTTACTAAATGAATTTGTGAACATAAAAAGGCAACAAGCTCATTTTTTTAATATTTATTGAAAAAGGAAGCCAAATTCCAAGTTTTAATTAATAAATAATACAAAATATAATATAATATGTTATATAAAATATTTATTTAATATATAACAATATAAAATATATATTAAAGTTAACTGTGAAATTTAAAAACTTGGCCAAAAAATATCTTAAGCATTTGCAAGTGCTACTCACTCTCTACACTTCCAAAAACGTATACATTTATTAATTTTACTACCAAATATATTATAAAAAAAAATATGTTTATGTTTTTTTATCTGCAAAAACAGAAAGATTGAGAGAGAGAGCAAAGCTGGCCTGAAAGCTTTCCGAGACAGGAGCAAGTTTTGTCGTGAGCCAAAGTGAACGTAGCTCTCAGCGAGTGGAAACCTCACACACTCGGTTGATTCATTGCCACCGAGCCACTGAACCGCCTCGCATTCCGCGAATACCCAAAAACCAGCAAGTCCGCCGAAAATGTTGCGATCCCTTGCCATACCGCTGCTGCTTCTTATGGCGGTGGCCATAGATGCGAGGGCAGTTAAACCGAAGTCGATCGCCACAACCGAGGACCCTGCGGAGGAGACCACCTATATGCACCTGCCGGAGGGCACTGTTACTGTGGACATCGATTCGGACCTGATACTGACCACCAGTCCCGAGGGCGAGATCTTTACCGACGCCAGTCCTTTAGAGCTAACCGAGGAGCCGCTGCCCGACTCAGTGATCCAGCAGCTGGAAAGGGAGCGAGCCCAAGAAGAGCGGGCACGTAATCCCCATAACTCGGAACCGGACACAGATGAAGATACTGAAGACACAACTACCGAGAAACCCTCGAAAAAGAACACCAAAAAGACCTACAGGTTCGGAGCCACCACTACAATGCCACTGGGCTTCAATGGGTTCACTACCCTGCAGCCGGAGATCACCACCACTGGAGAGCCTGAGGAGGATACCGAGGACACCACCCAGTATGAGGAGATCTCAACCGTAAGGACATACTTTAAACGCCATCCAGCCAGTCCGGTGAAAGGTGCGGATATGGAAATGGCCGAGAACCGAATGGAAACCACCACGGATGCCCTGACTTTCCAGGTCGACCAGCAGGACTTTCTCTCCACATCCGCCCTGATCATGACAACCGAGGCCAATTTAGTGGAGGAGCCGGTTACCTCCAGAGGCGAAGCAGACCGTGCGGAGTCGGGACCCAACCAGTCACCGCTCTTCCATTTCTTCACTACAACCCCTGCAAGTCCTGTGGTTACGGAGACAGAGACAGAATCGACAACTATCTTGCCGGAAACCAAGGAAGAAGAAGTCACCACAATGTCTGATTTGATGAAAAACACCGGTGAGAATTTTCTACTTAACTAAATAGAAAGAAGGGAAAGATAATAATCTATTAAACAATCTATAAAACCTACTTTAAATGTGTCTTTGATTAACATAAATACTTATTTTTCTTAGAAGTGCCTCTGCCTTCAGCCACCCAAGTTCCAGAAAGCATCACTGAGCCAGCGGTTACCACCACAACTGAAGCTGCCGCAGTCACAGAGCCAGAACCACTGACCGCCAAAGTGGAGCTACATCTAAATGCCCAGTTGGAGAGCACGTCATCCGCCAATGCTCCAGAGACCACATCAACTACGAGTGCTCCGGAAGCCACAACCACTCCAGAGATTACCACCTTAGGTACAAGTGCTCCGGAGACTACGACCTCAACTACGAGTGCCCCAGAGACCACGACTTCGACGACCAGTGCTCCGGAGACCACGACCTCGACGACCAGTGCTCCAGACACTACGACTACAACCTCAACTACTAGCGCTCCGTTGACCACAGTTCCAACCACCAAAGCTCCTGAAACCACAACTACAACGTCTTCTCGTCCCATTCTGACACGTGCTCCTCGCGTGGAGCGGATCTTCAACTCGGACGGCGTGGAGGTGCTCTACGGGTACTCCTCGGTGGTGCGGACAAACCACTCTTGATCTGGAGCTGGGCCCGGTTAGGCCACCAAGAACACGACCTTGCCAAGGTCGGACAACTTGCCATAATGCGGAGACGGTGACATAGAGACATTGAGCGATGGAAGCGCCCTCGTTCATTTTAGGCAATTTTCAATTCTAAACGAGTTTTAAGCTAAGAAAATAACAAAAAATAGATATTTAAATTTCAATCGGCGGGACCAGGCACAGTGTTGTTGTTGTTGTGATAAACCAAAAATACGTGAAAATCCGCAAAAGAGAGACAGAGAGAAGTGAAACAAAAAACAAATATGTAATATTATTGTGCAAAAAATTGTGTACAGAAAATGAAGGGAGGAGAAGAAATGCTGGAGATGAACGATTTTATAAATTATAAATAAAACATGAACCACCCATGATGTTCCGTTTCGTGTTTGCCTTTTGGATTGCACAAAGCGTTTAGTAGGTCTTTTGAGCATTTGTTGAGCCAAAATTATGACACAATAATGGAACCGAACCGGCACAGTAAGCTTAGGTACCCTGAAATTAATATGCGGAAGTTTCACTAAATATGGAAATATTTAAGAATACTTAGTGAGTGCTTAGAGGAGATTTTCAAAAACTAATTCCCACTGGTAACTCTCTCCTCTAAAGAGCATTCAGCTGTGCAGTTCAGCCACCTTTCTTGGCCCAATCTTTGCATTGTGATTCATTTTGTAGATCATTAAAGCAGCGCACCCAAGAAATCAAAAAGCCACCAGCACAGAGACACTCGGCAGCCCACAAGACCCGATCACTGCCCACCTGCGTTCGGAAAAAAAAATGTAGAAAAAATAAACTAAAAACTGAAAACTAAAAACCGGCAATCGTCTCAAGAGTTGTCGTCATACATTTTTGGGCTTTTATGTTCCGGCATGAACGCAGACAACCGGACGACGGACATTTGGACACGTGGACCGGATCGGATTGGTTTGGATCGGCTGGAGGAGACTGGTCCAGTGGCAGATTATTCATTCATTGATCGATTTTGCAGGCACAGGGCTCGGGGTTGGCTTTAGCAATGAGTATCACGTTTACTCCGCCTTACTCCCGCTGGAATTTGAAAGTATTCGGCGGCGGCCATAAAACAAACACTAGCCACTAATTTCCATTTGAACTTGAGCGGCACAGGCGCTAAACTGCATGTTGAATGTGAATCGAATGAATGCGGATTGAAGGTTTTGGCGATACGGGTTTTTTTGTATTTTTCGGCTGGTTTTCGCCTTACCCATTTAGCCAGCTGACTAGCTCTGGGCCATGGATCCAAAATTTATTGTACATGTCTGGGTGGGTTAGTCATCTTCGAATGAGTTAAAGGAAATGCAAGGAGGAATATGCAGACTTTTGAGAAATTAAAACCTGCTATAACATATTTATAATACATTTTATAAGATTGGAAAAAAAACACTGAAAACCTTGTAAAATAATTTAAATAAAAGTTATTTCACAGCTAGATGTTTTATCAAATAAAGTTCTAAATAATAAAACTATATAAATAATGAATTGGAAAAGAAACCTGAAAGGCTTAGTCTAATTTAAAAATATTTTTGAAAAAAGTCCAAGAGCCAAGCTTTTTCATTCCGTTAAGTAACAACTAAACTCTTTAAATAAAAACCCCAAAACTATGCTCATTTTTCGTACTTTAACTTACCTGTTTTGTTTTCCGTTTTTTATTAAAATGCATTTAAGACACATCTATAAATTATATAATTCGATGACAAACTTGTGTCAAGCAAATTAAGTCTCAGTCGGGGACATCCCAAAACATACAACAAAAAACGAAAATAAATGAAGCTGGATTTGTTTCAAGTAATGATTTTATTTGTTTTTCAAATTAGCATAGAACCCAAAACCACCTGGTTGGTTAAAACAAGTTCTATATTCCATTTGTTATTTAATAAGACATTTTGAGCCTGGGAGAAATTGGAAATTAACTGTATTGGGAGTAATTAACAATACAATTTGCATTTTGTCAGCCAGCAATTAGCGAAAACAAGTCCACGATAATCGCAAGATGCGAGATCGGGGTATAAAAGTCACCTGCCTTCTCTCAGATGGCATAACAAACACCTAACATGAAGTTCTTAGCACTGTGCGCTATCCTGCTCCTTGCCCTGGTGGCTGTCCAGGCGACTCCTGGCGGATTCGGTTTTGGTGGACATGGACATGGTGGACGTGGACATGGCGGCCAAGGCTATAATCGAGGTCCCGGTGTCTATGGACCTGGTGGTGGAGGTGCCACTGCCAATGCCCAGGCTAGTGCCAGTGCCATCGCTCAAGGTGCCGGTGGTGGTGCCTACGGACCTGGTGCATACGGACCTGGTGCATACGGACCTGCTGCATACGGACCTGGTGGTGGTGGCTTCGGACGTGGTGGTGGTGGTGGTAATAGCTACGCCAATGCCAATGCCAATGCAGTTGCTTCATCCCAAGCTGGTAAATAACCCATTACCGAATCGAAATCGGAACATATCAACTTTCTGGGTACAACACATTGAAGCCCAAGCATTCAGCGTATTAAAAAAAAATGTATTTTAATAAAAACAATTCTTTCATTAAAAAAAGTTTAAATTTATATTATTAATATTAAATATATGGGTTAGATGTTGGGATGTATCCAATATATCGACAAAAATATAGCGCTCAAAATCATATTGAAAATATGTTTAATATTGTAAAGTATTTCTTTAAAATATTAAACATCCAAACTACTTAAATATACCAAAAAAAATTGGCAATTTTCCATTTTTTCTATGACTCTAGTCCTATATATCAAACAGATTTCGCAAATAAGTATATATAGACATATTTCCCAATTTTAAAGTTTTTTGTTAGTATATTTTCTTGAAAATACAATTTGCTTTTAACCCAGAAGTACATATAGTTCTGGGAGCGAAAGAATACAAAAACAGAAAGCTTTTGTAGTATTGTTCAAGTCTGCAAAAACCTACAGTTTGTTTATTTTATAGAATAATATATGCCTCTCTCTAAGTTAGTAATAAACTATATTTTGAATTACCTTTATGAAATGATATTCATCCTGTTCAAACCTTTACTAAACACTTTTATTATTAAAAAATATATTTTCCCTTTATTTTTGTCATATATTATATTATTATTAATAATATTATTATTTATTAAAAATAATTAAACACTTCTAATAAGGTATAGCCTATTAGTACTTTTATTACAGACTATTAACTAATCATTTTCAGATTCTAGGCAGTCCAAGATAATTTACTAAATCACGCAAGCCCTTAGTAAAAGCTTAATAATGGATCGATTAAGATCGTTTTTCAGAGCTTTTTTCCTGCAAAACCCGGCTTCAAAGTAACAGACTTGGCCCAAAAATATGCTTTAGATATAAAAACTTGTGCAACTTTCTCTAAAACTAACCAGTTTTCAATTGGTAATTCTATAGTATATTCGCACAAAATAATACAAAACGTCACGCGTCTCTAATATATTTCTAATTAGTGTGCTAAACGGAACCCCCCATACATATATGTATATATGATTGTGTATATTAGCAATAAACTAAATTAAAAAAATACAAAATTAAAAGCAAATAAAAAAACAGAAAACGAGTCTAGGCCAGCTGTTGCCGTTGGATTCTGCTATAAAAGAGGCCGGCATTCGCTCAGAGGGCATCACAAGCTCCGACGATGAAGTTCCTAGCACTCTGCATTTTCCTGATCTTCGCCCTGGTGGCCGTCCAGGCTGCTCCTGGAGGTATTCGCGGAGGCGGAGGCAATTTCGGTAATGGTGGTGGCGTTCATGGTGGTGGCGGTCCTGGATTCGGTGGAGCTGGAAACACTGGAGGAAAAGCCGAGGCCAACGCCAATGCCAGTGCCAGTGCCAAGAGCCAAGGCGGACCAGCCTCGGCCAATGCCAACGCCTCTGCCGTAGCCCAATCTCAGGGCGGTGGACATCGCGGTTGATTGATCCTGAAGAGAAGACCCAAAATGGATATTGGACAACTGGAACAACTTAAATCAGTCACAACCAAAAGTGGGCACGTCGCCGGACGGGCCTCTTTTGTACTAATGTGGAGCGTTCATTGAAAACTATATTTAAATAAACTATTTGTTTTCTTCGGAAGCACAATAGAGCTTGTTCTTCTCTTTTATTGTTAGCCGAAACTAGTTTTTTTGATGATTTGTATAACTTATGGGCAATAAGACTTTGAATTTTACTCAGGGAGCCTAAAAATTGGCAACGTTAACATAAAAATTAAGGGAATCAATACAGGTGTTCAATATTAAAATCCCAATTTCCTTAGCCACAGAAAACCTGTTTAGTTTGATTGTGATTTAATTAATATTTGACTTTGCCACTATATCAATTAGCAATCTAATGTTTTATTAAGAAGATTTTAAAGTGGTTAATACAAATTCGTATTGAACAGTATTTTTTTACTGTTTCGGATTTACACACATGAACCGAAGTATGAACTTCGAAATATATTCAAAAGAAACAAGATTTAAATTTAAGTTGAGGTAACAATTGAAATGTTCAATTTATGGTTTCGCCTGTGGTATATAAACCATTTAAAGAGTTAAAGCCTCTTATCATCCGTTTCGTCAAAATTCAACGATGTCTGCCACATTTATGTTTTAATATAATATATATATCCTTTAATCCAAATAAAAAAAATATAAACAAATATTTTAATATTGACAATAATCCCGAAAAACGTATTGACTTCATTATCTATCATAAAGTAAAATATAAATTTATTTATTCATTATGCATGTTATTTCATATTCTAAAAAGTTTGATTAGTTTTCAAGTTGTTTTTGCGTTTCTCCCATTTAGTTTTGAATAATTTAATGAAATAGCGTGACGTCAATTGTTTTTTCTTGAAGCCCCTAAAAATGGTCTACATTTTGGTAATACTCATGTGTGAGCCACATCTGTTTGCCTATGTTTCCTACGGTAGCTAAAGTTCGACCAAAAACTCGTTTTTTCTGCCAAATTTATAGCACTGATTTGCTTAAATTATTTGCATATTATTTACATAATTGCTGTCTCGCTAAACAAAACAAAAGCATCTCCTAAGACCCAATAATGATTTCTATCACTTTAATTCTTTTGCTCTAGAAAGTGGATCAAACTGTTATATAAATTAAATATTTATGGAAAATATAAATAATAATTTATTCAGTTTATATACTTTTTTTTTTGTAACAAAGATTTTGTCAAGATTAAGCGAAAAATTATTAAACTTATAGAAGTTGGATGTTATGTTAAAAGATTTGATAATATCTACTTTAAGGAATATATAACTCTGGTATTAATATTTTTAATTTTTATAATATTTTTATTAGAACTACTTATTTAAAACACTTGATTGTGTTAGCCAAAATATAAAAAAAAGAATAAAATTTAATTCTTTAATTTATTTTATTAAAATTTTAACTGAGGCATTTACAAACTGTTACAACTTATGAACGAAAGAAGAAAGGATTAAATTATTTTTATTTGTTTTTAAGTTCTTGGCACTCTGTTTCAATTTTTAGAGTGATCGTTATTTCTATCTCTATTGACATAAGCAGACGAGTGTCAATTATAACTTTAAGATTTAATTTAAGATTTGTTAAGAGAATTTATAAAATAAATTTAGTCGGTTTCACTTAAATTCCCAGCCAGAAAATAGAACTTTTAGATCACGAACTGATGTCGTGACAGATATCCAGCAGACCGGTTTCTATTTTGACAAATTTGAGATGCATTTATACTGTATATTATTAATGAGAAAGGTACATATATAAAAGTTCTTGGAAATGTATATGCGCTAACATTATGATAGCTGTTTTAATAATTCAAAATGTTTGTTTTATTTCCAGTCAATACAAATACCTATAAAAACCAAACTAATTATTACTTTTTAGTAAAAAGCAAACTAAGAATGGGAAACGCACTTATTTGCTTTAGTTTTTTTAAGTTTTTTTATTTTTTATATTTTTATAAATATTAAAAAACTAATTCAGTGATAAAATTCGGTTCGTCAACAGAGCTTATTTTCCAAAGGAACTGGAACTGGCACTGGCATTGGCATTGGCATTGCTGTTGCCACCTCCGCGGGAGTTGGCACTGGCATTGGCATTGGCGTTGGCACTTCCACCTCCGAAGCCATTGCCCTGCGAGTTAGCCACGGCATTAGCATTGGCGTTGGCTTCAGAGTTTCCGCCGAATCCCGGGCCACCGCCGAATCCTGGGCCACCCTGGTTTCCGCCGAATCCTGGGCCACCCTGGTTTCCGCCGAATCCTGGGCCACCCTGGTTTCCGCCGAATCCACCTGGACCGCCGAATCCACCCTGGTTTCCGCCTTGTCCTTGATGCTTATTGTTTCCACCGCCAAATCCGGGACGACCGCCGAATCCTGGGCCACCTTGGCCGCCGAATCCTGGGCCACCTTGGCCGCCGAATCCTGGGCCACCGCCGAATCCTCCTTGGTTCTGAGCCTGAGCAGAGGCACCAGCGTTAGCGTTGGCATTACCACCAGCACCGAACTGTGGGGCAGCGGCGGCTACGGCCAGGACTACGGCGAGAACGACAAAAACCTTCATGCTGAATGCTGGATCTGCTACTCCGGACAAGTAACTGAGCTAACTTAGTAGCCATCGCCTCAGGGCCCGGCTTTTATATTAGCCAGACGCCCGGCAGACGCGGGCAGATGCCGAAAAAAAAAACGAAAACTAAACACCCGGTACAAAATTAGCATGCAAACAATAGTCACTGCCGAAATATAAGGCCCGATATATCGGGAGAATCTAGGCGCCAGAAAGAGCCCGATAGAGGGCCAATCGAATGCAATGGTCAGAGGAAAGTTTGCAAATGTCTTTAGACACCAACACGAGCCGTCTTCGTGGTGGTTTCCTCTGGGACCGGTTTGGCGCTATCAATATTTAAGCGATTATTAATATTTGTGTTTATATTTCATTAACTCTACCTATTCGGCAGAGTCACTGCGCGCTTTTAGCTGGGAGAAGGCAATGTGATGGCAGTTAATTATCATAGCATCAGTCGGGGTACTTTACCTACTTATATACAAGTGCATATGTTTCAATGATTCTACAAATAGAAGCATTTCAAAGTATGAGTATAGATTGGGAATAGTAACCCCGCTGTTCCGGGTCTCAAAATCTCCCTGAATCAATTACAGATTTTTTTCTTAAATTACAAAAATTTATTAGTTCCTTATATATTTATTCCCTGTTATACCTGAAATCGATCTTATCTCATCTCCATATTCGTTTATTACAAAATGATTTCGTTAAACTCGTACACCTTGCCTAAATTAACACTTTTGAAAGCGCTTCCTTGTTCTACTATCAATCCCAATTTATTCCATCCCATTTTAAATACCGAATTCATATTTTTTTTCCTGTAAACCGCACACAAGCCCCTACAGAAATTAACATAATTTTCAGGCATATGGATAAAGGTTTGTTTTTCTGTTCCTCTCAAACTAAATTTGAAATTCAAATGAATTGGGAAATAAAAATGATAATTTAAGATGTGGACGTGCGTGGGGAGAAGTCAGGTCAAATCGATGAAATTCACCACACGTGTTATCACATCAGATCGGCTGACGTTAGCTGTTTGCTATGAACTTTGCCATATATATTTGAAAGTGCAAGAATAAAGTAATGTCTTAAGGACACAGGAAATGTTAATATTAAAAAGCAAATTAAGGAAGAACTAATATTGCGAGATCATGGCAATAACTTAAATAAAATAACATAGGAAATAAAAGAGTACGAAACCAAAAATCAAAGCCTAGAATCTTGTCAATAAATAAAAAAAAATTATATTAAAGTTAAATTTTAGCGCTGCTTCGATTTCGGCTTTAATTTGTGTATCTAATTTTTGCTAATGTAATTAACTAAAGTTCTAAAGTGTCTATTATTCTGTTTTATTTTAAAATTGATTGATAAATAATTATAGTAAAATAAGGAATTATTTACGTAATATTTATTCTACTCATTTATAACATATTAGAAGAAAACAAGAAAGGAAGCTAACTTCGGCACGCCGAAGTTTGTATACCCTTGCAGATTGGTTTTGATGTTTATTTTATAGATTTAAATGCTGAAAACACTCACAAAACAGAGTTTCATTACATTTTACCTATACTTATTATGTTTACAGTTTGACAGTTACAGTTTTACATTCTCAGCTTTATATATTTTATACATTTACCGATCGCTTCTATGGCAGCTATAAGATATAGTTGTCCGATTTTTATGAAATTTATACCAAAATTCTAGAATAATAAAAAAAACGTATATCTCAGAGTAAATAAAAATGCGTTGAAAAACAACGAAGCTATAATTTTATTTCTATTAATTTCTCGATCGTTCCTATGGCAGGTATATCATATAGTCGTCCGATTTTCATAAAATTTTTACCAAAATTCTGGAATAATATAAAATGGCTATATCTCAAAAATGATGCAAAAATATTGAAAAACAGCCAAGTTATACTTTTTTTCTAAAAATTTATCAAACATTTGTATGGCAGCTATATGATATAGTCGTCCGATCCGGCCCGTTCCGACATATATAGCAGTGAGAGCATATAGAAGACTATATGCAAAGTTTCATTCAGATAGCTTTAAAACTGAGGGACTAGTTTGCGTAGAAACAGACAGACAGACAGACGGACAGACGGACAGACAGACAGACGGACAGACGGACGGACGGACAGACAGACAGACGGACAGACGGACATGGCTAGATCGACTCGGCTGTTGATGCTGATCAAGAATATATATACTTTATAGGGTCGGAAACGTCTCCTTCACTGCGTTGCAAACTTCTGACTGAAATTATAATACCCTGCAAGGGTATAAAAATTAATAGTAAACACAAACAAACAGCAGCACAGCAAACAAATGAGGCCCGATGATATATTATGAATTAACATATATATAAAAATATACATGTGAATATCAACAAAAATTTGAAAGTGTAAATCATAGTTCTGCTTTTACACATTATAAATTATAAATATTATAAATACTTCAACTATTCCACCTAACCCTTTCCGCTTCATACAAATTCTTTTCATATTTTTTGTATTTACTTTTTAATTTATTTACGTTTTATTCACAGTCATTTCTTATTGCTTAAATTCTTAATGGTTTTTTTTTTTTTTTTGTCTTGGCTTAGCCGCGGAATCCACCGCCACCACCGCTGGCAGAAGCAGAGGATGAAGAGGATGCGGATGCAGAGCCACCGCCTCCACGTCCACCGCCGCCAGCAGCCGACGCCGAAGAAGACGCTGAAGCAGAAGCGGAGCCACCACCGCCGCCACCGCCGCCGAATCCACCTCCTGGGCGACCGCCGAATCCACCGCCGCCGAATCCACCTCCTGGGCGACCGCCGAATCCACCTCCACCTCCACGATTAAATCCAGGACCGAATCCAGGGCCGCCGCCGAATCCAGGGCCGCCGCCAAATCCAGGACCGCCGAATCCAGGGCCACCGAATCCACCTCCTGGGCGACCGCCGAATCCTGGACCACCACCAAATCCTGGGCCACCTCCGAATCCTTGACGGCCTCCTCCGAATCCCTGAGCATTGGCATTAGCGTTCGCATTGGCGTTGGCGTTGCCGCCGCCGAATTGCGGCAGGGCAGATGCCACGGCCGCCAGAACGGAGAGCGCGATGAATAGTTTCATGTTGGGTTGTTGTCGCCTCGAGAGTGGTCCAAACACTTGGTTCCTGCACCGGCAGCCGGCGGCTTTTATTCAGTTCCGCCTCGGGAAAAGGTTCGGCGATTTCGGTGATCCACCCTGTAGCGCGCACTATCTTTCCGACAACAACAACAACAATGGATCACATATATTTATGGCCCGGCTCATTAGCAGGTTCGGAACGTACGAGATCGGCAGCAGGCCCCAGACACCGTCGCCTAGACCTGGCCGCTGCAACCGGTTGATCTCACCTACGATCATCTCGAGCACTTCAGACGCTCGGACACTCGGACGCGCCCCCCTTGTGCTGCTGCTGCCCGCTTACAGGTAAACCACAAACTATATATAAAATTATATAGGCGGACGTAGATGAGGCGCCAGTGATGTCATGGATCAACTAGTTTTGGAGGCGCAGAGATATAATTATTCCCCAAGGTATATTTCGGGTTTAGGAAAATATGCAAATTGTTTATTCGAAGTTGAACATTTATAAACTTATTTATTATAATGTGTTGTTCTTTATATATATTTTTTTTTTATAAAATTTAGTATCGAGAATAACTAGGCATCTATTGTATAATTAAGATCACTTATTTTCATGTTAAAAGTGGACTCTGCAATTATATCCTTGGCCTTTTGCTAAAAAATTACTAGTTCGAAAAGTTAAATTAAATGTATATTCTTTGCTACCATCTCGGACCTCATTTAAACTAAAATAAAAATAAACTTATCTAATTTAATTATAATATTTAAAAGAACTAGTTCCCTATTGAGGCATCTCTATCTGGTTAATGATTAAATTTCTCCGTTGTATTAGAAGCAGATGACTGATTTAACTGTCCGCGAAATAATTTATGCTAAAATCATTATCGATTGGACCTCAGGTTTATAATTTATTTCGATTTTTTCGCGACTCTTAACTTTTTATATGTTTGCTTTTGTTTGTTTGTTTATTATTTCCATAAAAGCCGCGTATAATTGATAATATTATAAAACGTGTATTTTCTCGAAATGTTAATTAATCGAATTAATACCAAAAAGCAATGAAAGGCAAAAAACAAAAATCCCACAACAAAATTTGTAATTCAAATTTTTTTATTTTGATTTGGATTTCGTCAACATTAAATGTAAGGATCTGTGAACTGAACAGGTGTCATGATCTGAGGGGAGTCCCAGTAAATGCTGTGCCAACCAAGCTAAAAAAAAATTTAGTAGGGCACATAAATATGCAACAGGGCATTGGAAAGTCTGATATATCCATAAAGCCCGCAACATTCAAGCCAAAAATCCAGTCGAAACTGTATGACAATTGTATGTGCAACTATTTTTATTATTTCTACCGACTTATATGCATAAATTAACGGCAGTTTTATGCAGCTCAGAAGCCATTGATCACAAATATAAACAGTAGCGGTTCGGCGAAAATATTGATAAAGCATCTGTTTGAGTTTAAGTGACAGAAAAAATATGTTATTAATAACAATAGCTATTTTAAAGCGTTCATTAAGCTCTAGATTTAATTAAATAAATAAGTTAAAGGAAGTAATAAGTAAGTAATAAATACAAAATCTTACCAAATCTCAGGCGGCTAAACTAATGGTCTTTTAATAGTTTGCTAATTAAGCAATTACAAAAGGGAGCAGGTAATTACCATTGGGTTGTCCTGCAGCTTAAGACAGGTAAGAAAATTCATTATATATGACATATTACCTTATACAGGTAGAAATATTTGCTGGTTATTACTGATAAAGTCTTAGACAGCATAGATCCGCTGAAAATAGAATTATGAATATTTTTCCAGTAAACATAATCTCATTTTCTATAACTATATGGTTTAAAAATAACTGAAAAAAAAGTTTATAAAAAAAATATGTTAATTAAAGAACACTATTTTCGATTTGGATTTTCAACAATTTTTGTTTACTTCAGACTTTCTTCAAACATTTAATAATAACTTAAGCTAAACTAAATTAGGATAGGACGTTTATCCGAAGAAACCACCGCCGGCAGCCGATGAAGCCGATGAGGATGCTGAAGAGGACGCTCCTCCGCCACCAGCACTGGACGAGGCACTCGAAGAAGCTGATGATGAGGCAACACCAACGGGGGCAACTATTCCACCTCCACGGCCACCGCCTCCATGATGGCGATGACGGCCACCTCCGAAGCCTCCGTACGGATTTCCGCCAAATCCGCCATAGGGATTTCCGCCATATCCACCATAGGGGTTTCCTCCGTATCCACCTCCGTAGGGGTTTCCTCCGTATCCACCACCTCCGTAGGGCCCAAAGCCTCCGAATCCGCCGGGTCCTCCGAATCCTCCGGGACCTCCAAATCCGCCGGGCCCTCTAAATCCCCCGGGACCTCCGGGACCAAAGAATTGCGGCAAAGCCGAGGCAGCAGCCACCAGCAGGGCAAGAACAATGAGAGTCTTCATATCGATATCGATCTGGATTCTATGTGCGATCACTGAGTTGTCTGAACTGGAACTGACGGACTCTCGGCGAACTTGCTATAGTATTTATACCGCTTGTGCTTGCATTGTCTCCAAAAAGCCGGAGCCGGCGAGTCAAAAATGCGACGGTTGAGACGAGACGAGACGAGATGGCGGTGATAAATGATTTCGGCAGTTCACCTACCGACCACCTACCTACCGGTTTTCTTTTTTATTTCAGTCCATTTGCTTTAAGATCTAATTACACAGGGCAACAAAAAAAATTAAGTTTAAATTTATCGAGCTTACGAAGAAACCAAAAAAAAAATATAAAAGTTTACACATTATTTAAGGGGTATTCCTTTTACAGTTTATTATTATAATTTTGCTTTAAAAGGTACAACATTTTTTACTGTTTTGGTTAAATATTTATTACTCTAGGATATTTAAAAAACATTTAGTTTCTCTATAAATAAATAAAATAGTTTCTAAACATTCGTTTTATAGTGTTTATGAGTTAAAGACCATCTTTGATTAGTATAGATTAGTATAAATACAAAGAAAGATTAAAGTTGTATAATTTTTAAACATAAGCCCTACATTAAATTTTTAACTATTGATAATCGATTATAATATTAATTAATATAAATGATCGAAAGTATTTAACCAAAACACTATCAAATAATTAACAAAATGAAACCACATTTTATTTGTTTTTTTTGCTGTCTAGTGTCTTGCCGGCCGAAATGGTGACTTTGTTTGCCGGGTGATTCCCCAAACAGGCTTCGATATTTGAAAACGCATAATTATCACCATTCGACGACCCACGCCCAGGTGACCCAAGTGGTGTAGAGAATTGTCAGAGTGTTTACAAAACCCATTCGGGGACCGTGCTCTTCCTGATCTGCGTATTTCCCCACCGCGATCGAGGGTACTACTTAGTCATCGCCGTTTGATCTCTTCTAATGCCGATCATCTGACAAGTTCATCTTGAAGAGTTTATTCCCCCCGATCTTGTTTTGTTCGTCCGAAAGCGGTTTCGATGGCGTTGTTGTCAAACAAAAGATGCTCGTGTGGAGTGGATGGGGCAGTTGGAGCAGGTGATGGTGAGATCACTGGGCATTTCTCTAGGTTTTGCGATCTTTCTGCACGGAGAGGTGGTTCAGTCCGACCCAGAAAGTCTTCAGTCCACGATCGCTTAAGCCATCATTGTTGAGATTCTTGAAATTATCCTTGAATATATCTAAAATTCTTTAAGTTAAAGTAGAATTTATTTGGAAAGAAGTAGTGTTTAAAATGGAATTAAAAAAAAATTGCTTTTATATAAAGCTAAAAATAAAAGAGAAAGTTTCAAGTGAATGTTGAACCCTTTATAAAACCCCGCATAGGGGCCACAAAATTTAATAAAAAAAATTCAATCAATCAATCTATAATCTATAAAAAGTTCACCAAATCATATAAAACATTTAAATCAAACCCGATCAACCTTAACTGGGTTTATACACTGCCATAGCTTACAAATACCGAACAGTAGTTCTGTTTGCCCCGATCAGTTTCAATAAAGTAAATAAATCCCACACGATCTTACCTGTATTTGCTCTAAGTGAGAGATATATAGCCGGGAGAGTGAAATCTCCCATTCATGGCTATTTTAACTTTACACACTCGCTCTATGCAAAATGATATGTTTGCAGCGATCATTAGCGGGTAAAGAAAAAATCACCAAGCCTAATGATACACCTCTCTCAATTGCCATTACAAAAACCCCACATTTCGGGACTCGGGATCGGTTTCCATAACAATAAAGTCTCCCAAGCGCGAAGAACGAGATTTTTTAGAGATTCGTTCTCGCTGCCAACTGTTGCTAATTAAGAAAACAACAAACAAACACAAATACCAGAGCTATATAGAATCTAAAAACCAGTTCCAGTGTCGTCATAGCACACACCGTTCCAGATGATATGATAGGCGATTAGCGACTCATATCCGAAGGGGTTTTCCAGGCCCCTGACTGCAGCAAGATGTGAAAATTCAATTAACAATATTATTAGAATTCGGTGATTTTTGGCATCGAATTTAGTTAGGGATCTCCTTAATTTGTACTTTGAGACCTGCTGTGTAGTGTTAGTAAATAAATTCATTAATTCGCCGGTGATTTGAATTTTGTTTTCGTTATTCGGCTTATGCAAAAAGTCCGTAACATAGTCGCCTAATGGAACCGGTCGGTCACCCTCGGGATCGTTTGTTTTTTTTATATACTCCTTTTATTTATTATCTTTCTTGCCAAATTAGTGAAGACTTTAAATAAGCCGCCTGGGTTTTATGTAATTCTTATTTGTGTGGCATGATTAATGGCCATGAAATGGCGCAGCATCGAATGGGAATTATTAAACAATTTTTATAATAACTTCCTATATACTATTCCCCTGAATAAATACCCAGAGTACTGGCTCTTGTAATGAACTGCAATTGCCAATATTTGTTTATTAAAATCCATTAAAATTGAAATAATTTGATGCTGGCCAAAAAGGAATATTATCCCATTAGCGAGGAGCAGGAAGTAGGCTGAACTGTTGGCCCCGACAACATCAAATATTATTTAAATGCCAACTAATGAACGTCATGTTAATTATGTAAACGCACACTACACACACACTCCGCACACACACTCCGCACACACACTCTGACCTGTAATCAATGCTTTGTACTATTTTCGCAGCATTTATCGTTATTGTTATTACCGTTTTCCATAGTTTTCCCGCACAAATTGAAAAACGGCCGTGCTCTGCGTCAGGGCAAACTTTTCAATTATGCGACCGCCGGGCTAATGAACAAAACGATATATACATGACCAGCGTAAACCATCGTTTGATATGCAATCTGAATTATTTAATTTTAATTAAAATGCTGGGGATCGCCCAGCATTTATCGTGTATACTTTTAGGGCTCCCATGAAGTGGCGAGGTATCGTTTTCCGGGTCGGCCGGAATTCTGCATACTTTGTGGCGCCAACTCCACCTGAGAGTTGAGCCGCCTGGGCGCTGAAATATGCACATTGGCACATTGATAAACATTTCACATTTACTTTATTTTATTGCCTAACATAAATTGCAGCAAACAAAGGGCTTCGGTCCCGGTGCCGGGCAATATTGTCAATCCGACAAAAGGCCAACAACTGTTGCAGCCAGAGCGACTCGACTCTCTTCTGTGGCAAACCGCCAACCGTCTGTTGGCCCAACTTCCGCTTTTCCGCTTTTATGTTGCAAAACTGCACCACAGGGGTTCATCGTCCTTCTGCAAATTGGTCTCGGAGTTTATTGCCGGGTCCAGACAACGGACTCGAGACTCTGAAAACAGCACTGCGAATAAAAATGATGGTAATTGAAGGAATTTCATGGTATATTTAATGAGGAATCATGAGAAAAATAAAAAAGTCAAAGTTAAAGGCTAAATAATGAAATAGAAAAAGGGTATTTTTCTGAAGAAAATGTGAGTTAAAAAACTAAAAAACTGATAATTAGGGAAAAAAAAGTCAATGCTATTTTTCCCCTAAGAAATTCAAATAATTATTCAAAAATATTTTCTCCTGTGTAGAGCAGCAGCTGCTGCACTCCTTTGGCAATAAAACTGCACTTTCAGCCTCTGGCGAGGTCCTTCGTCCTTCGCTTGCTTAAGATTTCAATTTGTTGCCATTCTGTGTGTGCAACAATTTGCAATAGTAAAACTTTACCTAATGATAAATGTTTGTGGGGGACACATAAAACTCCAGAAGAGAGCGAAGAGTCTGTCTTGGCCATTTAAGAGATTTATGTGGCCATGAGTGGCATCAATGTCTTCGTGGGTTTTGGGGCTAATACAAGTCCCCTGTAATAGGCCATTAATTCCGATGAAAAACTTTGCATGCCAGATTTTCCTTTGAAAACCGCCAAAGTAGGGGAAAGTTTTCATCGCGGAATCCGCTCGGTCGACAGCTGTTCAACGGGTAGAGTATGCTCCATCAAGGACATCACGTGACTTTCACGCTTCTCATGTGGTTTCCATATTAAGAGTTTTCCCCCTGGGAAACTTTTAATGTCTGCCTGTCAAATTTTTGGGGTGTTTCAAGTTTTCACCTCCAAAAAATACTACCGGAAACGAATTTCACACTTGTAATAGTTATATTTATACAATAATAAGAAAAACAATATAAAAATTTTCACCTAATGTTAATTAAATGCAATTAAATATATTTAAAGTTAATTTTGTTTAACACGACTGCTTGCTTTTTAATAAATTTATTCATATAATTAGTTTATCATTATTTTTTAAATTAAATACAACAAGATTATTTTTTTCCACAATCAAAAAGTGGTGAAACTTTATTGAAATCTCGGGTAATACTTGAAAGCTATTGAAGGAATTACAGGAATAAGGGAACCAGGATTAGCCATGATAGCCACCGCCACCACCAGCTCCTGCAGAAGAGCTGGCTGAAGCGGAAGCGCTTGAGTGGGCGCCGCCACCTCCATATCCGCCACCTCCGCCACCACCGCCGCCAGGTCCACCTCCGTATCCCCCGCCGCCGCCTCCATGTCCGCCTCCGTATCCTCCACCTCCATGGCCACCGTGCTTGTGTCCGTGCCCACCGCTGAAGCCACCACCTAAGTGGCCGCCTCCTCCACCGATTCCGGAACCTCCTCCTCCTCCTCCGATATGGCCACCACCGAAGCCTGGTCCAAATCCGGGACCTCCACCGATACCGCCTCCTGAGTGGCCTCCGAATCCGGGACCGCCTCCAATTCCGCCGCCACCTGAGTGACCACCGGAGTGTCCACCTCCTTTAGAGTGACCTCCACCGATTCCTCCTCCTGGTCCGAAGCCTCCGCCACCTCCGCCGCCGCCGTAGCCACCTCCAGGCTTGCCACCTCCGTGTCCGCCGCCGCCACCACCAATTACTCCGGCCGACGACGATGCAGAGCTGCCACCGCTTCCGATTCCTCCAAAACCAGGACCTCCACCGCCAATTCCGCCGCCTCCGGAATGGCCGCCTCCGATTCCGCCGCCTCCAGAATGGCCACCTCCGATTCCGCCGCCTCCAGCATGGCCACCTCCAATTCCGTTGCCACCAGAATGACCTCCTCCTCCTCCTAAGAAGTCGCCGCCACCGCCGCCAATCAAGCCGCCACCTCCAGAATGACCACCACCTCCTGAATGAGCGCCACCTTCGAAGGGACCTCCGATAGATCCACCGGACAGGCCGCCACCATCTCCGCCGAAGCCGCCTCCAAAATCGCCACCTCCACCTCCGCCGTGTCCACCACCATGTTTTCCGCCTCCAATGCCACCGCCTATAGCTCCGGCACTAGCTGACGCCGAGGACGAGGCTGATGCTTGGCCACCACTACCGCCTCCATAGCCGCCGCCTCCGTAGCCGCCGGCAGAGGACACTGCCACACAAACACTCAGCACTAAGAACAAACGCATCGGAACCTTTGCCTCCACTTGGCTCACTGACTGCGCTCCCTGGAGCTGCTTGGGCTTTTATAAGAGACGCCGGCGTGCAAGCTGCAAAAAAAGTACAAATAATAGCGAAATGTTTGCGAAAATAAATTCGCAGAGCGCGAAAAAAAGAACAGCAACGGAGAGCCGAGTCACGTTCCCAGTTCTGAGATCCCTAGGGTCAAGACCGGCAAAAACTCAAACAGCACTTCACTGCAGGTTATAGTATTTTTAATAATTATAATTTATTTTAATGTAAAATTAATTATTAACAAAGGGAAGGGTTGGCCAAAAATATTAATATATGAATGAAGTATTATTAATTGACTCCAAGGTCGATGTAAAATTATTGAAAAATAAACTTGCCTTTTGTATCCTTAAAGTTTTTAAACAATAACATATGAATTGCTGTATATTATTAAGTTACTTTACTAATTATAATATTAAGTGTATTTCTGTCTTTGGTTTACTTTCCTTTAAATATAATACGGTGTCTTTAAACTTTATACTTAACATTGAGCTGTTTAAAGTTCAAACTATTAATTTGACCCATTAATAGTTAGAAATATACTGTGGTTGAACAGTGTAATTATTCCCGTGGAGAACAATAACGAGTTTCAACACATTTTAATGGGCTCGATTGTCTACAAATGCTGGAAAAAACACTCTATCCTCTCTATAGGTAAAATTTTGTACTTTTAAAGCCAAGTTCTAGCAACGGGGTATCAAGATAAGCATCAGATGAAATGATCGATGAATCCAGTTAATGTTGTCGAATCTTAGCCAAAATTAAAAAAAGAAAACCAAAAAGTAATAGAAAACAAAACACCACAGTAATTAAAAAAATATTAAATACAACCACAATGAATGAGAGTATCTAGGCCTCGTCATCATCAACTATTTTTAATCACTGAATCTTATGTAAACAAATTTAATCATCGTTTTGCTTTGGAATCAACTGCATTGACTCTTGGTTGGGCCCAGATTAGATTGATTTTCATTTAAATGATATGCGGCGGAGGCGTTCGATGGTTACGACAATGACCCTTAGGGTCTACGTCACTTCACAGCCTTCACTGATTAAAATACAATCGTAACAGACTGTTGGACGATAATGAGTTATATAAAATTAATAAAACCCTAAATAAACATTGTAACGATTTATTTGGTAAATTAATTTCGGTTGGTAATAAAGCATTAATAGTTCTATTAAATATTCCAAGTTTTAATTTCTGTAGCAGGTTTATGAAGAATTTAAGTGCATTCAGGCAAGTTGAAGCATTTCCGATTCCAATAATTAAAACTATACATTGTGTAAACTATTCTTTATTGTTTTTGTTTATATTGATTTATAATTCATTCATTTTTTGCTGAGATGTTAGGTAACAATATGGTAATATATATTTTATGCCTGTATTATCAAGACATTTTTCATCAGCTGTAGGGTTAGATTTTTAATTTAGAATACTCTTGAGTTAAACGATCATATACATTTATCTTAAATCTGATCTAACCAAGGAATAGTCCTGCTCCTCGGTTAATGGAGCCCCCAAGGTGAGCACCGCCTAGTCCCAGACCGGCGCTTCCGGAATTTCCGCCTAGATTGCCGCCAAGGTTCAAGCCATTTCCTCCTAGACTTACACTACCCTTGTGATAACCATTGGATCCACCAAGGGAAAGAGAACCATCGTTAGCTATTAGGGTAGCCGAAGAGCCTCCCAGCGAAAGGGTTCCAGAACTACCCTGAGAAACCGGTGACAAGGCGGAGGCACCTGCTGCAGCCGCTCCCAATAATCCGCTGGCCACTCCGTGGGTCACAGATGCAGCCTCGTGGGCTCCAGCCAAGCCCAAAGATCCGGCACCTGTATGGCCAGATGCACCAGATCCAGAAGCTCCCAATAATCCGCTGGCCACTCCATGGGTCACAGAGGTAGCTTGGTGGGCTACTGCCAAGCCTAGTGATCCGACACCGGTGTTTCCAGAAGATTCGATGCTCATATGTCCGGCGCTGATCTTATGAGATCCTGCAGTAGATCCCGTTGAACCAATGCTCAGATGACCAGATCCGGCAGAGGAACTGGAGTCCTTGGAACCAGAAGATTCAATATTCAGATGTCCCACGCCGAGAGACGCCGATCCCGAAGATCCCGCCGAAGAACCAGAGGTAGTGGAACCCGAGTTGCCAATATTTAAATGTGCTGAGTGCGATGCTCCGGAAGTGGTGGCGCCGGAATTGGTGGCTCCAGTAGAGGAAGTCTTGATATTCAGGTGTCCGACTCCAAGGGATGCAGCGCCGGAGCCTGTGTGCAATGTGCTGGATCCACTAGTTTCAGAAGCTTTAATATTCGAATGTCCAGCACTGATCTTAGCAGAGCCTGTCTCCTGGGAGGCCGAGCTGGAACCAGTTTTCGAGGCACCAGCTCCAGTTGAAGCTATTTTGGAGTGCTCCGCCTTGATCTGGGCTGACCCACCAAGGGATGCAGATCCGGAACCAGTGGATCCACCAGTACTCAAAAGTCCTCCAGATCCTGATCCAATGGATGCAGATCCGGAACCGGTTTTTGATGCACCGGAAAACGTACTGCCAGAGGACTCATAGTGCACATGACCAGCTGTGAATTTGGAAGATCCTGTTTTGTGATAAGAAGAGCTGGTGTGCATGGAACTAGCTCCAGTGGCTTCAATATTTAGGTGGCCAGCATGGCCATGAGATTCAGTAGCTAATGAGCCAGTCACCTTACTTCCCGAGGATCCGGCAGTAATCTTGGCAGAGCCAGCTTGCAGGGCAGCTGAGCCAGAGCCAGTAGATGAAGATCCAATGCTGTCATGTCCTGCACTGATCTTCGCAGAGTGTGAAGCTGAGCCGGAATGGGAATGCAAAGCGCTGGAACCAGTTGTTCCAATGCTCAAATGACCAGCATTGATATTGGATCCACTAGAGCCCGTAGTGGAGCTCGTTGTTCCAGAGGTTCCAATGTGCAGATGACCAGCACCAATAGAAGCTGATCCAGTATTGGAATGCAAGGAGCTGGCTCCCGTATTTCCCTTCGCTCCGATACTCAAATGTCCCGCTCCTAGAGAGGCGTAGTTGGAATTGGTGGCTCCGGAGGTTTCAAGGCTCAAGTGGCCAGCTCCAGAGTTGGAATTTCCCGTCGAACCAATGCTTAAATGACCGGCATGGTTCGATCCAGTTCCAGCTCCTGATGTGGCAGCCCCAACGAGCCCGCTGGCAACCTTATCTACCGCCTGAGCTCCCAAAGAGGCCCCCTTGGCACCCAGAGAGGCCGCAGTGGATCCTGTAGAAGTTACAGCATTCACACCAGTTCCTGCCACACCCAGCAGTCCGTTGGCTGCTTGTTTCACCAATGATCCGGCAGATGCCGAAGAGTGCGTGCCGCCAGCCGAAAGGCCTCCAAGTCCAATGGATGCTTCATTGGATCCTGCGCCGTTGTAGCTACCACCCAAACTCAGGCCAGGCAGACTTCCTTGCACGTTGGAGTCACCTCCATTGCCACCAAGTCCAATGCTTCCACCGCCGAAGCCAAAGCCAAAACCTGCGGAGGCCAAGGACACGCAGCCGGCAGTCAAGAGGAAGATTAATCCCGTGGGAACCATTGTTTAAATGTCACTAACTGCTTTCCGAGAAAACCGCAAGCTTATATAGAACCCAAAATGCGCCTAGATAGGTATCAAAAGACGTCATAACATTGATACAGTTGAGCCTCGGAAAGGGAAAGTTTTAAAATAAGATTTAATGTAATGAAAAAAAAAGTAAACCTGTCTAGTTGTAAACTAAAATTAAACGTAAAGATGATGAAAACTATACGAAATCTATAGTTAATTTAACAAATAGTAAATATTACTAACATTTATATCTTTTAATAAAATGTAGCTACGAAAGTTGAGGAGTTTTCACTGTTATCATTAATAGTTGGTGACGTTTTTTTGTTAATTAATTCACGGAAAGAAGGAAAAACAAGTTGCTAAGCATTTATCAAACGTTTTTTTTTTTTTTTTGTGCTTAGGAAAGGTGGTTATTGGCTTGGGGGATTCACCTTTGTCTAAAAAAAGAAAAAACAACACACGTGCTATAGAGAGTCTACCAAAGTATTAAAATTAAGGTCAATTAATTCTTGGTGTCAAAGTTTTTAAGTTAAGTTTTAAGTTTACCCTTAGTTTTTGAAAAGAAAGTTTTAGGTAAACTAAAACATATATGAATATCTTAAGAAACTTTTATACGTTTTTAGTTAATATTTAATGGGGAATATACATTTGAAAAAGTCTATAAGAATCGAAAACCTCTGTAAATGAATATCTCATTTCTTCATTAATTTCATTATCTATATTTAATTTTAGCTCATATATCCAACTAAAGGTAAGGCTATTTCAAACTCGCTTTTCTGTTATTTATCATTTCCTAGTCTATAAATATTTTCAGCAATTAATTGCCTAATCAAAGCTTGACAAAATTAGCATCATTTTTACAGCTGTTATGACGACGGCCCTTCATGTAACATTAATAAATATAATTCCTATGCATTTTCTCATATTTCTAGGAAGTTAAATTTGAATTATGATTTTGTGACAATACTAACGATTTATTTGTATATACCTTTTGTTTCTTAAGCCCCTCTCACCGCCCAGATACAGATACAAAATTATATTTTCCACTCTCGAAGCATCGTGCACTTTGTTTTTCGCCAACTTAGACACTGTTTTTCACTTAACTTGGCTTGCTGGTGTTCGCTGGCATGCAGGAAAAGCGCAGCTGAGCTGCACAGAAATGCAAATGCCGAGGCAATGTGGGCCGAATCCCAAGAAGGTCGGGTCGGAAGAGGCAGCATCTTAGCCCCGGGTGTCAGCTGGCTTGGCCCACTGGCATCTGCTGGGGCAGCAAATGGAAAATTGTACTCGCAGGAAATCTGCTTACAAATGCATGTACCTCGACCCGCCGGCTGGCTGATGCTGCTGCTGTTGTTGCGAAATCTGTTACGGCTTTTGTGGGGCGAAAGAAACACTTGACTTCCGCTTCCGCTGAAGTTCGCCATGCATATTTCAAAATGCAAATACTCGCATATTCTCCGCAGTTAAAGCTAAGTACAAAGAGTCGAATAACTAAGTAAATATTGAATTTGGGGCAACATGAGCTTAAGAGATTTTTCATCAAGTCAGTTTGTAAGCCGAATAAAGCCCTATTTCCCCTAGCTTTTATTTGTGAAACTCTCTCTTGACTTTCTACTTACTATATTTCTTGATAAATAAATACTTAAATTTAATTAAAATTTAATAAATTAATATATAATCCCTGCTATCTGATACGAAACCATCTCTTAGACCGAGTGGATTCCTCTGGTGCATCCTCGGGTAGTTTTCCCAGCACTTGCAGCATCCGGCGGTATAGCATCTTTCGCACATCCGTGGCCCAGAGGAAGTCCATGTGGTTAAACTCCTTCTGGGGCACCAGATACTTGCCCGTCACGTTGCCCAGGTCATCGCACATGGCTTCGACGTCGTGGGGATGACACAGCAGGTCATTGGTGGAATAGTAAACGAAAGTGGGCACTGTCACCTGGCTGAGGTTGTAGCGCGGAGGCAGGTGTTCCCTGTACAGTTGCATATTCTTGTTGGAACTGTAGCTGTATGGGGCAAAGCGACCGCTCTTGATGATCTGGATAAAGTGCTTCACCTGCTTGGCAGCCACTCCGGCGGGGTAGTGTCCCAGAATCACAGGGAACATTTTCTGAAATTATTACGATGGGTTATTTCTGAAAGAAAAGGTAGTTTTAAGCGGATTTTTACCCTGTTAAACTCATTCCAGTTGCGACCCACGATGCCAAAGACCGCCTCGATGCACAGTCGCTCCGTTTCCTCGGTCATGCGGCACAGGAACCGGAACTCGCCATTGAACATCTCTCGAATGGAGCTGCCCACGAGGCTCTGTTTATATATAATAAGGGGATAAGTTAATTCAAATAAAGGATCCTTGTTATATTGAACCCAAACTCACATTAAAGTAAAGACTGATTGCCCGAATATAGGGATGATCCTCGGTCTCCTTGGCATACACAGCAGGTGCCATTGCCTGCATAGACAGAACCTTCTCATTATAAGCTGGCCGCATGGAGCACATCACAAAGAAGGAGGTGCAGCCCTGCGAATGTCCACCGTAGTGCAGTTTCGGAAACCCAGTGACCTTTAGCACATGGTCAATCATAGCAGGCAGGTCGTACATGCCGATCTCGTGCCAGCTAAAGTCCCAGAACTTGGACTCGTCCGGGTCCAGGGTAGTGTGGTTCCTCGAGTAGCGATTCCCCCGCGCATTGCCCAGCCACACGTCGTAGTCGTGGTCGGCCAGCAAGTAGGCTGCCAAGTGAGATCCGGCCGTTAGCACATGGTCATTAATCACGGGGACAGAGAGGGACACTCACCCAGGCTCACGTTGGGACCCATTACCACAAATCCCGCCGAGCTGTCCACGAGTCCGTGCTGCAGTAGGAAGGGCTGCGCGCCCTGCTTGCGTATGCGATGCAGGGTCAGTATGTAACCATCCTCGGTGGTCACATGATGCACCTCCGCCTCGTAGCCATACTTGGCGATTAATTTGTCCTGTGTGAGATAGTCGATGACAGTGAGAGCACGGATAATAAAAAGCAACAATATCTCTGCTAAAAATATTCCCTATACTTATCAGACATATTTTTTATAAAATAAAGACCTATTATTTATCTATATCATAACGTATTATATTTTCAATAAACCTTTTTATCTGATATCGATATTAAATCGTTAATAGCACATTATTTTCCGATATCTAAAGTTTCGGTAGATTAAAGTTTATGAAATATTTTGTTATACTATAATTTGAAAACTCGATTTTGTTCTATGTGCAATCATTAATCTTCTTACCACGCTGAGTGTGGAGTCCTGCTTAATGTTCTTGCGTTGCAGCCGCTCCTCCAGCGTCTCATCCTCCACGCTCTCCTCCTCCTCTTCCTCCTCCTCGTCCTCCTCGTCCTCTTCGCCGCCTATCAACTGCCCCTGTGTCCTGCAGATGAGCACACACAGGCCCAGCAGCAGGACCAGCCGCATCCTCAGATTTTGGCGCATCTTATTTGCGGCTGAATTACGGAAAGTGAAACCACGGCGGACCTCTCAACCACAAGGCAACGCGACGCGAACTCAACTGAAGACCAATTCGAAAACTGTCAAACACCAACGAACTTCTGCAGGGCTTGCAACAAAAAAAAAAAGAAAAACAAAAAAAAAATCGAAATAATAAAAAAAAAGAATGCCGAAATACGAAAAAACTTTCGATCAGACAACAACATTGCGCACTGTGACGTGTTACCTGCTTTTGTTTACCTTTTGATTGCGTTTTACGTTTTCGGCCAAGTTAATTAAATATGGCACCGGAAGAGCGGTGTGCAGGGGGGAAGCTATATTTGGGATGCGTGGGGCGTAGTAATCAGAAAACCAGAAACTTATCAAGTGCAAGAAGTACAGTGAAGCAATGTTATAGAGATATTATCAGAGCTCCATTGCAACATGTTCTGGTATTTATCAAAAAAATTCTCTACCTGCTTTAACTGCTATAATTTCCTTAATAAATTAAGATTTCTTGCATTTTAATAAAAAATTATATTTTATTGACGGAAACTTTCCGCCTGACTGGCATTAGAGCTATATTTACAATGCAAAAATCATAAAATAATATAAATTTCGAAAGTTGTTCAATAAAATATTTAAAAATATTAATTTACACATTTGCCTAGGCCATAAAAAATAATCCCCATTTAGTAAGTGCGCCACCAAAACAATTCCATTAAGGTAATTATCATTCGTTCTCCTCTTTCGACCATCGAAATGGCTTAATAAGCCAAACCTTTTGTGGCCAAAAAGCTGCGGCAACAAATGAATTTTTTGTTGGCCATCAAAAGAAAGTAAAAGTGTCGACCCGTTGTTGTGGCGGCTGCCTTTTTGAATTATGCATCTATATGTTTGTATACATATATATTTTTTTTTAACGGCTTGGCATTACATAATTGGCACTTTGGCCGGCTGCCAAGGCAAATAAAGCATTTCGCTGGCCGATTATTATTTTTTTGTTTTCTTTTTCTATCATTTCCATTTTAATGGGACCTTTGATGACACCTTTTTTTTTTGATTATTTGGCGGTCATTCAATTACGTAGGCCAATCGGCCCGCCAGAAATTGTTCCATTTGCTCGATTAATTTGTCGTTGACCAGGGTCTTGACATCGCCGGAGATGAGGAAATCCAAATGGTTGAATTTCGGGGAGTTAATGCGCCTTACACCCTTCACCGATTTGAGCATCCGGGCATAAATACCATGGACTCCTTCGGGAGTGGCCATGGCATCGGTTTCCCCAAAATACAATATGATTGGCACAGTGATTTGGCTAATGTTGTAATTTATGGCCTCGACGCCGCGATATATCTGCAGGTTCTCAACGGGTCCAAAGTCATAGGAAATGAAGTCACCCGACTTCCAGATCTGTTGAAGGTGACGTATCTCCCGGGCGGAACCGCCTTGCAGGAGGTGTTCATAGTTAAAGGCTTCGAGCAACTATATGGTATTTTTTAATACAATTAAAAATATATATACTTTAGGACATTTTAAGTACCTTTTTATTGCTCTGGGCACTGCCTGCCAGTTGCTTTGTGTAATATTCGCAGATATCCCGCTTACTTTGGCATATTTTGGGTAGATAACCCGGCGGAAAGATCTCCAGTTGGTTGCTCTTTTGACGTTTCTAAAAATAAAGAAAATTTTAAGATATATATTTAAAATGTAACTTTTTTAGATAATTGAACTGCTAGATATATAATTTTACATACACCAGCTTAGGCTTAGGCTCCTTTAATTTCTTCTTAAAATATATAATTTCCACCACCAAAAGCTAATTGATTTTTCTATCCCTTAAGCTTAGATTTGTAACTAAATATTTTCTTTTAAAGCTCTATTTAAAAGCTTCTATATTTGGTTTAGTATTTTTCCACAGGAATACAATCCACTCAGCTGATCTGCCCACCTTTAGCTGAGCTCAACTTCCACTAAATTTATATTTTTAAATCGCCCCAGGGGGTTATCACCGAGCGTGTTCGTTCTTTCCCTAAATAATCTTTCAGGCTCGCCAGCTCTCAATAGTTCCCTATCTCTGCTTCGATGTCAAGCGGTGTCAGCGTCGTTATCAACTACACAGAGAAAAATAAATTATACAGCTTACAGCTTACAGTTTTACTATAATATAATTTATGGTATTCATTTTTTAAATTTAACACACAAATAAATATCAGTCAACCTTTAAAATTTCAACTTATATCAAAATTCAAATATCATAAATTTATTTTAAATCTTAATATGTGAATATTATTTTCAGTGTCCACCCCAGATCACATCTTCCCAGCGGATTCCATCCGATCCTCAGTCACCGCGCGATGTTCAGACTAAGTAATCGATTTCCCGCCTTTCTTGGCGGCCTACGCCACGCCTCCTCAGCCGGCGAGGGTCAGCGCACCGCTCTCTACGATTTCCACGTGCAGAAAGGAGGAAAACTCGTAAACTTTGGTGGCTATGCTCTGCCCGTTCAGTACTCCGACCAGAGCATCATCGCCTCGCACTTGTATACCCGTCAGGTGGGCTCCATCTTCGATGTGTCGCACATGCTGCAGACGCGAGTTTTCGGCAAGGATGCAGCCGCCTGCCTGGAGTCTGTCTGCACGGCAGACATCCTGGGCACTCCCAATGGCAGCGGCACCCTCACCGTTTTCACCAATCCAGAGGGCGGCATTCTGGACGATCTCATCGTGAACAAAGTCAGCGAAAAGGAGCTCTATGTGGTCTCCAATGCGGCGATGAAGCAACAGGATATGGGAATCATGAGCGCTGCTGTGGTGAGTGGGGAGTGTGTCCCAGTTTAAGAGGGAGAGCTTTTTAAATATATTTATTTCTTTAGGACAACTTTAAAGCCCAGGGCAAGGATGTAACCATCGAGTTTCTAACTCCCACCGATCAATCGCTAGTGGCGGCTCAGGGTCCCCAAGTAGCAACCAACCTGTCAAAACTTCTACCAAAGAATGCCTCCCTGGAGCAACTCTACTTCATGACCTCCTTTGTCACCACCTTGGCTGGTATTCCCAATGTCAGGATTACAAGGTGCGGCTACACCGGAGAGGATGGCGTCGAGATCTCCGTGGAATCCAGCCAGGTTCGCAAGCTCACAGAATCTCTACTAGAGAGTGGAAACCTGAAGCTAGCTGGTTTGGGCGCCAGAGATTCCCTGAGACTGGAGGCGGGTCTCTGTCTTTACGGCAGCGATATCGATGCCAAGACCACGCCTGTGGAGGCAGCTCTCGCCTGGTTAGTGGCTAAGCGTCGCCGTGCTGCCCAAGATTTCCAAGGAGCTCAGGTGATTCTTAGTCAGCTGAAGGAGGGAGTGAGCCGAAGACGTTTGGGACTAAAAATGTTGGGAGCCAAACCGCCACCAGCTCGCGCAGGAGTGGCCATCTTTAGCCAGGGTCAGCAGGTGGGTCAGGTGACCAGTGGCTGCCCCAGTCCCAGTGCAGGATACAACATAGCCATGGGCTACGTGAGTGAGCAGCTAAAGGCGCCCGGCACCAAAGTGGAGCTCAAGGTGCGAGACAAGCTCTACGAGGCCGAGATTGTAAAAATGCCATTTGTAAAAGCCAATTACTACAATAAGCCAAAGAAATAAATTTGAAAATAAAAAATTTAACTGAAGAGGAAACCAGATTTAGTTAATCTTAAATTTTAGGGAGAGTTCCTCACACCTATTTTTGTTTTTTCTAAGAAAACCTACACTCTAGGTATTAATTAACCAATTAATTAAACTATTTTATCTGCAATTACCTTGACAAATTTCATGAGATGCCGCACCTGGTTGGAATCAAAACGCACCTTGCGACGCAGTCGTGCCAGTGGCGCCAGGGCCTGCATCAGCCGGATGCGTTGGTTGAACCTCGGATGGACCGAGCAGAGCACCAGGAAGGCATTGAAGGCCTAAGAGCAACGTTTAGGAGGGAATATCGCCACTCGTGCACAGCTCACCTGCGAGTGCCCAATTAGCAGGACTTGTCGCGGCTCCCGCTCTGGATCTGGCTCTGGCGTTGCCTCTGCCTCTGTCTCCTTTTCTGCGGCATCTGGGCCTGCTTCTCCTGGCTGTTGTTCGGCGCCTGTGACCGCCGTCATGTGGTCAATTATGGCCGGCAAATCGTAGGCGCCCTGCTCGTGAAAGCTGAAACGCCAGAATGCCGGCATCACGTCGGTCAAGTCGCTGTGCTGCCTTCCGTATGGCGCCACGCCGCGCAAATTGGCCAGCCACACATCGTAGCCGCGTTGGTGCAGCTGGAAGGCTACACGGAAAAGAAAATATAATAGTATTTATTTTTAAAGAAATGAGGGAAAAGGCTAGATTTATATAAACATTTATATTTAGATTTTACTTGAATTTTTGTGTTCTATATAATTTCTTTTAAATCAATTTGTTAAACCCTAACATGGGAAACCATTTTGAAGCTCATTAATTCTTAAATTTTTTGTGTGCTTTTCGCTTACCCAAACTTCGCTCTGGCCCCAGGCAAACCCATCCCAGCGAGGAGCCCAGAAGTCCATGGACCAGGAGCACGGATTGAGCTCCCGGGCGCGGAAGCCGCTGTAACTGCAACTGATAGCCATCCGCAGTGGTTACATTATGCACCTCATGGCTCACGTTCTGGGCATCCAGCCAATCCAGCTAAGGGGTAAAGGTACACAGAAAAAAAAAATCTTTATAATAAAGATTTTACAAAAAGGAAAACAAATAGTAAGCAACCATTAGAAAATCTTATTTTGAAAACAGGGTTTTACATATGTTAGATTTAAAATACTTAATTTGGAAAAATGAAAGTGCGCTTAAATATAGAATAAATATCTCTTCACCACATATTTGCAACTTGCCGTGGACCATTTGAAACGCGACTCCGGCGGAGTGGCACACACGATGAGCACGACTTGGACGGCGGTGATCCAGCCTAACTCATTCATTTTGGACATTCAACTGAGCTGGTGTGGTGTGAGCACGAATGCGTTAATTGTTCAGTTCCCCCAGATCATCTTTCCACATGACTAAACGCCACAAAATCGAATTTATGGTGGTAATCGGGTTTGGGTAGCTCAGAAAGAGCTGCATTATATTTGAATAACTTCAAGCTTTTATATTATTTCAAGTAAAGATAATTAAAATTGAATTTTTAGAAGCGAGTTTATGAAAAAGAAATTTAAGAAAGAAAGTCGATTTTGTAATAAAATATATTTTGTCTGGAGCAACTAAAATATTTGTATACATTTTTAAGCAAAAAACATAAAGTAATTTCTTTTGCTGGAATTTTCCATCTGTTATTTACATCCAATAAAAATATATCCGACAATGAAATTCGTAATTAAATAAAGCTTAACGGAAAGCTTAAATAAAATAGATTGAATACCGCCAGGGCGGCCTTATCCTTATGGAAACGCTCACAATTAATTGCACTCCCCCTTTATCACTCAGCAATATTCATACTCGAGGAGCAGGAGCATGGGGAATCCTGTTGCCATTGCAATTCAGGGGCAGACCACTTGCCGGTAGCATCGTTGTTTACTTATCGCTGCGAGAGATAACAATTGACTACGCAGACGGCTGGAGAACAGTCAGAAAAAAATCCCAGCGAACTTTATTAAAATTATGCACAAAAAGGGACGAACAAAAACAAAAAACCCAAATGAATAAAAAAAGGCCAAAGAAAGCGAGGTCCAAATTAAATGGGAATCCAAAAACGCGAATGGAAAATAAAAACCCGCAAGGATTGCGGCGGTGAGACTGGCAACAAAGGACACGCAATGCCCATTGGTGCTCCTCCTCCTTCCCTTCGGTATAAGGACTCTGGCAGCGACGGCATCTGTGTGCAGTCAACAGGATGCAAAAGTGCAGTCGATTAACGGAAGCGCACAAGGGTGCGAGATCCTCGCCGTTCCGTCTGAAGCTGGGCGGGGGGGAGGCGCGTCATGTCCGGCACTTGCATATGTATGAATTTTTATTAAATTTAATAAAGCTGCAATTATGCAATTTACTCGTGCTCGTGCATTTGTCACGCCCCCAGCTGCCCACGAATGTCCAGGGAGTTGAAAATTAATTTGGCTGCGGTTACAGCAGTAGCTGCGATCCGGGAAATCGGAATAAAAAAGGCATTTGGCAAATTTATGAAACGTAGGCCAGACTTTAATGGTGTGAGCGGGAACTGAGTTTTCACTTTATTAATCTCGGAACAGAGAGAATTTAATTCTTTTGATTTTTATTTTGTTAAAAAAAATATTTTTTCAGTATGAGTTATCTGAATTTCTGGCAAATTAAGATTCTTTAAAATTATATAATTATATATATATAATTAAATTATTTAAGATTGGCAAAATAAGAAGCTTAATAATAATAATTACTTTTGAGATACTTAACTAATTTATATGTGTATATTTTTAAATTTCATTAAAGACATTTATTACATTCATATAAAAATATTGAAGCTTTTATTGATTCTGTTAATAATCCAAAAAAAGATTCGTTTAAATTCCCGTAAATTATATATACTTAATAATGTAGCTTTACCATGTTATTTGCCTTTTTATTCACAATATTTAACATACAAATAATAATATTTAATCTCTCCAGCATTTTATTTTCCATAACTTATCAATGACAAGCCAAAGCCCAACTTATTCCGCATAAATACACCTCCAGTATTCGAATGCAGGTGAATCACATCATCATTTCAAATTTCCAGCCATAAAATCGAGCACAAATTACACGTATTTATCTGGTCTAATGACACTTTTTACGCCTCGTAAAACATGAGCCATAAACGGGAGCGAATCGAGCGAACTCAACGCCACGCATCAATTGACATTTTTGGCATTAAGCATTTTGGCATAAAGGTGAAAAGGAATCGCACCGCCAATACAATGGGGCCCAACGACAACAATTCCGATAGAAAAATCATTACGACGAGTAAATAACAACGAGGTAAACAAGTTTGTGGCAAAACAAAATAAAAGGAAAACAGAAAAAACCCAGGACAATGGGACAACGGCAGGAGGTGAAAAATGAAAATAGTAATGAAAATGGCGGCAAACAAAAGTCAATCGTCAGTCGCTGTTGCTGTTGCTGTTGAAGGAAATTGTCGAAAAAATATTGAGGAAGAAATCGGGCGGCAAGAGACACTTTGTATTATTAAGCGACGACAGGTAGACAAATCAAAATGTGACTGACGGGTGGGGGTTTTCCGTTTCCGCCCCAGTTCCTCCACCCGCTTCCGGTGGCTCGTGCCAAGGCAAACACAACCGCGCCGAGAAATCAAAATCAATGTAATTGACGAACCCACGGTCTGCGTAAGTGAGTGAATGAATCGTGTCGTTTATTGTGGCAACAGCTTTTCAGGAGGAGCTTCCCTTTTTCCGCGACTTTGTTTGTCTTTCAACTCGATTGCATGGCAACTTTCGGGCCTGTCCCAGTCTTCTATATAAATATATATATCTATTTTTTTTTTGTTTCTCCTTCGTTTTTATTATTTCCTATGCCTCTGTGAATGTGAATGGCTTTTGAAATGTTTGCGTGCCATTTGTGTTGACAGTAAAAGCCGCTTAATGATTTCATTTTGGTTATAAATAGGATTTTTTCGTTCTGAATATGCAAAGAAAATGGGAGGCCTAATGCTCACTTGGGGTAGGTCATGTGCAAAAAGGGGAAAACATACTTAAGATAATGGTTAAGAGAATAAGACAAAGTGCTCAGCGGAAACTACTGATACTAGAAAAAAAAAACCTTAAATAAAAATAAAGAAATAAGTAACAAATTTAATGATGATAAAATTGCAATTATAAAATCGATTTATAAAAGCCTGAACTTTTAAAAACTTGAATAAACTTTTATTCAGTTCACGCTCAGCACCTTGGATATAAAATGAATAGAGGTAAAGCGTCCATTAGTTAGCAACAAGGATCCGCCGAATTATGTTCGCCTTTTAAATAAACAAAACGCGAGTTTTCGAGCGGAATTAAAGCAAGTTTTAAAAGCAAATTTCCACCTTGCCAAGTCCGAGCCGGGAAAGATTCCACTGGCCTCGCAGCAGCACCACCAACAAGGGCAAAGTTTTCACATTTTTGTTTAACATTTTCCAAATGCCTTTTTATCATTTTTTTTTTTTTTTTTTTTTTTTTGTAACACTTTTAATGCATAATGGAATTAGTTAAATTTCTCTTCGCAGCGCAAACTTTCGCTGAACTTGCGCCAAAAAGTTTGCTTCCTGTTTTCCCCTTTTTTTTCGACAATGTTATGCGTTTCTGATGACGTTGTAGAAAACGTTTCCGTTTTGGGAGCTTGCAATGAAAACTTTTTAACTTAGAACCGACTCTCGTTCGAATTTTAATTAAAATATTTATGAATTTGTCTTTTAAAAGAGAAGCTAGAAGAAAGACAGCCGAAAGACGTGCTTGGCAGTATCTTGATGAGCTGGCAATCACAAAAGACCGGCCAACAGAAGTGAATACAGAAAAGTCAGCTGCCACAGATAAAATCCAGGCGTCAATTGCTACTCAAAGTCGTTCATGTGGCCAACTTTCTGATTAAGAAAAATAATGGGAATCAAGTCGAGCTATAACAATTTTTAATTATACGCCACGAGGAACGTGCCCCTTGAATGGAATAATAGAATAAAGATTTCATTATGATTCTGCTTATATGGTACTAGAGACTTTAATGCCTTTTCAATGAAATATTTATTTTAGCTAATAGCTTGATATTTGTTTTAGATTATAAGAACATTTAATTTACACTTAAATAAAAAATTCTAAAATATTTGAAAAGAAGATTTCTTTGAAGATGCCGCTTGCGTGACTTATGTATGCAAAACTTTCTATTATATATTAAAAATTAAGTATTTTTTATTATTAAATATTAATTTAATTATTTATAAATTTATTAAATTTATTTGAATAAATATTTTCAGGTTTTCCAATACTCCCTTTATTAAGACTCTTAATTTAAGAGCAAAACATTTTAATGTCATACCCCCACAATATAGACAATCCCAAGAGAGTTCATTATTTTGCAAACTGGTTTATAATTAAATTATGGCGACCACGTCACAGTTGAGATTTCTACAGAAACTATCAGCTACATATGTATATGCATATCTCATTTCTGGAAAACCCCCTATATTACCAATAAAAGTCCAGACAATTGTGAGCTTACATTTCACACAAATTCGTTAAAGCAAACCAGCAATTATTTATTTTTGCATATTTATCACTGAAAGCCTAATAAATAATAATTACGGCTTTTATCTTGCTTTATTGTCTTGATTAGATGTTCAGAGTCAATCCGGGTTCTCTAAGCAGTAAAAAAGCAGTCAGCTTTCAGCAATTAGTAAATGTTTATTGGTTTTCATTATTAGACAAACAAAAGAAGACTGAATAATATTTTGAATAAAAATGTACATGATTTATATTGAATAATATTTTGAATAAAAATACAAAAAAAAAAGCATGATTTATATTGCCGCTGATATTTGCCACCGCAACCCCATAAAAGCAACCTAAAAGCAAATTAGTTGAACAACTGTTGAACGCTAGAGGACCTGCTCCGACATATCGAACATATTCTCCGACAATTTGCATTTGTTTATGGCCCTCGCAAGTATTTTTCAACCGAACTTCCAACTCAGCTTCGAACTACTCTGCTCGGCTGCCTGCTTTATGTCTTTCCATTATTGATGACTTAATTCCGGTTGATTTATTGAGGCCACAAACAGCCGGCCAGCGCGCTCAGTGAGCCATGTTTTGCACTGGAGTCAGGACCAGGAGTCAGGACCTCGCCATTCTGCCATTTCGTATGCACACGTACAGCACAAATGGAACCACTTGGTGCGATGGTGGGGGTAGCCTAGCAGGCCAAGCAGTTGCGTTGGCCTGGTCCAGACGAGCGAACGAACGAACGTGTTTAATAAATAAGCCCAGTTAATATGGCGCAAAAGGTTGAATAGGAGCACAGCCCATATATTTCCAAGGTTTAATCGTTTTTCTATGCCGGAAAAAAGTTGGGTGTACAATAATTATACTCAACAAACGAAAATCGCAATTATTTTTTAGTAATAAATATTCTAGAAAGTTAAGTTGTTAAATAATTTACTGAAAATAGAGTTTAAAGTATTTTACCTGCTTTAATTAAGTAGTATTTCATAAAAAAATACAACTTAAATATCTATTTTGAGGGCTCTCCGACTGAACTTCTGAAATAATTATTTTGAATAAAATCCCACTGAAACTTTTAAATATTATTTGTCTTTATCTTATTTTCTCTCTCTGTAACCAACTGCAGATACTTGGCATTGTCTGAGCAGTACTTACTTATACGTTACCTATCTCGGAGCATCGACCTCGTTGAATTGGCAACAGTTAATGATGTTAACAGAAGCTCTGAATGGCCAGCGGCTCCCCATGCATTCAGACGATACCAGCATTGATCACTTGGCCAGGATGAAAAACGAGCTCTGAGTTCATGTGGAGATGCGACCACAAAAGTTCCATCAGATTCGGGCAGGTGGTAGGAGGTGTAATCGAAACGAACTCCAACTCGATTTGTGCACGGTAATTAAAATTTAATCATTGGACATTAGTACTCGCCTACACACCGAGGTGGTGGCTGTCTGGAAAAGGAGCGCTAAGCCCCTGAAATGGGTTCAGTGTAATGAGTGCCCCCTTTGAGGGCTTACACGCTCCGGTATCTCCTGCATTCATTTTTGTGCTGCATACTTTCAGGCATGTAAATGCACACCTGCGCTTTTGTGTGTGCGAGTGTGTGTGTGTTTTTTGCGGATAAATGTTTGATTTAGGGGTTTGGGTTACTCATTTGTTTGTTTGGCCGTTCGTTCCAGGTTGCCAAGGTATTTAAGTCGCCGCTGCCGCTCTTTGCTTCGGGCATTTTAATAGATTTCTGCTAATGACATGCAATTAATTTTGCGGTTTTTTCAACCAGAAAGCATAAACTTTGGGAAAAAAAATACACACGGCAATGCATGTAAGAGAGAAGTTACATTGGATCCATTAGGGAAATTATGGTGTATTTTTTCTCAGTTAATTTATTTTGGAAAATGTTAATGAAAGAGGATGTTCATTGAATGGAAAGTCTAATGTAAATATTAATATCATGTTGAAAGATTTGTTAAATTTGATATATACAATTTTTAAATATCGTAAATTGTAATTTCTCTTAAATTTAAGAGTTTAATATTGATAAATATATAAATATTATTATTACATTTTTTTTTCTCTTTGGTAGATATTGAAATATTAATACAGTGTTAATTTATCCATATCTTTTGTCACCCTTTGTTAATCATGAGCCTTTAAAGCCTTTAAAGTTTATATATATAGTTTGGAAAATTTTATTTGAGGCGTATTTCTTGATTTAGTATACAGTTAATTGCCCAATTTCAAAAAAACCCAAAAGTACATGTTCGGAAGCTCGTTAAAATCTCATTTTAATTTGCTAGCTTCCACTTCAGCCCAAACCAACTCTTTTTCCACTGAACAGCAATCACTTTTATCAAGAAATTGCATTTTCCGGGGATTACAAGCCCAATCCTTACTGCAAAAAGAGGGTTCAGCGGGTGGCACATGTGGCATTCATTTCGAACTTTTATCTAACAACAAAGCTGGCTCAGACCCGATGTTTTGACCCAGGCCACAGAACACCACCGACCCCGGACAGTGCCCCCGCAGGAGATGAGCTCCGCCCCATGGACAGTGAAATGGCCAGCGATGGCAATTAACTTTATAACATTTGCATGGCCCATGTGCATTGTCCCCCCTGCTGCACGCCAGTTGATTAATTGGAAATTGCGGTTAATGGTTGGTCAGATCCGAATCGGCATCGACAATGGGAGCATAAAGTTGGCCCCGAGGTCTAGACTTTTAATTAGACCCGGCAACTGAGCCTAGAAGTGTGCTCTACATGCAAAAAGTTTGCTCCAAAAACTTTGTCACTTGTTATTGAATTTTTTTTACATTTTTTGTACCAAAAGTTGACAGATTTGCAGCGGAAAATTAACAACTTCCTTGCAAAGAAAAAAAATGAAAACATATTCCTTCGTTTTTTTGGAGAATAAACTTTATCCTGCGTAAAATCGAGTTAAGAAGTCGAAGAAAGTATGCAAGGCTAAAAATGTGCTAGAAACTATGTACACGGAAGAGTTTTCATCGGTTTTTCCAGCTGTCTCGGGCTACGGGTTACGGAAACTTAAAAAGTCGTAGACTTTTATGTCCTTTTTGGGAGTGAGAGACACTCCCGTCGTGATCCTTCAACAGCCTACAAACAAACCGAGTTTGTTGGAAAATTAAGTTGAGAAAGATGAGGACTTCCAGTTGTTTACATTCTAGGAATGTTGCGGCGTCTACCAGGAAGTCGAGCCCCATCTTCTAGTTTAGTTCCATTTCTGAATACATAAAAAAAGAAAATATAATATTTACTTAAATAGAAACCAATCAATTTTAAATTTGATCCGCATAAATTAAATCAAATCAGAGATCTGCAATTCCTTCTTCTTATGTGATGAGAACTTTATAATATTTCTCATGAATACCTGACCCAGTTTTCCAGGCACTCGTCACCTCCTCTCCAAGGCCCTAATCAACCCATCTAAATGCCACTCATGCGCCGGACACGAGCTCAGCTGACGATGGGCTCGGACCCAATTATCAGTTGTGATTTGAAAAGGCAGCAGGATAAATTGTATAAATTTTTTATACACAAGAAAAAAGTAAGGAAAACACATAAAAACCAATTGCCATATGCTCTTGATCTGACCGGGCAGTTGACCCCAATAAATTGGAGACCGTAAAACAAGACCAGTTAGCAGGCGGAGCAAAGTTCACATGAATGGAAGTGGCGACCCTTTTGCTGCCTTAAAACGCCTGTTGATTTATGCAAAAGGGGATTAGCACAGGCCCCTCTTCTGGATCGGGTATAAACACAACTTAACCGCAGACATAACATTTCAACTTGTTTTGCCACTGCGAATGCGTCTCTTGGAATTTTAAGCTCGAATATGCTTTTGAGCCGGGCATAAAAGAAGACAAATGAGCTAATTTTGCTGGCGGAAAGGATAACAGGATCAGGACATCGCCTTGGCCATAATAAATAGCGCACAAATGTGATATTTATATGCATTTCTTATACAGACGTAAGAGACGGCGCTCGCCATAAATCTATTGGCGCATTATTACTCATACGCACTGTAGACGCTGTCTACCCTAATATATCAAGGCATTACCAGGGCCGTTATATTCCCAGGTCCTCCCCGGTATTCTTTTCCATCGTCATGGTGTGCCCTTTCATTCGAATAAATGTACATTTATCTCGGGCCACAATGGCGGTGGAAAGGTTAAGCTTTTTAAGTAAACTTAAAGAAATGTTGTCTCGGGATTTATGTCTTAAAATAAACTTTTAAAATAATTGAAAAGGCAGGATACATTTTGTAAGATATATTCCCAGGATATCCTTTCTCACTAATTACCTGACATCGTTATTCCTTTTGCTATCTAATCCATAAGTAAACCGCGTTCGAGTCGGTCTCTGTGTGCCAATTTAAAGTTGAATCCCTCGAACAGAGTCAAAAGCCATCAAAGGCCACTCTAAATTCCCATTCCCGGTGCGGCGTGACTTGGGATTTATGAACTCCATTTCGCATGTTCGCCATTGTAGAGATTAATTGCCACAGCTCCTCCATATATGCGAAGCGCTCGCATTCGGTTTGGCACTCGCTTCCCTCTGCGGCTTGTTGTTATCATTCAGCAGCAGGCCATGTCCGGGAGCCGGAGCTTTTTGTTCTGTCCAACTGACAGGATGAAGGAGCCCTGAAGGAGTAGTGGCTGGGAAACAGAGCGATATAAGCGACATCGACAGGCAGCAAGTTGGAAGTTATGTTAAAGTCAAAATGCAGTGGAAAAATCCAGCATTATAATAGAAATATTAAGATATTATAGCAATAAACGCATTCAGAAGTATGTAAACCTTAGAAACCTTAATTTACCCCTGTCTTAAACTAAATAAATTTCATACTTTACCTCCAGCTCTCATTGATAATTTAATTAACTCAACTTTTTCTCGTAAAAGTTGTTAATATGGTCTGTAGGTGCATTATAGCCAATTAAATGAACCATAATTCCCAACTCCAGACGAGAGACCAATGCAGGCAGCTTCATCATCGTAAAAGCTTACCTCCTTTCATCATTCTACTTAAACTTTTCGTTGTGGTTTCTACTCTTTGTGGCCTGCATTGTTGCGAGGTTTTACTGTATTTTAATTGGCTTTTTATTGATTTCCAGCGAGTTAAGAACTGGGGAAAAAACACACAGACTTCCTGGAGGGGTTTCTAGGGCCACAGAAGTAGGAAATAAACTTTATGAAAATAAGTAAAGTGGGCCAACTTTGGCTGGGAAACGGAAGTCATTGAACGTTAATTTTATACCATAATTATTATTGCTGGTAAAAATAAGTGGAAGTTACTTATCAGGATTCCCCTTTTGATTACGCTTATTGTTAGTCATAATAATTATCTGATAAGCAGGTCTAGATTTTAGAGCTCTGAGGCGTTTTTTCGGATAAGATATGTACGCAGATAAAGACCGGCGAAAGATTGCAGAAACAAGTCAGTAGCTTACCATGGCCTTAACCATCAAGAAGTTGATTTTCCTCTCAGCTCTCCTAACATTTTCCCTGGCTTTTGGCCAAGTAAAAACCGTCTGTCCTGCGGGCTTTAGTTTTATAGGGGAAAAGTGTTATTTTGTGTCCTACGAAAAGGTGGGAAAATCTGTTTTTTAATTAAAAAAAAAACCTCATTTAATCGAAATATCACAGGCCAACTGGTTTAATGCCGATCGCAAGTGCCACAACTTGAAATCCTCGCTGGTGATTTTCGACGACGACAAAGACAGGCAGCTGCTGACAGCCACCCTCAAGGTCTTGGGCCTGCCCTTCACCAACAGCTGGCAGGACTCCATTTGGACGGGCCTCACATCCCTGGGTATGGACTGCAATTTCGTTCGTAGTCGTAATGGCAAAGCCGTTCCGTATACGCCCTGGAGTCCCAATCAACCGAACCCGATCGCCCGAAAGGATTGCGTGGCCTATGCTAATTACAACGGCTTTGGCTACCACAATATCGAGTGCGAACCGTACGAGTTTCCCTTTGCCTGTGAAGCCAAAACACTGGTCACCGAAAAGTATTTGTGTTTGCGGAAGGAAGAGTTCCTAGAGGTTGACATAAATATCCTCTGAGTTGGTTATTTATGTACACTGATGCGTAAGATAAAAAATAAGAAAATAAAAAATAAGTTTAGCTATAAAGCGTATACTTTTTTCAAGTCTGTATTTCGAATTCGCACTCCATACGAGAAAAAAAACCATAAAAGGTCATAAACAAAAACCGGCGGCTAAGCCGATAAAAAATGTGTTGACGTTATGGCCAGGGGAAGCGAACTTCGCAACAGGCCAGGCTAGATATCATAAGTCATTTTCTCTCCCTCGAATTTATGGCATTTATCGAGTCGGTCTCAAATTGGCTAGAGTTCTCACGAAAGAAAAATGCATTTTCCTTGCCAATGAATAGCGCAAGGAACAAAGCTCATTAAAAAGAAAATGTTTTCGCTGCTACCAAAGTTGAGAAAAATGAGAAAATTCCAAGGGAATGAAGAAAAGTTTCGCTGAGAACAAACAAAGCGAAATAAAACTCTTAGTCAAGGAAACTAACAAATACAAATCTCCCTTTTGTCCCCCAAGAAACAGAGAACTCATTTAGAGGAATTACAATTGCAATCGCACTAGCACCTGTCCTGGCCATCTTCATCCCCAGGGATTGGCGTGTCCACAGCACCCGGCCATCAATCATTCAGTCCCATTTTTATCCAGGCAGAAGTCCAGGCCCAGTCCCAGCGGTTTTCTTTCACACCTGCCACTGCCTCAGCTAACCCCAGACTATTAATAAATTGTGTTTAATTAAATAAGAGCTGGCTGACTCTGAACAAAGTACCAAAGTCTGACATTTTCTTTGGCAAATGCAAATCATTTTAATGCGATTAATTAATATGGGTTGCAGAGGCGAAACTTTCTGTGCCGCCTCAAAGAAAAGCGAAGAGCACACAAGTTGGAAATCATATTTGCCCCTGCCCGCCGGTTCCGCTAATGGGCCAAAGTGAGCACACACCACACACAGGCTAGCAAATTGAGTGCTAATTAAATTAAAAATAAAGTAAAAATAGTTTCGCAGAGAAGTCAGCTTCCAGTTCTTCTTCTCCTTCAAGGAGGTTGGCTCCTTGTGCTCCTTCGGCTCGTCTTGTCCTGTAAATGAGCTTCAACTTGCTGTGCAAATAACGCGTGCTGCCAAGTTACCAAAGTGGAAACAGGCTGTAACTACATACAAATGCGTATGCACACTGCAAGAAATTCCATAGGGAAGTTGTATTTAAAATTAAATAAAAATTTGAAAGAAAATACATTTAATGGAATGAATGCAGGAGCTTATAATAAGAGTAGGACGATAAGACGAATCTACAATCATATTTTCCTAAACATTTTAGTAGCCTGCAACTTTTTGAAACAGTGTTCTTTGAGCCCTGCAAATCCTTAACCAAGGAAAACAATTTCGAATTAGATATGCGCATATGTTTGTGCAAATGGCAAGCAACTTAAAAAACAAAAACCAAAATAACGAAATAATAAAAAAAACAACAAGACAAGAACAAACCCGAAAAACAAGCTAAGGCTGCAGTCTGCTCTGTCTCCAATCCTTTTCCTGCTCCCCCTCTCATCTTGTTTTGCTAGGAAGTAACCGCAAGGACCTTGGAGACGAAGTGATTGCAAACAGGATGAAAATGCAGCTAGCAAGACGAGGAAGCCAACAAACTGAAACGCTTGAGTCGAGTGCGATGGGGGATGACGCGGGGCACGGGGCAGAGGCAAAGGGCAACCGGAAACGAAAGTGCAAGAAGCTGCATGAGGCCCAGAACCAAGATGTAAAGATGGAAGGATTCAGCTGCAGAGCAGCCAAGGAGCTGAGGCTAATGCAGCTGTTCTCCTACACGGAGGAAAAATGTAATCAATTTTATTTTAAGCCTAATTTTCAGCGATTTATTTAATGTTTTAAAAAATTAAATTAAAAACAAATTTTATTGGATTTTTATTATATTCAAAGGAAAATTATTTTTAGAAAAAAATATTCCCGGTGGGTTTTGAAATCTAGATCAATTTTAAAAATTAATCAAAGACATACGAAATAATAAAATATATTTATGAGAAATATAATTAACTATTAAAGCATAATTAATTAGAAAAATGAATCCTGGGGGAAAAATTGTGTAATTTTGTGCCACATTTTTCGCTGTTTAGACGCATTTCTGGTTTTGTTTTTGCCTCAAGCATCCTCCAGATGCAAAGTAAATGCAAAACCACAGCAAATTATGTTGAGAGAGAGGTCGGAATCTGTTGGGCGTCGAGTCTGCGATAAGCACGAGGAAAGATCCTTGGGACCTCCGGCGGAGCCGCTCAAGTGATTTTCCTCGAGTGAAGTGGAAGCCCTGAGCAGGTGTCTGTTTAACCATTATGTTTAGTTGCAGGCAATTTGTTCTTTGCCGTGTTTGCCAAGGTAAACTATTTTTACTATCCGACTGCTGTTAAAAATTTCGCACAGTAGCTTCGGGCTGGAGTACACTAACCTAAATAGTTAGGGATTCCTTTATTCTAATAACAAAAGACATTAACAAATGTTCGACATTAAATAAAATATGTAAATAATAAATTGAAGGCCTTTTACACCTTAAGAGCTTTAATTTAATTAATAAAAAATAATTACTGCAAACATTTAAATAAATATTTAGATAATTAAGTAAATTTGATTATAAATAAGTTCAAAAATATTTATGTTTGTCTTCTTTAATTTATTTTTGTAATAATATATTCAAAAGTTTCCAAAAATATACTCATTCCATGCTGTCCAGTGTTGTGCTTATTTTCGAGAGCATTTCCCAAAATGCTTGGCAGCAGGAGACCAAGCCAAGAGAACTTTATTAAAATAGCACAAACAGAACGGAACGAGGAGCCATTGCTCACAGCTCATCATGGAGCAGCGAGTACCGGTGCTTGGAGGGTCCCAACTCCTTGAAGGTGGATTTGGCCGGGGCAGAGTCTTTGTTTGGTGCCGGAGCCTCTGTCTTTTTCAGCTGCTGGTCCAAGTACCGGCTAAGAAAATTGTCAATGAATCGCCTAAGTTTGCCTGGGATATACAGATCTGAGAACTGGGGAAATGGAAACATAAACTGCAGCGAATCGATGGCTATGAGCGGCAGATCCTTGGTGGTCTTTCCCATATGATGCACCGAGTGGACGAACTGCATTCCGTCCACAGTGGCAAAACTAAACTTGCCCCTCATGTCGGCTAGCTGCATCTGCACGATGGACTTGAAGTCCTTGACGGACAGAAGGTCGTCGGGTTGGTGGAAAAGCAGCAGAAGCGGCAGTCCCTGCTCGATTATCTCCTCGACGGAATGAAAGTCGATTTCTCGCACCAATGGGACACAATGCTGCAGCATCCAGGAGTACAGCTCATCGTTATCTAGATGATTCCCTTCGAACCTCTCGTCCTGGCCATGAGTGCGGGCCACATCCGGCCGGAAGATCAGGGCCGGCAGAACCTCAGGCCTTGCCGTTGGATCCCCATCCCACATCAAACCGACATGCTTATAGAAATCGCAGTCGTTCTTGAAGCGATCCGCCAGACGATTAAAAATATCAATCACCGGATCGCTGGAATACTCAAAATAAGCAATGATAGACCTTCGCTTGGGATCGATGATGGCCAGCTCCTGGTTGCTATCGAACTCCACAATCGGCGGGCGGAACTGCAACTTCACATAGTCCACCAGGGCTTCTTTGGATCTCTTGCCACGGAACTCTCGACGGAGCGGCTGACCCCGATAGAAGAGCCGCAGCGTGGGCAGCTTCCGGATGTCGTAGATCTGCGCCAGAAGCGTCTCCTTGAAACAATCCACCCGGCCGAGCAAAACCTTTCCCGGCTCGGGATACTGCATTTTCAGCAAATTCCCAGCCTGCTCGAAAATGGGCGCCAGGCGGGCACTGAAGGGGCACCAATCCGCATAGAAGTTGAGGAACACCACTTCGTTCGAGAACAGGGTGTCATTGAGGTTCGCCTCACCGATCTGGGTCACACTCGAGGGCGCGGGAGCCGGGAGAGAGCCCAAAGAGGACTCCAGCAGCAGGAGCAGCAAACTGACAACGAGAGTCAGCATGTCGAGAGCAGAAATTTGAACTTGTATTGACGTGGAAAGTCGGTGAACTGAGTTGGGTTTGGTGGGGAAAACAGAGTGTAAAAATCAAGAAATGAAAATATTAACAGAGTACAGAGCTAATAAAGGAAAACCATTGTGCGAGAAAAATTAAAATAACCTCAGCCTAACAATATATATTATTATTTTCCATTAAGATCTGTTTCTAAAATCCCTATATTATTTTGCAAAACATTCTTTACAAAGTAATCTCCTCCCACATATCGATACCCATTTCGTAAATTCCATTTCCAAAGCAAAAGCCACAGATATAACAGACAATTCCCAGAGAAAATGCCAAACAGCTTTGCAGTCATTAAAGGGTTAAGTGTCGCCATATCGAGCTGCGAAAATGTCTAACGAAAATAAACAAGGCAAGGACATCGGTTCCTTCGCTCCCCTGCCAGTCCGGTAATCGTTTGGACCGAGTGCAAAAGGCTAAGCAAATATTTGCAGCGGCAACTTCGCAAATGAGCTTCAAGCCCAAAAGACAGAAGGCACATATACACAGACACGATGAGGAGTTGTCGCTGCGTTGTCGCCTGGATTTCAAAAGGACCTCAGCTCTGGCGGAAACGGAAACAACAACTTGCCCGCTCTCCACGAGCACGATGGATTGCCTGGGAAGAGGAAGAGGATGTGGAAGTGGAAGGACGCCTGTGCCGTGGCTGCCATTTAATGACATTTTTGCGCCCATTTGAGCTTCCGGGCCTGCTGTCTGCCTGTCGATTTCAGCAATAATTTACTTCAGAAAAGTCTAAATATGCTCCCCCTTTACCCCGATCTCTCCTTCTGGCTCTGGCAATTGTTTATTGCGTTTATCTCGTTCGTCTGGAGACGATAAAACGTTGTGAAAATCCAGCGACAATATCCAATAAATCGTTGTCCTTGCAAAAGGGGTTTGTGGTCTGACCTTCACCGCTCAGAGCTCTGTTGTATTTGAGTCCTGTGCTTGTGTTGATATTTGCCTCCCTTTTTGCTTTTTTCAAAGGGTTTAATTGTCCTTTTTGTTCGCCTTTGTGTTGACATAGGTGAGGAGGAGGAGGAACAGGAGGCTGTGTGCAAAATAAGGGACTTACCCATATGCTCTTTGCCATATTATGAATGGCTTCGTTCGGTATTCATTGTATTTTCGGGGGTTAGGCCAACAAAAGTGTTAATTAACTTGTATAAATCAGTAGTCGATGGACTTGTGGAGAGGCAGCACGAAGGTCGTAAATTCAAGTGGCGTTAGATTGAAAAGGGATCGAGAGGACTTGTCCTCTGTCTAATTGAGATGAAAGGATAAGCCGGGATGAGCTGCATTTAAGCTAATGTAAGAATTTAAAATAACAGATTTTTAAATGAAATACAACAAAAAAATTTATTTCTCAACAAATTTCAGTTTATGAATCTCCTCCAAATTATTTCATAATTTTATTATACAATGGGATATTGCGCTAGAGTGGCCACCCCACACATGTTGCCTGCATTTCTGGCCAGCCTCATATAGCCATTCTCTCCCCAATTCTTTCCAAATGAGGTTTTTAAGATCCAGTAGTCGCCGTAGTTGCTGTCGGTTCCAAAACCCACTACGAGAACAGCTTCGGTTAGGTATGCCATATCGAACCTGCAATCCTCCTCACGATAGATTCCCGATTTGTATTCCAAGACAGAGTCATGCAGGCTGTCTAAGTGCACCACCACGGGTCCAATATTGTAAACAACTTCGGCCAAACACTTCTCATCGGCGTAGCGCAATGTCACATAGCTCCTTATTCTGCCAGCACTGGTACTAGGATCGTAGCTACAAGTTGACTGTTCAGCTCGATACGGGTAAGAAGTCTTGGAAGCAATGCCATGATCTCTAGTATAATTGAAGGCAACACTCGCCCATCCTCCACCGCAACCATAATTGGATGCACAGTCGATCAGTTGCTGGACAGAGAGTTGATCCAAGCGGCGGTTTTTGATGCCCAGATGAGCTTCTACAGCTCCCACCGCAGACATGGCCCAGCTAGCTTGGCACCCTCCCTGATTCTGGACCGGCGAGATGTAACCGTATCGGCGCCAATCTATACCTTTCGGGAGCTGGTCGTAGGTCTGGTAGTTACCCGCAGCATATCCCAGATCCACCAGGAGCAGCAGGGCGATAAGCTTCAGCACCGGAAAATAATCCATAGCAGTAATATAATTCGACAACTGATCAGTCGAAGAGTGTCCAAGCTTTTATAGCCGCAAACTGCGATAATGACTGCGATGAAGCCTATTAGCAATCCAAGTCAAAGATTATTTTTTTATTATATGCTTCATTAAAATCAATGTCTAAATAATATATTGGGAATTTAATTGCAATTCCAAAAATTCAACCAAGGTTATTCAAAATCATATTTATATATTTTTTCCAATGAAATCTTGGTGTTTACATATATAAATGTTTTCCTTAACTACAAATTTGGAAGCAGAATCTTTGAATAGGAATTCCCTTTAAAAATACTCATCATAATTTCTGATAGAAACACAGGCGATTATACATTTTCAATACAAGCCGTCAGTCTTAATATTCTCATCCTTCTACCTTTTCCCTTAGAGCCTTCAGTAGCCACTACCATAAAGCATTCCTGGATGGCCAATAAATCGGCAAGCTGTAAATCTCAATAATGCTGGGCGGAGCCATTAAAAGTCAATGGAGAGCTGAGCGGAAAAAGAGCTTGTCAAAGCATCCGCATAATTCAGCCGAGACATTTCACGCCAACGCCACGCGAAACCACCCCAAAAACCACCCAAAGACCACCCATCCTCAACACCACCTCCAGAAGCCGCTGAGCCCGGACTGAGCTCATAATTCTCGCGTTTCCTGACGTCAGATTGAAATTTTCGCCATGGATGCCGACTTTCTGCCGATGATAAATGCATTTTGGCGCCAAACGATTTGTTGCGCGCACTTTTGGCGCATTGCGAATGCGACAATTTATGCGATTTTGTAATGCAATTCATAAGCTGCTCTCTGCTCGCTGCACTCCTGCAATTTTCCAAAAGTCACAATTTATCGTAGAGCCAAGTGGCCAGCGCAAACAAATAGATTGCCAATCCCATGCTGAAGAACTCCTTTATATGTTAATCCAAATGTTATTTGCAATAAAAACCGAAATGGTTTCTATGGGTAACTGAGAAACGACAATGACCATTGCAAGGGAATACAGAGATTCATTTTTGCATTGATGATTCAATAACGATAATAATCACCTGAAGAAATTTTCATTATTTTACTAAATTACAAAACACAAAGATATACTTTATGAGAATATGAATACCTACATATATATTTCACAAAGGCAATAAGCAAAAACTTACTCAAAGTTGCCCCAAACAAAATCAGCTCTCAAGGCAGCTACTGTATGACTTTGTCCTGATGTGCTGCCCATTTGCATCGTTCATGTGGCCTATCCTTTCGCCGCCAGCATCCTTTGCTCCTTCCTGTGACAAGTTTAATTATTGCCGTACTCCAAAACACAGGAGCCCGGCGCACTTCGGTTTTGTTTGCTCAGTCATTTAGCCAGTCGGTCGGTCCGTCGTTCAGCCAGTCTGTCAATGTTGACAGCATCGCGTCGCCATCGCTTTACGCCTCACTTGGCAGCTGGGGGGTATAAGGGGCGGGGCATTAAAACAATTTTGTTAATTAAGTAGGAAAAATTGTTAGTTTATTTACTCGTCAACTTTGCCAGCGCCAAACACCTCACACAACTAGCCCTCTCTTTCCCAATGGGATCTTCCCGCTAAGTTTCAGAGTTTGCTCAAAAATTCTCAAGTGCACAATTAATTAGTAAAGTTACGCCAACGCAGCGAATGTGGGGAAAGGGGGTAAAAGCCAGGCCAAAAACAAAGCTCTGAACAATTTTATACTCTCTTTCCTTGGAATTTATGGCCCATTTTGATTAGACTCGCTGAGAAGCATCGTAAGTTGGCGCCAAGTTCTAAAACTATCTGTAAGTAGGCAGTAGCTTTTCCGATTATTTTCCAAGGAAATTGTAAAGTGTGTGTGTCGAGTGTGTGCGTAGGCAAGAAATTGAAAATTGATTGGGACTTGCATAAGTAATAGACGCTTCAATGGAATTTTATTCTTGATTTGGTCTTTTGACGGAGGCTTATTCTATTGTTTGCTAGAAAATTAAATTGGGGGAGATATTGGCTGCAAGTTATTTCCAGAAATTGGAAGATGAATTGGGATTAAAATGAAAATTTGTAGATACTAGACATTTATTGAAAAATTAAATATATTTCTCAAAGCTTAAATATTTCTTTTTAAATAACCAATAAGGCTATTTATCAGAGCACATTATTTATTTTTAAATAGGTAAATTTAAAAACAAATTAGAAAGAATAACGATAATTATAATCGTTAAGGAAAACCCATTATTAAATTAGAGCACATTATTTATTTTTAAATAGGTAAATTTAAAAACAAATTAGAAAGAATAACGATAATTATAATCGTTAAGGAAAACCCATTATTAAATTAGACCCAAGAAAGCTCTCCGAGCTTTGGAAAATCGACAACCTGATTGAGCTTTATGTTAAGGCATTATTTTAACAGTTAGTTAATGTCACCACCATCTACTGCTTGCTCAATTTTCTAATTTTCCATGAAAATATTGATCTTAAAAATAATGTTTATATTTATTTCAGAAAATCTAGGCTTATATGGCTATGAAGTTCCTATTTTTATCATAGTTACCTATATATAATTTATTTATTAAATAATTATATAATTTTTATATTTACTAAAACATTTTTTTTTATATTTTGCAGCCTGTTTTCATAATTGTAATTATTATTTAAATAATATTAAGGAGTTTTTAATATAAGGAAAAGATATTTTTTTAGAAATTATAAACACATTACATTCCACCTTTAAAACCCACAAAAACTACACAAAAATAATAATTTGAACTTGTTTTATTTAAATTTTTTTTAATTTTCAGGAAGTTTCCGTTATGCCCCATAACTTACAAATTTAACTTCAAGCTTTTTCTACAAAATAGTTAAAACTATATATGCGAATATAGCCCGAAAACGGTCATGCTTAATTAATCTGAAAAGTGTTTAATTAGCAAAAAAAAAGGCAGCAGAAATGATTTAATTTGTAAACTGATTGATGGTTATTGCAAATTATATGGAAAACTTGTTTTTGCAACATTATTTCGTCCGTGTGAATACTGAGGTAATTAGCCAGATGCCAATCATAATTGCAAGCCCAATTAAAGGGCTATATTTCGGCAGCCAAGACAATGCCTTCGAGGTGTAACAAAAACTAGTTCAGTATCACTGCAGTTCGGGAAAAACTTATGCAATTGCCACTTGAGGCACTAACAACCAAAATAAGTACACAGCAAATTGGCTAAAACTAGCAACCATGAAAAGCCAAAGGAAAACATAATGAAGGGAAGTAATACTTACACCACAGCTCTGGGACTCTTTTAAAATGTATTTAATTTTAATTTAATATACCTTAGTAATGCAGGCATGCTTCCTTTAATAAAATAATGCTAATAATTATGTATTATATCTTTTTCTCAGCAACCTTGGCAGCTATTATCTCAAGCGCCTTTAAAATAGAGCAACAACCTCTAGTTAATGTTAAGGAAAACAATTGCGGTGACTCAAGTTTTTCTTCTCATTGCATTGCGGTGTCGTTGTTTTGGTTTTCCTTTTCATTTGCATTCGTTTTCCTTTCCACCGAACGGCTTTACTATATCAAAAAGGCATGAAAAGTGTCTTTCCTGCCTGCTGCAGTTAGTTGACTTTAGCCCCGATTTGCAGTGTTGTAGGCCATCGAGCTCATTACATTCAATCTATTAAATTAGCCGCGGACCCTACGATGTTTACTTTCGTTTGGGAAATTGCTACGAAAAAACCGTTGATGTTTTCCGCAGTTGTGATCTTTTCCCTGACTTGTCGCTCTTTTCGTGGGCCTGTAAGTTGAACTATGTTCATCTGACCTTTGGCTAACGCTTAAATAATAAGCCTAACTATATTAGCCTGACCTTAATATGACCCTCCACATTGTGTGGCTTTCAATGTTGAAAAGGAAATGGAAAGTATATGTTGTAATAACGTCGACTTTTTTAAGATCAATGCCAAAACTTGTGGGAAAATAATCCATATTTTCACAATTTATTTCTCTGTTTTCTATGAGTCGAGCTTTTTTAATGATATTTATTCTTTATTGCCGTGGATGGTGTTAGAGCCTGCAGGTGTCCCCATGTGGCAATCAATGGTCGTTTACAACTATATAGATGATTGCGAAACTCCAATCAAACAACAATATGGCAGAACACCTAAAATAAAATTTAAATAGAGTTTACAAGTTAACAGTTAATTAAGAAAAATAAAGTTATGAAATATTTCATGAAAACTGATTTTAGATGTCTATTATAATTATTAAGCTACATGATATATTTATTTAAAAACTCCTTTTCTACTTCTATACTTATTATTATTATAATTATTGCTATCTTTTTTCCAGTGCACCCGGTCATATGGAAATCGGGGTTTCGGCTACACGCAACTTCTGTGGACATAAAACCAAAAGATGAAAACAAGTGCCTATCTGCCTCGCCACAAAGCAATGTCACCCAATCCACGATGATGGCGCCGGGTCGTTCGTTCGTGTGGAGTGTCAATTTTTGAAGATTTTTCATTCGTTTTCCATTTTCTTAAGCGGATGTAGCTTTTTTAAAAGCTCTAGCTGTCGGTGCGCCCCATAGTTTGGCACAAAACGATATGAGTGCGGCGTTCAATTAGACTTACGCCTTCCATTTAACCCCATGTGGTTCGCTGCTCCGTGTTACGAATTTAAATGTGAACTTCTTGTGGCTAAAATGCTGCCCGGCCTTATCGGACTGTCACTGCTGACCCTACTTTCCCTGAATTCGCTCACGGACGCGTGTAAGTGGGAAGATCGCGTCGGTGATAAGGAGAATTGTGTGTGTGACTTGGCTTCCTCAATTTTTTGTTATAGCGAAATACCATAGGGAGGCCTTGCAGTTCTTTTTGCGCAACGGAAATTTCGACTTGAATCCCCTCAACTGTCACATACTGTTGCGGGAAACGTGCCCCAAGCAATATATAGGATTCCACCTGTTTACGAGGTAAGTAAAAAAGAGAAATGTGCGAAAATATATCATATCATGATCAATGTGTAAACATTAAATAAAAATAAAATAAAATAAGGTGATAGACCAATAGATAGATAGTTAAAAGAATACAATTTTTCAAGAAGAAAGCTTTAAAGTAAGACAGTGTTATTATGATTTATTATTAAAAAGAAAAGTCTTGCTTAATAATATCTTACTTAAATCTTTATTTATGTACCACTTTTCTTTTTGTCTTTCACTTTTATAATATTACAAATATAAGTACAAATGTATTTTAATATTAAATAAAACAAAAAAGTTTCACTGTTTTAAAAGCTCAAAAAACATAAAAATTAAACGTAATTTATCTAACAACTTAAGAGTTTATATCAACGATCAGCGATATAAAATGGAAATGAATTGAAATTAACGTTAAGCCTCGCCTATATTCATAAGTCTTTCCCAATTTACAAAATAGTAAGTATTTATATGGCAAAATGCCTATATTTTTCCGTGCATTCCGACGAATTACTAAATGCATTTTTTAATAGCGTTTATATATATATTTTTTTGGCAAATGCTCCACGCAAGCTAAGAAACACAATCCGATCTTTCACTTTTCTGCGCCCCAGATTGGGCTGACAAATGGTCTTAGAGTTCATACCAACTTCTATAGGGCCTTTCCATTTCCAACTTGCCTTGAACCCCTCCCTAACGAGGTTATTGCGAAAGCAATTGGGCTTAAGGCAAGCCGGTTAGCAAATACAGAAAAATGTTTCAACAAAAACAAATGACTTAGGAAACAAACTTGGCGAATGTCGTCAAAGAAAAATTGTAAGAATTTGCATTCCTATAGCAAATATTATGTAAATAGCAAGCGCAGACACCATGAAGAAGCCAATGGCATTGAGCTGGAAAACCAACTCCCAACTCTCTGGAAAACTCATAATCAAAATCAGTGCAGCGTTGCGTGTGCCATGAGTTTTCATTTCACAGACGTCGCCTGCCGGGCAGACACAAAAACCGCCACAATGGCTATACCAGAGCAGCTCTATACTTATATATTATTTATTAGCCAAAGCTAACGTTCGTTGTGGAGGCTGAACTGAGGCAAAGTCAAGGCAACTGGCAACTGAGCTGGGATTGAACGCAATTCTATAGCCAGTTTTTGCCGTTGCTGCTGATATTGTTGCAGTGGCTGCCGCTGCTGTTGCTGCTGCTGCCGTCTTAGTTGCAATTTCTGTTGCTGCGACTGCATTTTCCTTTGGTCGCGCATTTCACGCTTTTACAGCACATTTGCTGCGCGAAACGCGAGTGTGCCAGACGTTGGTCTCGCGAACAAAAACTCAAAATTGCTAATTTCAATGCTAAGGATTACGATGAAAGCGTTTAACAAAAACCAATGGATATCAATTAGGAAACATGTGAACACAGTGCCACTTATCAATTCGAACGCGACAAGTGGAGTGGAATCTGGTTTAAGAAACCAAAGATATGTGAAAGGCAAATGAAAAGCGCGAGCAGGAAAGCCGCAAGTCCTGGGAGAAAAACTCAATAATTAAACGAATTGCGATTTCGCAACGGTTTAATTCGATTTGTGACCAGCACCAAGCAATTATAGCTTTGTTTTTAATAAATATTTAATTAAGGCAAATTTAAATGTGCTGATATGATGTAATAAAATTATACCATTTAATATATTCAGAGTACGAATAAATGACTATTTTGTGGAAAAAAAAGGTTTAAAATCTATCAAAATAAAAATGTTTACATAAATAAAAAGAAATATATCTTTTATAAAATAAATGATTTTGTTTAGGCGTCACATCAAATAATTTAAAAATTTAATATCATAAATTCGAGTTAGTTGAAATTCGTAAATTCCAAACAAAAAATGAAATATCTTGTCGTGCTCTGCATATTCACAGTATTCGCCAAAGGTATACAAAAAGAAGGATAACACAAAAAAGAAATGTTAAATCTTTATTTCAAAATAAAAATGGTGAAATTTAATCAATGAAAAATTAATACTAAACATTAAAACACTTATAAATTATTTATAATACCTGCAAAACCAGTAAAATGTTTTAAAAAACTTTTATAAAGTTCGTTTATCCGCAATTTTTCACCATTATTATTGAAATAAAGGCACAATAAAATGCTACAAGTTTTAAGCCGTAAAAAACACACAATTTTAGATGCACAAACCACCCTGCTGCTGAGTCAAAGGGATTGGAAGAATCTGCTCAACAGTGGAGCCCTGGACTTGAATGTTATGCGTTGCTTTTTGCGCGACAAGAACTTTTGCCCCAGCCCACATATCGATCACAGACTGTACACGCCGTAAGTTCGTAGAAGGAAAAAATTTAATAAATGCAGAAGCCTCATATAATAAATAACGTAAAGATAAAATTTATGCATATTAAAGGTAAAAACTTTCTCTTCATTTCTTTGACACAAGGATAATTTATTAAATTTCGAAAAACGATTATAAAATTTGTTTATGGTTTCCCTGCTCCGTAAAATGAGTTTCCAAATTCCTGGCGATGAAAGTTCCTCCCCAGGTGTTAGGCAACTGGAACTGCTCACTCGGTTAGTGTGTCAACTGCCGGGTTATACTTGTGCAACCAAAAGGATATTGGCTGGCGGAATGCCAAAAAATAAGAGTGCATTTAATGGGCGGGCGGGCAACTTGTTTCGCAAAACCGGCCACTGACCCACTAAGATGCTACGATGATGCGCCGAGAAAAACAGACCGGCTGGAGGAGCAGCAGCCACATTGACCGCTAAACGTGGTTAACGATGACATCAATTGGCAATTGCCAATTGGCAAATAAAAACGCTTACCAAACGGCGCCTGGAACAAGTAACACGACTTGTCCGGGCAAGATCTTCCATCTCCACCTCTACCTCCGAGGATGAGCCAACGTTGGAGCTGGTATTGGCCATTTTTGGGCAGTAGTCGAGCCATTGTTACGCTTACATGGAGTGCTCAAGATAATTACATGATGTTGTTAACAGATTGACGGTTGTATAACAGCGTAAAATTACCTGCTTGACACCTTCGTTCTTGGAAGACAAGCCGGAAGCTCATGGAGCTTTCTTCTGCAATTATTTAATGTCATTAAGTAGTACGGGGAAAGCAAAATCTAGCAAGAAGTCTGAACTAGGAAATCGTAATATAAAGAACTAATAGATGAGGTTTGCTGAGATGAGGATTATCTGTTTTTAAGAGAAATTACTTATCATATTTCTTGTTAAACTAGGAACACTTAGAAACTAATCTTGCTAATGTAGTGGACTACCTAAAGAACTCCCCAATATAAAAGCCAACAAGTAATGTTCTTTCTTTGGGTTACTTGCCGCACGAGAGGTTTCTCCGGTTTTATAGCCACTGAGAATGCCGGCTGTTCCATTTAAGCGGCCTACGTGCTCTGACAACAATGAGTTATCTGCTAAAAATATTTGCAAAATCAACATTAAACTAATCTCAAAGAAGATTAATTAAATATATAATACAGTAGACTTGCTGTAATATAATTAAATGTTACTTACCTTATCTTATCGCATTTTCATCTCTCTTATAGCAATGGGCCACGTCGAGGGATTGCGTTAAATGTTAAGAATCCCATAACTCTCTACCAGGGAGGTTTTAGTAAGCAGCGAGAAACAGTCTTCATTATCCATGGATTCAATGGAACAGCCATAGACATTCACCTGCAGTTCCTCAGGGATGGTAAATATCTAAGTAAAATAAATCACAATAATAGTATTGTATTCCCCTTTTGCAGCCTACTTATCGCGAGACTTCAATGTGATCACCGTGGACTGGCGGCCACTGAGTCGATATCCCTGCTATCTGCACTCACTGATCAATACTCGCCTGACGGCCCAGTGCACCGCTCAGATCTACGCCTTCCTCACGCATTACGGCGCCGTGCGGGAACGAATCACCTGCGTGGGACACTCGCTGGGCGCCCATATCTGTGGGATGATCAGCAACCACCTGACAAAGAAGCAATATCGCATTATCGGCCTGGATCCAGCAAGGCCGCTTATTGAGCGCAAGAAGAGCAATACATTTCGGCTGTCGCATGATGACGCCAGCGTCATCCAGGTGATCCACACCAATGCCGGCTATCTGGGCCAGGAGGACAACACTGGACACCTCAACTACTGCGTCAACGGGGGACGCGTGCAGCCTTTTTGCCAGGGAAACACCATTAGTAAGATCGCATAAAATATGTTTAGATAACAAGAAAACTAATAGAAAAACTAATCTGGATTGCAGGACGATACCGATGCTCTCACTTTCTAAGTATCTGCTACTTGGCCACGGCCACCTTCAAGCATAAAAAGTTCATAGGGGTTCCGTGTCCCAATGGCTGCGTGAATCTTACAGGACCCAAGCGCCTGCCAGTCAGCGGAAAGATCAATCCCTTCGAGTTTGCCTCCCTGCTGAGGGAGTACCACATAGGCAATGATGCCCCCGATGAGTGAGTCTCTGATAAAAATTAAATGTACGTTCATTTTTAATCGGTTGACTTTCAGCGCCCGTGGCTGCATTTGCATCGATGTGCCGTATGCCAAGCACTGTCCTTTTGTGAATGCGTAGGATCCCTGGCCCTTAATAGGTCGTAAATGTACAATAAATCTGTGGATAATAAATGCAAGAACCGAAAATATTTTTAAAAATCGCGACAAAAAAAATTGTGGCTAAGTTTTTTTTTTCCTACAGGTTATCTTGAGGTTCGGATGCCAAATTGGAAGGACTTTATGCAATTATTATTATTTTGGAGTTCTCTTTCTTGAGCCAGAGGTAGTCATCAGCAGCTTGTGATTCACACAAAACGGGAAACAGTTTGTCGCACTCAATATCAATGTAGCCGAAAGCCCGGTTATAGTTGGCGAAGGCCACACAGTCCTCTTCTGGAGAAGAATTGTCTGGCTCATAGGGCACCCAAGGCATGTAGGTAGCAATATCGCCAGTCTTGGACAAGCGAAAATTGCGACGATTTCCCAAGCAGTTGATACCAAGCCAAACGGAATGGCGCCAACTATCGGTGAAAGGAAGCCCCAAGCTCTTTAGGTATTCTGTTGTCAGGGTTTTATCCTGATCATTTTCAAAAACAGCTAGATCTCCTCCGAACTTTCGACAGGTACGATCAGCCGCGTGCCAGTTTTCCTAGAAGAATATTAGTTGTATCGAATTTCTAGAAGAAATGGTTACATACACAAAGTATGAATTTGTATACCTTTGTTAATGACACATAATAGCACTTGTTTCCCACAGATGTAAATGGTGCAGGGCAATTTTTTGCTTGTATGCCCAATACGAGGGCTAAGACGACGCAAACGAACAGAGGTCTAGTCACAGCCATGGTTTTTTTTTATAAGACTAACTGTAATAATTGGAAGTCACCTGGTTTTATACTATCGGGACTATTCAGATCTTTCAAGATAAATACTTACAAGTCCATATAAAAACCTTATTTGCTTTTGACTTTAAGATGTAAATAATATAAAATGTTAATGCGATACCTGTGTATACCCTTTTATTTTCTTTGATTGGTTTATATATTGGTTTATATATTTATATATATATTAATTTTTTTTTCTTTAATGGAAAAAATATATATTTTGTAAAATCAAATTACTTGTTTTTCCTCTTTTTTGTATTTTTTAAACAAAATAAAATTAAAATTAAAACTTTTTTGAAGGGTATAAGGGAAGTAGAAATATGAATCTGGCTCTTAGTTTTATCAGTTTGTTTACCTAAACGTTGTAAATATGAAATAAATTCTGATAAAACCCCTCATGCATATTATCTTGTTTTCTCACACGCACTTGTATGTCATCAAATTGCTTAAAATAAAATAAATCTTTCTACGCACTAAGTTCAAGTAATTCAAAACATGATTAGAAAATAAATCTAAATAAATATTACGATTTATTGACTTAATTAAATGGAAGAATTAAAGAAGCGATTACAATTATAATACTAATATTACCATTCTTTTAAATGGTCGATCTATTTCTCAATAAATACAATGCCGCTTCTACCAAGGAGTCTTTTACGAGGCAGAGATAATCATCAGTACCGGGTGCTTCACACACAAAGGGAAATTGTTTATCGCACTCAATATCATGGTAGCCGAAAGACTGGTTAAAGTCGGCGAAGGCCACACAGTCCTCTTCTGGAGAATAATTGTCTGGCTGATGGCGCACCCAAGGCAGGTAGGCAGGTGGGTCACCGGTCTTGGACAAGTGGAAATTGCGACGATTTCCCAAGCAATTGATGCCAATCCAAACGGAATGGCGCCAACCATCGGCGAAAGGAAGCCCCAAGCTCTTTAAGTATTCTGTTGTCAGAGTTTTATCCTTCTCATTGTCGAATACCGCAAGATATCCTCCGAGCTTTCGACAGGTACGATCAGCCACGTACCAGTTTTCCTGGGAGGATATTAAAACAAATGTACTGCATACAAAAGTATGTGTTTATATACCAAAATCGGAGCTTAGATCCTATTGGGGGGTTACTAAGGTAACCTCGCCACTAAAACCATACCTTTTTTAAGGACACATAATAGCACTTGTTTCCCACAGAGGTAAAGTTCTCAGAACAATTTTTGGCTTGTATACCCAATGCCAGAGTTAAAACGACGCAAGCGAACAGGGGTCTAGTCACAGCCATGGTTCTTTTCTAAGACTACCTGTAGTAATTGGAAGTCACCTTGTTTTATACTATCGGAAGTATTCCGATTTTCTAATATAAATAGTTCCAAGTCCATATGAAAACCTTATTTGCGTTTTAATCCAAGATGTAGATATTACAAAAAACCTGTGTGTTGTATTAAACCCTGTTTAAACTAGATTGACGGGTTTATAACAGCGTAAAATTACACATTTTACTTCTGTTCTTGGAAGACTAGCCAGAGACTAAGAGGTTTTTTTCTGCAGTTATTTAATGCTATTAGTACGGGGAAAGCAATCTTTACACAATTACTTAAAAACAGCCTACAACAAATGCAGTTTGTTATTTTCTTGGGTTTTAATTTTTTAACCTGTCATTTAAGTAATTAATTTATTGGTTTCAATACTAATTTAGTATTCAACAGTATTTATTTATACATTATTTCTATGAACGAAGAACCTAAGATTACTTTTGAAAGCATCATTATCTGAACCTGTTAAGCTGGAAAACAATTGTAAAAAAACTCAAATTGATATCTTTAAACCTCAATATTGTTTCAGCTTTGTAAAGTTGGGCTACCTTTTCACTGACTTCTTTTATTGCGGCTTCTTGGCCAACGCTTGGATCTTTTCAAGCAGCTGCGCTCGCTTTTTACCGCCCTGAGCCAGAATCTTTTGCAGCAGCTTGAGCTCCTTGGGACTACTGCTGCTGGCCTCCGCCTCCAGTTGCGTCACATAGCTGGCCAGTTGCTTTTCGAAGTCCTTTGAAGACGCGTTATTATCCTTGAAGGCGGCTTCGAGTCGTCGGAACTGCTCACCGAGTAGATTCAAGATTTGCGCCCGTCGGAAGCTACGCGTCTTCTTTACGTTCAAGTGGGAGGCCAGAAGCGCGGCCAGCGGAGCCACTCCCCGCCAGTTTTCGGCCTGAAAGAGAGCCTCGAAGCTGACTAAGGAGAGGGTTGTTCGCCGGTTGGCTACCCACAGCTCCAAAAGTTTCACCAGCAGAGGCCACACGACACTGTCCTTGGGATTGTCAGCGCCCGAAGCCTGAACTACCAGGTAGGCGAAGCACTTGTTTCGCCAGAGTGTGACCTCGCCCTTGGCCTTGCGAGTGGGCTGCTGCTTGCCAGGTTTCTCTTCTGCCTCCTCATCCGGCTGTTCCTCCTCGCCAATGGAGAGCAGCTGCTCAATGTCCTCCAGAATGGGAGTCTTGTCCTGGTTGGGTTCAAAGGAAATGTTCTTGGTTAGAAGCTTCTTAAGCAACTTAGTGCTGGCTTCCCGCAGCGACTGCAGTTTGGTATCCGCGCAAGAGTGACGATACACCTGGAAGACACAGATCAGAGCGTCCAAGACCACCGCCTGCGTGGGCTTTTCGGTGACATAGAGCTCCACCAGATCCAAGGCGCGAATGCGGAAGTGCAGCAGGCTGGTGCTGTCGATGCGTTCCGATTTCGTGGGCAATTGCTTGGCCTGCAGTTTGGCCGACCTGGGTCTACGCAACTGGAAGGCATTCTCCAAGGCAGCGTTCAGGCGCTGGCCCTTCTCCTCGCTGACATCATTCCAATCCACACTGCTGGCGTCATCATCATCGGCCTCGCCATTGTCGATCAGAGCTAGGCGAACGCGTTCTCGGATTTGGTCCAGACGGGACTCCTCATCATCCTCATCGTCATCTTCCTCCTCGTCTTCCTCTTCATCTTCCCCGTCGGATTCATCGCTGGAGTCAGCCTCTGCCTCCTGCTCCTCTTCCATTTCCTCGTCGCTGTCCTCTTCTGCTTCGTCCTTCTTGCTCAGCGGATTCATGTTCATGTTGAGCACTTGAAGGATCTGCTCGAGGTTACCGTGCTCCAAGTGGGGAATCAGGGGAATGGCCACCAGGTTGACCAGCTCCCGCCAGTAGTGACCAGTTTGGAGCAGCAACTGCAGCAGCACGTCTGTCAGTACATCCTGCCACTGGAGTTCCTCGCCGTCATCGGCCTTCTTCTTCTTCTTTCCCTTCTCCAGAGCATTCTTCCGGCAGATGATCAGATCCTCCACTACAGATACCGGCAGAGGACTCTTCGTACACAGCGCCAGCGATACAAACAAGATAAGAGCCTCGAATGTTTGACCCACAATGTCCGTCTCGTCAGTGGGATTTGCTAACAGTTTATCCACCTGCTTCCAAGCCTTCTGCAGAGCCTCTTCCCTTGGTGAACGCAATTTGTTCTCGGTTTCCGGCTTGGTCAGTTGCTTGTTGAGATAACCCAAGTGCTTTTGGAGCAGCTGACACAAGGCTGTTAGGCCGGAACACTTGTGTAGCAGGGAACCCATGAAGATCTCCTCGCAGCGGGCGGAGCTCTGGCGGCTAAAGGAGCTGGCCTGGCTGGGCACACACGGTTCGTGACTAGCATCCAAATGGAACAGTCCGGCGAGCATCAAGTGACGCAACTGCTTCTGACGCCACTTGGTCTCCTGGTCCAGTTTGGTGTGCTGCAGGATGAACTGCATCTGGTTGAGACAGTGCTCACGGCTAACCCGGTCGTCGTCCTCAAGAGAGCCTAGCAGATTGCTGTAGTGATCGTAGAGCTTCTGCAGACCCGCGGCGTCCAATTGGTTGATCAACTGCTGGGTGAAGCGTGGCATATTTATCAGCGAGTCAAACTGTAGCCTCTGTTCCAAAAACTTGAGGAGCAACTGCAGCTTGATGTCTCCATTCTGCAACTGTTTTTCGTAGCTTATAACCAGGGAACCCTCGAACTTGAAGCAAATCTCACGCAGTTCCTTTTGCGACGGCTTCCGGGCCTCGCTTCTGTCCGCTTTCACGGATGACAATTCCTGCAGGAGGAACTTCAGGCAGGTGGGCGTAAATAGATCCAACAATGGCTGTTCGTCCTTGTCTTTGTAGCTGAGCAGTATGTTGCCCAGTACTTGGAGCACACACGCCTTGGCTGCATTGAGTTTCAGCGGCTGTTTGGAGTCGGCAAACTGCTGCCACGAGGAGAGTAAGTCCTTGCCGCCGGCTGCCAGAAATTTTGCCAATCTTGCATAGACGCCATCATTGTGGATGGTCGAGCCCGCGAGATAGAGCTCAAAGAGCTGCCCAAACTGTGGTTTCTTGGGCCACAGGCTGGCCAGCAACTGCTGGCGTCCCAAAATCGAGGGATAGGTCAAGTGCACGGTCAACAGGAGGTCACATGTGTTCAACTTGAGGCCGCTGCCTAGGGGCTTGTCCAAATGCGGCTTTAACAATGGCCACACGTACTCTTCGAATGTGGCAACGGGCAGCTAAAAGAATTACCAACATTTTATATTTCATCAGGAAGGCAGAGATTATGAAACCTACCTGTTTGAAAGATTCCACCAGAATGTCTACGCACATGGAGACCAGATACTCGCGGCCTTTGAGATGAGCCGCCAGTATCTGGTAGACCGCTGCCACCAGTTTGGGCGAAGCCTCGGCAAACTGTGGCGTCTGCAGAATGCACACAGCAGTGACCAACTGACCCACGGCGGCCAAAGAGTCTTCCTTGCCCTTCTGCTGGCTTCCAACGGCAAGATCCCTCTTCAAAATATTTAGCACCTCCATGGCATCCAGTCCAGGCACGGCGGTGAGAATACACAGGATGTAGCTGGATGCTAGAGCCACTGCCTCCAGGTCATCGGCTCCCGTGGAACGGATCAAGCGCTTCAATACATAACAACATGTGGCCGTGCGCTGGGGAAAACGGGAGATAAGCTAGGGAAAAATCTTTGTATCCATGTGAATGCGCACCTGTTGGTCATTGGTGTCATCCCGGAGCAGGACCACCAACGAATTAATCGTCTTCTGGGAGAGCGTGCTGTTCTGAAGACGCTTGAACACTGGAAACACGGCTTTGTTGATATCGGACAGCTTGAGGCCATTGTTGGGCGTGTTGTTCTCCTTCTCCATCTCAGGCTCCTCTGAAGGCTTCTTCTTTTTCTTGTCCTTTGACAACTTGGCTACCTTGGCCGGGTGCTCAGGTTCTCCGCCATCCTCCTCGGACTTGACAGGTTTTGGTCTTTTCCGCTCTGCCTTGTCCTTTGTCTTGCCCGTCACGCCATTGGTAAGGCTCTTAGCCGCCTTGATCTTCATAGTTTCGTTGCTAATTTAACTTAATTAATATAGTTCTGGAGCTTGGAGTCAAATAATGGAGCACGTTTTCCACGGCAGCGTGTTTTCAAACACATTAGCGATGGCACGCGGCGCCAGTGGTGGGCGATAACTATCGAATGGTGAGCAGGTGAATTCGCAATATTAAATTAATTAAATTATATTTAAAGTCAAATTTGTTGAACATTAAGTTTTATTATTTTAATTAAAGCCCATTGTTTTGTACAAATGAAACAGAAAATTCAATTTTGTGCAATTTCGGTAATATCGATACAATCATCGATAGTTTTATGGTGTTTGTTGTACCACTGAAAACGGTCACACTACTTTTCACATCTGCAAAATATTTACAATTAAAATAACAAAAACTTTAATTAGACCCAAAATACTGCCATGGGATGCGATGGTGGAACCATTCCCAGGCGCGATGAGCTGGTGCGCGTAAAGCAGAAGCCGGAACAGGTACGAAAAGCCCATAGAAACCCCTTTACATGCCCAACTAATGCTCACTTTCTAGAAAGACAAAGATGCCGAGAGGGAGTTCCGCTGGCGCCACTGCACCTTGACCCAGCAGAGCCTCCAGGAGCCCATTGCCATGTGCGGCATGGGCAGACTGTACTCCAAGCAGAGCGTCATCGAGCGTCTGTTGGAGAAGGAGAAGATGCCGGAGACGGCGGAGCATGTGAAGAGCATGAAGGACATCCGCCAGCTACAGCTTACGCCCAATCCCGCCTTTACGGAGGAAGACAAGACCGAGGGTCTGCTGGACACGCGCCATTCGCCGTACATCTGCAAGCTGATCGGTCTGGAGATGTCGGGCAAGTTTCGGTTTGTGGCCCTCTGGAGCTGCGGATGCGTGATGTCCGAGCGCGCCTTGAAGCAGATCAAGGGAAACGCGGCCAGCACATGTCCCCTGTGCCAGGCCCCGTACAGTGTCGAGGATGTGGTGGTGTTGAACGGCAACGATGAGGATCTCGAGCTGATGCGGGTCAAGATGGAAATGCGGGCGACTAAGCGAAAGAACAAATCGAAGAAGGACAAGAAGGAAACCAAAAAGGCGGAGATCAAAACAGAGCCCCAGGAGGAGTCCCAAGAGCCGGCGGCGTCCACCTCCAAGAACGTGACCTTGGAGAAACCCTCTACCAGCTCGAAAATCAAGGCAGTGGCAAATCCCAAGAGAATGGGCGCCGTCAATGCCATGCAGGATCCCGAACTAAAGCGTCTGAAGAGCGATTTCAGCGTGGCCAAGGATCCAAAGGCCAGCGACGTCTACAAGTCACTGTTCACTTCCCACAAGACGGAGAAAGAGCAGGAGCGCGCCCACTGGGTCACCTACAATCCATTTTACAATTAGTCTAGAATCTAGAGTGTAGCCTAGGTTAAGATTGCCGTTTCCCTTCAGTCACCCTGGGGACTTGTCCATATATAGCTGGATCGTATAGAACTAACACAGATTTGAGTAAAATAAAACCCAACAATGTTTCGATCAGCTTACCAAAAGGGATTCCTTACCGTGTTCTACAGCGTGGGTAGCTCGCCCCTGGACAACTGGTCATCCTATGTAAGTATCCTTAGCTATTCCCCCCTAAGCAGTACCACTAAAACGTTTTACCCGGGGGAGCAGACCAAAAATGGCTACATTAAGCGCATCTACGATGAGGACATAAAGTCCCTGGTGCTCGAGATAATGGGCTCCAACGTGTCCACTACATTTATACACTGTCCCAGCGAGTGCAAGCAGCAGCTGGGCATCAAGCTGCCCTTTCTTGTGCTCTTGATCAAGAATATGCACAAGTACTTTTGCTTCGAAGTCAAGGTAAGCTTACAATAAACTTATTTTTGTTCGTGGTTGGGTTTATGGTACCCTATACTCCCTTCAGATACAAGACGATCAGCGTTTCATGCGCCGCTTCCGCGTGTCCAATTTCCAGAGCAAGACCTCCGTGAAGCCTTTTTGCACAGCCATGCCAATGGGTATGTCTCCGGGCTGGAATCAGATTCAGTTTAACCTGGCCGACTTTACGCGTCGTGCCTATGGGTCCAACTACCTGGAGACGGTCTCCCTGCAGGTGCACGCCAACGTGCGCATTCGACGCATTTACTTTGCCGACAAGCTCTACACGGAGGCGGAGCTGCCCAATGATTACCGCCTCATGGGCAAGCCCAAGGACTTTAAGAAGCCGGAGAAGCAGTTCAAGGTTCAAGCCACCGCTCGTCCGCCGTCCCCCTTGAATACAGCCCGCGGAGAGCCAGCCCCATCGAAGGGCGAGGAGCCTGACGCCACAGTCGGACCAGGACCGGCATCCGAGCCGCCGACAGAGGCGTACAGCGAGCCGGAGCCAGTGTTGCAGAAGGCGCCTTCGCCACCACCACCGCCAGCCGCCGAACCAGAGCCTGCTGCCGCACCCGCCGCCGAGGAGCCAGCTCCGCAAACGGAGGCCACAGAGCCCACCGAGGCCTACTACTAAGAGTTATTGTTCCCATGAATTTATTGTTAATTTTCATCGCATTGACAGAGACTGAGAGTGGGCAGTGGACAACATGCTATAAAATTTCCAGTCAAAGACATACGAAAAAAACGATTTAAACCCGCTGGGAATCTGCACAAAATAGTTTGTTTTTGATTTTGTAATTTCCTGGACTCAGGACCCAGGATTTACCGTCACAACAATCTTTATTTTAACCCTCTTTGACTCTAAACAAAATCGGTTTTGTTACATTGGGAATTTGCTAAAATATCTTAATTACAATAAGCCAGCCCAGTTACTCCGAGCTCTTATCCGTGGCCATCGCCAGCATGTCCGTGTCGATGTTCTTGAGTGCATTGTGGTACTCGGTGATCTCCAGCGCCTCCCACTCGGCCTTGAAGGCCGCCTTCGGGTCCTGCGGCATGGTCATTGCAGCGCCAGTCATGGCATCCGCCTGGGCTTGGGTCTGATCGGCGTGGTTGTTCTCGCCGAGGACCAGTGTGTAGATGGAGCGCAGGCCGAACACATTGAGGAAGTACCAGGAGGCCGAGGAGACCCAGGCGGCATCCAGGGAGGCCAGCTCCACGCCCCGCTGCAGCATGGGCTTGAAGCGCAGAGTCAGCGGGAAGGGCACCTTGGTGGTGACGAAACCCGAGAACATCCAGTTGATCCAGCCACCAATAATCACCATGGGCAAGACATTAATAAAGTTACCCTTGACCATGTCGGTGAGCATGGCGCTGGAGTTCTGGGCTGCAGGTGCCCGCTTTTGGGTCTTGAAGTAGCCGGTCTCCTCGTTGTTGAAGTAGTTCTTTCGCATGGAGAAGCTTTGGGCGCTCAGATACTTGCCGTTCTCGCGCAGCAGTCGCGCCCGGATCATCGCTTGGCTATGGAGGACAGTCATTACTACCAACCACTGCCCTTTGGCCGGTCATCGGTTTACTCACCTGTCCTGGATCTGGGTGATCTCCGCCTTCTTCTGTGTGGATATCAAAATGGAGACATAGTGGCGTACAATGCCCACCAGGAACGTGATCAGCACGATGGGGAGGAACACCCACACGCGGATGTCCGGGTCAATCAGCAGCTCGGTCATATTTTAATTGATTGATAAAATTTTCCAATTTTTTTCACCCCAGTTTCCAGCTGTAATCAATGTGACCGTCTGCTTATCCGCCTGCAATGCTGCAAACCAGCGTGCTTGTGACTTTGGTCCTAAAAATATATCGTATCGTTGATATATAATTTTTAAGAAATAAATTAAATAAATAAATTAAATTGATAAAATATTTATTATCCAACAAATATCGACATACGGGTATTTGTGATATTTTTTATTTCAAACATTTTATTTTGGTTGTAATACATTTTTCACATCCCTAATTGTGTTTTTCATGTGCATTATCCAACACTGGCAACCGAATTAGGCGTATGCATTTTTCAACACTGGCAGCTGAATGTAAATTTTTGAGCGACGCCAGCCGGAAAATTCAACAAAGATTCCTTGTACTACCTTTCGCCATAGCCATGGACGCTCCCATCTCGCCGGTGACCACCCCGAATCCGCCCGCAGAGGCTGCCAAGGAGCAGAACTGTACCAACAACACGCAGCAGGCCAGCTCAGTCGCTGCGCCGGGAGCCGCCGCCGCAACCGGAGCAACTGCCGCCGTCCAGTCCGCGTCTGCCTCAACACCCACGGCCCCGCAGCAGCAGCAACAACAGCAGCCGCCCGCCAAGAAGGCCAGCGGAGAGACAAGTTCGCTGCCCACGCGACAGTATCTGGACCAGACAGTGGCCCCCGTCCTGCTCCACGGCCTGCAGGCACTCGCTCGTGAGCGACCAACGGACCCCATTCAATTCCTGGCCTCCTACCTGCTGAAGCACAGCAACGGCTGCGAGGAAAACAACGGAACTGTGACAGAGAACAACCCATAGGCTCTCCGTACCACTCCCCCCTCCCAAACCTTCTTCGTTAGTTGTGTAAGTGAATTTGTGCAGAAATAAACGTTTAAAATTAGAATATAATTGCAAAAAACACACACACTAAGTAGTTCCTGAGTTCCGCCTCCTAGGCGGTGATGGGGTAGCCCCAGGGATCCAGCTTCGAGTTGAGCAGCTCCAGCGAGGCGTCCGCAATCTTGGCCATGAGCTCGGCCAGCTTGTGCTTCGTATAGACCTTGTAAAGCTGCCGCTTTTTGCAGGATATCTCATCTGCCAGTCGCACGCAGCCGGCAAAGTCGCGCGTCTTGAACATGACGTCGTTCAGCAGGAGAGCCACCTCGGGCAGGCAGGTGGAGCGCAGCTTCTCCATTTGCAACTGGCGTTGCTCCCAGTTTAGTAGCTTGGCGTTCTCCGGCTCCTGGGGAATGAAGGGATCGACGAGCCATCCCTTTTCCGGGAAGAGCAGGATATTGTACAGAGCTTCCTGGGCCTCTGCGGTGTTGAGAAAGGAGATGTTAAGATGACTTGTGGATGTCTATAAAAATCTAACTTACGCTTTGCATGCTCCATGACCTTGTGTTCCCAGCGCTGGACTTCGGTTCTGTAGGCCTGCTCCTTGCGCTCGTTGGCCATGCGCTCCGTAAAGTTGTCCTGCGCCGAAGCGGCCGCCAGCGTCGGCGGCTTCTTCGGTTTGTTCAGTTGCATGTGATTCCACTCCATGTAGCTGTCGATGCCCGTCAAGTAGACTTTGTAGCACAGGTACTCTTTCAGGCTGCATTCCTCGCGAGGCGGAACGTTGTCCAGAGAGCTGTAAATGCTCAGCAGGTCGTGGACCACGTCGCCGGGCACCTTTCGGAATGTCTGCCGCATGCACTCCACCTTGTTGCTGGCCAGGTAAATGCGCATCATGGCATTGGCCTGCCACAGCAGCTCGCCGCGCTGCTCGCGCAGTGAGACCAGCCAATCTAGGGCCGAGATCTTGCGCTGATCCTCGGCGGAGATCTCGCCGGAAGGTGGTTCCCCAAACTCCCCAAGCGAGATATGAACACGTCGAATGTTCTCCACAGTGAGCCGTGTGATTTCCTGGACATCTAGGCCGGCCTGCAAGGCAGCTTCCAGAGCCAACTCCCGCGCCCGCTTCTCCTCCACCTGCTCCAGGAAGCGCGAGTACAGCTGAACTTGCAGGGGATTCGAAAGAGCTGCGGCATAGAAGGCCACCAAGTGGGGATCTCCGCGCACAATCAATACCTCAACATAGGTGGCGATTATCTTCTCCGCCAGCCTCTCCTGATCCACGCGACCGATCTGCCGCAGAAAGAGTACAATGTGCGCCATAAAGCGCAGCTGGTGCGGCTGCAACTGGGCCGTTGCAGCATCCTCAAGCCAGCGCACCATGTGCTGTAGCAGCTCGCCGCAGGTATCCAGGATTAAGTGGCGCTGGATAACACCCAGCTGACTCTTGGCGAAGTCCCTCACGGACGCATCTTTGGCCACGTTCAGCTCCTCGAATATCTGCTCCATGGTCATCTTGCCGTTCCAGTAATCGTCGGGCATTGGTTGGTAACGCTTTCCGCAACATCCCCGCACCTCGGACTCCACACGCAGGTCGATCTGAACCTTGAGATGGGCCCACAAAAGGTCGTGCCAGTTGTTGTGCAGCAGAGACTTGAGGGAACCCAGGTGACCGCAGAAGGCGCCAGCCGTGGCCCGAGTGTACTCGTCATATCTGCTGGAATCGGCCATGAGCCATGCGCACCGCTTCCATATATCCCGCCGCGGATTGCCCATGATGGGCAGCTTTTCCCGGGCGACTGAGCTGCTCTCCTGAAAGTTGGGATCCTCGTGGAGGCGCCAACCCTCTAGGATGGCGACGCGCCAAGTCTGGCCGTAGTGCTTGCACAGCCTTAGACCATCGTCAACGCGTCCCGACCGGATGGCCATAAAGATGGCGCGGGAAAGGCGTGCATTGTCCTCCTCGTCGACGGCGTGCAGGGGACGTTTCTCCCGAATGGGGGCATCTGGATCCAGGCGCTGCACGATCTCATGACCGCGGCCAAAAGCGACGCCCTGCCGGTTCTCCAGCTGGTAGAGTGTGTTCTCCCAGGCCATCATACGGTCGTTACAGTGCAGCGGATTCTCTTGCTCCCCGGGTTCGTAGCTGGCCTCCAGCCAGTCGACCACCAGCTGGTACTCCCTTAGCGTGGCATTGATCACGTACAGCTGTTCGACCACCGCCTTCTCGCTGCCGCCTAGGGTGGGGCCGTCCTGCATCTCGTCGTCGGCCTGGTTTTCCGTTTGCAGCAGAACGCGATCTTTGAAGAGAGCGTGAAGCAGGCGCCACGTATAGATTTCCTGACGCAGCCAAGCCAGTATCGACTTCCGCTGCTTGGCGCCCTGGGTTCCTCCCATGCCGCGCTCGATCTCTAGCTCCAGCTGCTCGACGGCGCCGCCGCAGACTTGTGTCAGTCCCTGGATCACATCGAAGATCTCCTGGCCACCGCTGTGTGTTAGCAAAACTTCAAAGAATTGTGGGAATAGCACATCCACACGGCTCTTGCCACGGTCCAAGTCATCTCCGGAATCCACGATCATCGATCGATCCTCCATGGCGGCCGCATCGCTGCGTTCCTGGAGGATCAGCGAGTGCGACAGGTTCTGCATGCCGCTGGAGCTGTTGAGCGTGGTGCGCAACAGGCCGCTGCGGCTGCTTATCGGGAACGGGCTGGCCATTGCTCACCTGCAGTCTCCTTTATATCTCTTTTACATTAATTAAAGCAAATCAAATAAATATTAAGCGGCGCTGGTAAAAATGCCGGGACGCGTGCTAGAGTGCCCGTCGCTTGATTAGCTGAAAATACCAAATAGAAGGCTGGTCCCACTGGCTAAGAGACACGACTGAGCTGCATGACGGTATGCTGTCATGCAAGCTCTCATCTGACCGTGCGAAGCCCGCCCGCAACATAAAATATTTCTCTTTTATTTGTTGTAACCAACGCGGGGACGCTTGTAATTGTATTTCTGTAATTGCGATGCGCGACCCTTGTTTAATGCGCAGCAGCAGCTCCTCCGACCCGAGTTCCGGGTGTTATTTAAAGCTTAATCTAAGCTCTAATTCCAGGAAACAAACAGACTTGTTTACTTTTTTATTTTATGTTTGAACGACGCGCATAAAATACAACAGTTGAAATGTAGATGAAAAACAAACAAAATACAAGAGCACGAAACCTGAGCAACACAAAAGTGATATAATAACAAATAATAAATAAACTGGAGAATATCCTGTGAAACCGCCACTCACCCACGGTAAGGACATTGATTTTTCGCCCCGCACTCTGGCTTTTTATTATAGAGAAAATGTTAATATACTTGTTTCCTTTTTTTGTGTATTAGCCTTTTGACAAGATGGCCGTGCAGCTTACGCAAAGCTACCACCACCTTCCCCTGACGATTACACCGATCCTGGGAGGCCAGACACAGCAGATCCATCAGCAGCATGTCCTGCAGCCGGCCCCTAATCCTCCGCAGCCTCAGCCGCCGGACCTCACCTTCCACTGCATGTGCTGTGCCGAGTTCTTTGTCCATCCGGTGGCCCTGTATCAGCACATGAACGCCCTGCATCCCAACGAGCCATCGAGCGAGGAACGACGCCGACGGGAGCGGGAGGAGGAGGAGGCGGCGGCAGCAGGAGCTGACGAGGGCGAGGACTACAGCTGGATATTTGAGCCAGTGTGCGAGCTGGCCGAGGAGGGTGGTAGTGACTCCTCTTCCGAGGAGGACAGCAGCGATTCCTCGGGGGACGACGACGACGACGACGATGAGGAGGACAACAACAGCAGCTCCGATGATGACAGCAGCTCCAGCTCAAGTTCAAGCAACTCCAGCTCGACGGGCACCAGCTCGGAGGCTGCCACCAGCAGCAATTCCAATTCGCAGATGCAACCCATGCAGCAAATGCATCCCATGCGCGGCTTAATGGCCGGTCCGGTGCCCAATGAGTTTCACCTGCAAGTGGCCGATCCGCGGGAGTCCACCTCCATCATCATGCTGCAGCCATCGCTGAGCATTACGCCGGTAAACCAGCCGCTGCCCATGCCACCCATGCCTCCGTCGATGCCTTTGCCTTTGCAACCGCTGCTGGGACCGGAATCCATCCAAACGCCTATCAAGCGAAGGCGTGGCCGACGAAGCAAGGCCAACGTGATGACGCCCACAATGGCCATCGATCCCACGTTGAATGCCACGAATCCTGCTGCCCAGAAGTGCTTCCAGTGCACGCACTGCGAGGCAAGCTTTCCCAATGCCGGCGATCTGTCCAAGCACGTCCGGTCGCACATCACCAACAAGCCCTTCCAGTGCTCCATCTGCCAGAAGACCTTCACGCATATCGGCAGCCTGAACACCCACATCCGCATCCACAGCGGCGAAAAGCCTTACAAGTGCGAACTGTGCCCCAAGGCCTTTACGCAGTCCAGCAGCCTGATGGTCCACATGCGATCCCACTCGGTGCGCAAGCCCCATCAGTGCTTGGACTGCGACAAGGGATTCATCAACTACAGCTCATTGCTGCTCCACCAGAAGACGCATGCGGCGCCCACCGAGACGTTCACGTGTCCGGAGTGCGAGCGCGAGTTCAAGGCGGAGGCGCTGCTCGACGAGCACATGCGAATGCATACCCAGGAGCTGGTGTATCAGTGCGCCATCTGTCGCGATGCCTTCCGTGCCAGCTCCGAGCTGGTGCAGCACATGAAGAATCACATGGGCGAGAAGCCGTTCACTTGCTCCATTTGCGATCGCTCCTTCACACAGTCGGGCAGCCTGAATATACACATGCGCATTCATACGGGAGAGAAGCCCTTCCAGTGCAAGCTGTGCGACAAGTGCTTCACGCAGGCCTCCAGCCTGAGTGTCCACATGAAGATCCATGCAGGGGAGAAGCCCTATCCGTGTCCGATCTGCGGCAAATCCTACAGCCAGCAGGCGTATCTCAATAAGCATATACAGGCGCATCAGGCAGCTGCTGCTGCTGCCTCCTCCTCCTCATCCCCGGGATTGCTGTTGCCCAAGCAGGAGCCGCATGAAACCTTGGTCTGCATTGTCTGCGGCTCACTGCATGCGGATGCCACGGCTCTGGCCAGTCATGTGACCAGCCAGCATGCAGCTCTCTTGGACACGATGAAGCAATGCCCGGGAGGCGAAGGTCTGCAGCCGGAAGGCAAGTTCAGCCAGGAGGAACAGCAGGTCTACATGCAGCGGGTGCAAACTGTTCTGCTGCAAATGAACCAGCAGCAACAGCAGCAGCCCTTGCTACTCCCTCCCCAGCCGCAGTTGACATCTATGGATTCCACAGGCGAGGATGAAGAGGAGCCCGAAGACGTCGAGGACGAGGAGGAGGAGGAGGAGGAAGAGAACGAGGAGGAAGATGAGGCTGAAGCTGAAGTTGAAGCTCAGGCTGAGGCTGAGGAAACTCAAAAACATCTGTTGAATCTGAGGGACCCCATACTCGGTCCTCAGGAGGAACCTTTGTTCATGGACTCGGACATGTACTACGAGGACTTTGCCGACATGGACGTGGGCTGCCAGGAGGAGGTGTTTGGCGACTATGTTCTCAAGGAGGAGGAGGTTTACACCCAGGAGCTCATCTAGATTTAAGCACAAAGTTTGGCCATTCAAGCATCTCCAAGGGAAGGGTTTCTTTTACCCCTGCCATCTAAGCTTTTCTTTTTAATTATTTTTAGTTTCCTCATCTTGTTCCTGACTTTAAGGGGGTCGGGAATGTTCCAAAAAAATCTCCAACAATTTACAAATTTAACTTAAGTTTAAAGCGCACTTTTTTTGGTGTAATTAATCACACAAGTTATACACACTGTAAAGCAACTCCATAGTGTTGACCTGAAATAACAACCTGCGATGAAATAGTTTACAAACATTAACCATATATATTTACACAAACAGTTAATATTTAATTGCCTAATGTTAAGATTAAGATGAGATTTCTGGAGCATTCTCCCTCGTTCCCTTCATTGAGCTAAATTTCACTCTCATATCTCATATCACGTTTCCAATTATCTTTTAAAGATATTATATTTTTTGCTAGTATTAAACCTGCTCATTCAACATCCCACAAGGGGAATCCCTTAGCCATGCTGGAACTAGCAAGGTTCCAGCATTTACTTAAAGCGTAATTTTTCCAAAATTGCCTGAAAAGAGATTACATTAATCGTTACAATACAACATAATCGAGTGTTTAATTTTCAACAGAAACAAAATTAAATTTTAGTAAATGTACCAGCTGGCGACGTGGCCAGCCGCGTGGGTTCGTTCAGGTCCAGCGTGGGATCCGTTTCCGCCACGCCAAACATCCCGGACAACAGATAACCCCCAGCCATCATGTCATCCGCTTCCAGTTTCTCGGGCGGTGTGATCAGGACATCGTCACCCTGGTAGACATACGGCAGCCGGAGGATCCAGTAGGCGCTCTGCGTGAGGCGGGGTGGAACGATGCTGCCCAGGGTGAAGGTGTACTTGTCCTTGCCCACGCACACCTTGGGATCCACGATGATATTGACAGGAGCCTTGGGGGTGACAACATGGATGCGCATCAGTTGCGCCAGATAGTTGCTTTGCGAGCGGCACGGGCAGGGATAGTACAGCGGCATGTTGTTGTGCACCACCTTGCTGCAGGTGTCCCGCTCGATGTCCGCTCCACCGCGCAGCACGCGATCCGATGCGCACATCATGAAGCGATGGCCGCGCGAGCACTCGTACTCCATGCCGATGAAGATCTTGAGGGACAGGCGATCGCCTTGCTTCTTCCAGCGCTGCTGCTTCTTTCCGGGATGCTGGTGGTGATGCTGCTGCTGCTGCTTGGGAGCATGTACCAGCCTCAGCTGGACATCCCAGGGCAGCAGAAAGTTGGCGCCGGACAGGAAGCCGCTCTGAAAGTGCTCCTGCAGGCCGGTATTGTGACTGTAGATGGAGCTGGGACCAACGCAGGCCAGCGACCAGCTGGGGAACAGTGGCAACAGCCCAAAATTACTGACCGTGTGCACCAGGCCCGGCAGATATTCCGTGGTGGACGTGGAGTAGGTGCTAGGTACTGGTGTAGCGCTGGTCTCTTCGCGCACCTCCTTCTTGGCTGTGGGCTCTTTGAGCTGGAGCACCAATTCGTTTTCCGTATCGCCGCTAGAGGTGCCGCTACTTGTGGATTCCGGCTCCGAGTTGGAGAGATCTTCAGAGCTGCTCTGGGACTCGTTTAGCGAGGCTCCAAAACCGGCAATGGACATGTTTAGATCGGAACCAAAGGTGGGCGACAGGTTCTGCCCGCAGTCGGAGGCCTCTTTCTCCTCCTCTGGCTTCTCAGAGTCTTCCTCCTGATTATCCTCCACCTCATCACCCTCTGCCTCAGGATCTTCCACTTCATCCTCATCGTCCTGCTGAGCCGCACCGCTCTTGCCGGTGAGCAGCAGTGGAAATGCTGCCTCAAAGGCGGCCGCTCGATAATCACTGACGGAGGGCTCAAAGATGGGAAACTGATATTGCTTGACCTTCACGCAGAGATTGCACTTCTGGGCCAGCTGCTCGTAGTACTCGTAGTTGGCCTGCCTCAGATTGAACGGATCCTCTCGCCGACCCTGGGTGCGGCCACAGTTGCAGGTCGAGATGTGCACCACCCCGCTTTTGTGCTTCTCGTGCGTCACATCCTTGGGCAGGGTGCAGGGATTGGAGCGCAGGCTGAGCAGCTCACACTGCTGTCGCCCGTCCGCCCAGTGCTTCTGGCAGATGGCAGCCATCTTTGCTAGGGCGGCCTTGACCTGCGGTCCGCGTCCCTCCTCGCCAAAGGCCAGGGTTGCCTCTGCTAGAAGTTGCTTGTGGGTGGCGGTGCCATAGATGCTGGGAGCTGCTTGCTTATAGGCGGCAATGCCTTTCTTGAGGCCCAGCTCGCACAGATGCGCCCAGAATTTCTTTTCAAAATTCAAACTCTCATCGAAGCTGTGCAGAAAGGTTTTGTATTCCTCGTTGCCAGAGTCATGACTCCCAGGATTCTTGGCATTCTCCACCAGCAACTGGTACAGCCTGGCCATGCATTCGTGCCACTCCTTGGAATTGAGCAGCTGGAAATGTCCTTGCTGGGACTGCTGCTTGAAGGAGCCCTCGTCGAAGCAGCCTTGCAGGGCATCCTGTACATGGCGCTGCAGGAAGTGCCACACCGTGTGCTCCTTTCTGTACTCCTGCTCTTCCAGGGCCTTCTCATCGATTGCCCTGCCATAGGGCTTGACGAAGCCCTCGAAGGGCGCCAGCTCGAGTATTTCCTGATCCTCATCCTCCTCCTTGGCATCCGGTTTGTACATGGCCACATTGAGGCACTCGATTGCCTTCATTAGCTTGTCACCAGGCTGCTCCTCGTGGGCATTGAAAAAGACGAACTGCTTGTTGTTGGGCAGCGCCATTAGCGACTTGGTGCTGCTCTTGCTCACGATGTTATGGTGGCGTAGCAGCTCATAGATGCAGTCCTCCGTCTGGAACTCAAAGGCGGAGACACGCTCACGCGTTGTGGCCTCGTTTTGTGGGTAATTTTCAAACAGGAACAGCATCCTCGGTGTGCATAGGCGCGACCTCTCGCCAAGCTTGGCTGCGGCACTGCCCTTCAGCATGTTGGGCAGAAACTGCAGGAGATGCTGCTCCCGGGCGAACTTTAGCAGCTGGAACACGGTCACCAGGGTGGGATCAAAGATCTGGCCGGTTTCCACATACACCACAATGTGACAGGCGTGCAGGGCTAGTAGCACCATGCGCACGAACTGGCAACGCATCCTTTCGTAGAAGCTGTCAAAGTCAAAGGGGTTCTCGGTGTCCTCCATGGAGGCGTTTATTATCTTGCTCAGTACCGCCTCGTCGTACGTCGTCTCGAAGTGGAGGAGCAGGCAGGAGGTGCCAGGCTTGTAGTAGCACTGCACCTGCCCATCCTGGGGCGTGTGCTCCAAAGGTGGTTCCATGCCAAAGGCTTGCATCTTGTTGGCCTGATCTCCTTTCGACCGGCCCACAACGCCGACCACCACCAGCGAGTCCTGCAGCTTCTGCAGCTCTTGGCTAAAGGAGTAAATGATCAACTTTGTGCTGTTTGGGTGTCAAACTCGATCTTACGCCACATTTTCGGGTATATCCGGGTAAGTCCAGGTGTAATAGTCCTTCATGCTGTCGTTTGTTTACCTTTTGTGTCGGCAGGCGTTAGGGCTTTTCCGGCTAAAGTTTATATAACTGGCCACACTGTTGCCTTGTTTTTGTTTTTCCTCGTCAGCTGTGAAAGGGCTGCCAACTTGTTGTTGAACTCCGCTTTTTTAATTAATTGTTTTTTACTCTTAAAAATGTTTTTAACAACGGGAAAGTTGTCGGTGCTCCGTGCAGCTAATTTAGCACCGATGGGTTTGCATTACGTGAAAAGCAGCCCAGCAATTCAAGCCCTTCACTTGAGTGCAACAACGCAGCACAGCTACGCCGGTGCAGCACAAAAAGTACATATTCCTGTTAAAGTCAATACTTTTCTTGATACTAGCCGCTTTTCACAACAACAGCGTCTCCGCCATCAAATGCCCTCAGCCCTCCTGGTGCCCCTGTTAACTAGAAGCCTTCACAAGAGTATACCAGCCGGGCAGTGGGCCACCTACGATCCAAAGTTCACCATCGAAGGGCATGACAAGGGCTTTTCCCCGAAACTCCGCAGTTATAGCACAAAATCGGAACTTAAAGCGGAATCGGTGCCTTCCCCCACAAAGACTACGACTGTAGCATCATCAGCATCCTCATTATCATCATCATCATCTTCATCAGCATCATCCTCATCATCCTCATCATCATCATCATCATCACCATCATCCTCCTCATCCTCTTCATCATCACCAGCTGCACAAACTGGTGACAAGTTAAGCAAAAAAGAGCAGCTGAAGCGGGCATTCAAGGATTACGGAGCCACCATAGTGGCCTTCCATGTGGGAATATCCCTAATTTCCCTTGGAGGCTTCTATGCCCTAGTATCGAGCGGCATTAACTTTGTCCCTGTTCTGGAATGGCTCGGAATTGCCTCGTCTGCGATCGCAGAGAAAGTGGCCACAGGAAGCACTTTTGTTGTGGCCTATGCCGTTCACAAGGTATTTGCACCTGTCAGGATAAGCATTACGCTAGGATCCACACCGTTTATAGTTCGCTATCTGCGATCTAAGGGGTTCATGAAGCCAAAAAGCCAAGGCAAATAGTTCGAATTGGAAAGTCATCTATGTTAATCGATTTAAAATCGATTTTAGCATATCGAAACATCAAACTTTAGTTTCCGTTTTTGGTTTTCCAAAGTATGTACTTAAAAAAAGCTCGTTAACATTTTGTATTGGCTTTAAAAAACCCCATAAATATATTTAAAATAAAAAACTAATATTTGAGACTATTCCAATATCCCTAAATGTAATAAATATATATTTTAATAAAACACTCAACGCAAATATGTTGACTAAAGCAACCAAAATTTTTATTATTGTAAACTTTTCATTTGCGATTTATAATTATTTTTCTTAAGCTTTTCATTACAGCTTCTCCGCTTTTTAGCGCGTGTGTGCTTTTTGTGTTTGGATTATCCTTTTAAATGAGAATTATGTGCATGATTAAATATAAATGCTTAATTCGGTTAATTAATTGTTTTATGCGTTCCTTGTTTATGGTTGTAATAATGGAATAATGCGGTGATTAATTGGCTTTTACTAGTACATGCAAATAGCATTCTTTTTTTTTAAGAAGTTTCTAATACTTGCGTAATTCCGATAGAGAATTTTGGAAAGTCTACTGGTGAGTGTGCTAAAACGGAATTACATATCTCTCTTCTGATCCTCTATTGAGCACATTTAAAATACTTTACGTTAGGGTTTTCGTTAGCTAGAAAATGCTTTTAGATACTACTACAAAGAGGTGTAGATTTCGTGGAGTGAAGAAGTTTTGATGCTTTTCCGAGGATATTTACAAATTCTAGTTGGGTTTTTGTGACTCGGTTAATACAATTTTATTTACAACTATTGAAATTGTGATGAGATTTGTTGTGTTTTCTAAGAATTGGAAACACTTTTTAGTAGATTTTTGCAATCCAAAACATCGGAAAGATCTCTTTATTTACCAGCTCTATGTTTATGATCTCTGTTCTCTTGATTATTTCAAGAGACCATCGTGTTGGGTGTGTTTGTCTTTGTGTTTAAAATTCCATTTTGTCAGGCTTTACTGTTATTTCTGTTATCCTTTTTCCTTTTTGTGTTTGTACTTGCTAACTGCGCATACAAGATCCTTCCTCCTCCACGTTTTTGGCAGTGAACCTGAGCTTTCATCTTTGTCTGGTGATCGCACACATTTTACTTACAAACTTTGTCTCTCTGTTCATTTTTTTTTTTAACAATTGCTACATGACAATCTCGGGGTTTATATAGTTTAGTTTTAGGTGATTAAATGAAGCACACACAGTTTGAAAAAAAAACAACCAGAAAGTCACTAGGGAGAGGCACAAATCTCTCCCTACAAAAAAATGGAGCTAACTACACAAGAATTTGCATTCCATTTTCCATTCAAACGTAGCCGTATCATCGTGTGTGTTTGTGTTTTATTATTATTAAAAAGTATCATCACAAAATTGATGAAGTATATTAATGCTTTCTCGATATTATACCATAAGCTTAGGGCTAACGTGTTCGGGGTAGCTTAAATTAGGTTTAACTTCAAATTAGTCGAGCTAACAACTAAAGTCCTTGGAAAAAAAAACTCAACATAGGTAGGAGGATAAAGGTTAAAGACTTGCGAACTAAACTCTTTGTGTTCCAAGCTAAACTTAATTCTCTAGTTATTATTATGTATATTGTTTATCGGCATATTATATGTAGCTGAATGATCAATGATCTCTTGTATGATGAGGACAGGGGGCAGCTGGGCATTTACAGCGTTTTTGCGCGGTCCAGGAGATCGCTGATGAACTTGGATATGTCCGATTGCGGGCGTTTGCAGACTGACAATAATCTCTGGAAAGGTGGATTAAATGTTATGCATTATTACAAAATATTTATCAATATTTATTATGAACTCACTATAAGATGAGATCTCCTTATGTCATCTGTGTCCATATCCAGTATCTCATCAATGTCCACATCAATGGCCTCGCTCTGTTGTTAATTAGTTTGTTTAAAAATTAAGTAATATATTCTGAAGAGTACATGATAAAATAATACTCACTGGTGGATCGAACAGCTTCTGCAGCTCATCGTACAGCCACATCTCCACGGCCAGACGCTTGCGGATGAGGCTCATCTGGTGTGATCCATACTTGGCCGTGAGGAACTTCTCTCGTCGCTCCTTGACCTCGGCACCCTTCTCATTGAAGTTGACCCGCAGGTTCGTTCGGTTGGGCGAACGCTCACAGTCGTTCATCTGTTCCAGGCCGCACTGCATCGTTGATTGAACTTTAATTTGCGCGAGCTTTCCTGCCTTTAATTAATTGGCGTGGCCTGCAATTGAGGAAAAACAGTTGGGGAAATTGAGACACAAGTGAGCTGGATTGGCCAGAGTATTGTGTAATTAAATTAAATTAAATTAAACTTTAACCGCATGTAACGGTGTGAGTTAGCTACAAAGACCGAACTTTCCCAATGTGCGCGTCACCCGCACTCATTTCTCCAGCTTCAAGACCCGTTTCTTAGCCCTGGAGGCCTACTCCAATCCCGCATCCGTGACTCACCGGCCCTCCTTTCTGAGCTCTGAATCATACATTCCATTATGTGTATGTATATAAATTATATGTGTATAGTTTATCTATGTCCAGGAATAACGACGACATGCAAGCCACACACCGAACAGCAATAATTGCTCACGTGTCACTCATCCTAATCCTATCGCCGCCTCTATCTCTCAACTACGCTATATACCATACTGTACTATATATATATATATATATATTGCTTGTGTGCGGACATTTGCCGCGTTTAACAGTTAATTAAATTAATGTGTAATGGATGCCAGTCGGATTTCTGATTTGTGATTTCTGACATTTGGCTTTTGTCCCATTTCGGTTGCGGGAAATCAGTTTTGACATACGAGCTTTGTATGCTGTGAGTGTGTACTTTTTGTAATTAGGTAACTGAGGGTTTAGTAAAGGTCAATGAAACAGGGAAACTTTTTGAGGGATTTGTTGTTAACCAAATACTATCAAGAAGGCTCATGAAATATATATTTTACAGGAGAAATTAGGTTTTAGACTTTATTAAGCTATTTGTTGGGATATTTTGTAGTTATCTCTTATTTATATTTATGTTTTATACTTCTTTTTTTTAAAATATATCATATTTTATATACATTTTATGCTTAAGAAATTTAAAAAAGAAAATAATCAAAGAAACCTAAAAGGTAATATAATCTCCACTTTGAGAGACTCTCACATTTTTCCTAAAACACTGAATCCCAAATATTGACTCTACATATTATTTATAAACATATTCCAATCCGAGTGACACTTTTTGGCATTTTTCCCCCAACCAAAATAAAAAAGGAAGACAGAAAACAAAGGTTAGCCTAGCCTCCTTCCCCAATTCAAATGTCAATAGCAACAGGGGCCGTGGTGCCAGGTACCAAGAGAAGGAGACCGTTAACACCTGTCCGCCCCACAGTGAGTTCCCAGCCCCAAACACACACCACACACATACACACACACAGGCTGTATCCTTGATCTAGTAACACACGGAACCCCGAATTCTGAACCTTGAATTTTCCAATTTTGCCCCGAAAAAAGTTAACAAACTCGATTCACTCTCGTTCTCGGTATGCACTAAAACGAAATTGAATTGCAAATACCTCCGGCATTCGTCGAGTATTGAAATAGTTTTCGTTATAAATTGTTTTTTGTGTTTTTTTCCTGATATTTTTTTTTCCATTTCGAAATCTTGCAGGCCATGTGGCAAGCGGCAAGCAACTACTGCAACCACAGCACACATTAAGGCACTCTCGGCGGAGAGTTTTCCGCATTCGCGGCTAAAAATACAACAAAAACAATGCCCATAATTTTCACACAACAACTGAATTTTCTAGCCCGTGCGAAATCTGATACCAGATTTTTACTCAAGAGCCATAAGCAATTATGAAACCGGCGTTTAACTTGTCACTTGCATGTCGGCCCCGAAGAACTGGAGCCCCGAGAGATTTTTAATATGAGCGGCGGAGCCTCTCCGTCTCCGGGGGGAAGTTGGGTCTGGGGTTCTATTTCCAAAGCAGTCTCTGCTCTTTTCCGAGGGCTTTGGCCCGGAAATTACCCTAAACGAAGTTAATTGTGTGGATCCGTTTGGCCTACTACTAACATTCAACTGGCTACTGGCTGCGGGGGACAGCACTCCTACGGGCATGGTGATGGCTTTGAGACATGAGATACCATTTATGGAGACCGAAGATGTCGAGGAAAAGTGTGTGAAACAGAGAGGTTGACAGCGAATAGAGGGACGTTCATAATAAATATAAACGATCTGAAAATTAATACCTAAACCATTTATTCTATATTTATTTATTTCGATTTACAAATATTTTGATAAATTATAAAGAGAGTGTTTTATAAATATTTCTTTTAAATTAATTTACCCTCAAGTTAGAGTAACACCAGCGTTATAAGAAAATGTACAAAAAAATTTCCCCACGTTTGTTTATGAAATTGTTTTCGTTAAGCCAACGGTAATTGTGGGATCTAATGAATTATGTTGCCTCAACAAGAAAGTTATCTAAGGAATTTCCACACAGATTTTCCCAAACGACAAGAAAAATAGAAAGAAAAACAAGAAAAACGAGAGCAAAAACTATTTGACCGTAGATTGCAGGGAGAGGGTGGCAAATTATACCTTTATATTGCCAGCTGCTTGCCACATCTAACGTTGCAACTTTGCATAAATATCATGTTGAAATGCCTACGGCAATGCGGCAACAACATGCAACATGTTGCATGTGCAACGGCCGAAGGTAAATGCGAATAGGCTTGTGTACCCCCTATTCAGCCTACGCCCCATACGAGCCAGAGGGCAGCGTTGCAGAACACCTTCCGGTATCAAGGCAGAATATTTCTCATCATACGATGCACAGAAAATTTAAATAATAATTACAATAGATGAGCTTATTGCTAAATCTGATTTATTTATATATTCTAAATTCGAAAAATTCGACCCTTCAACTTTCTAAAAATTATCTGACGTTATTTTCCTCTGTGTTCCTAAGACCCCACAGAAATTACAAACAATTTGGCTTAACTATCCTTCACCTTTCGATTTTGTGAAAGGAAATTAGTGCGACGGTGTGGTCAGAAGGAACAACCATTAGATGGATACGGATTGGCCTGCATGCAATTGCAATTTTCGGAATAGTTCCATGCATTTCAAATGGAACCGATGCCGGACAAAGAAGGCTCCCATCAATTTATAGCCCCAGTTCAAATTAAAAATGTAAATTGACATTTCCCCCCTGCAATTGCACCTGCAC